TTCGCAAATAGTGACAGTTTTACTTCTTCTTTCTCAATTTTTTTTTTTTTTTTTTTTTTTTTGCGGTACGTGGGCGTCTCACTGCTGTGGCCTCTCGCACTGCGGAGCACAGGCTCTGGATGCGCAGGCTCAGCAGCCATGGCTCACGGGCCCAGCCGCTCCGCGGCATGTGGGATCTTCCCGGACTGGGGCACAAACCCATGTCGCCTAAATCGGCAGGCGGACTCTCAACCACTGCGCCACCAGGGAAGCCCCCTTCTTTCTCAATTTGGATGCTTTTTATTTCTTTTTCTTGCCTAATTACTCTTGCTAGGACTTCAAATAGTATATTGAATAAAAGTTGTGAGAGTGGACATCTTTGTCTTGTTCCTGGTCTTAGAGGAAAAGCTTTTAGCTTTTCACTGTTGAGTATGATGTTAGCTGTGAGCTTCTCATGTACAGTCTATTATATTGAGATACCTTCCCTCTATACCCACTTTGTTGAGAGTTATTATCATAAATGGATGCTGAATTTTGTCAAATGCTTTTTCTGCATCTCTACTGAGATGATCTACTGAGATCACATGATGTTTATCCTTCATTTTGTTAATGCAGTGTATCACACTGACTCATTTGTGGATGTTTGAACCATCTTTGCAACCTGGAATAAATCCCCCTTGATCATGGTGTATGAATCTTTTAATGTATTGTCATATATATTTTTGTTTTTTATTTACCATGTCTTCTCCCCCATCTATTGATAGAATGTTAGAATGTGGCCTCCATCAAGGCAAAGACTTAGCTTTGTTTATTGCTCTATTCCTAGCACCTATAACAATGCTTCCTGTGTAGTAAGCATTCAATAAATATTTATGAATGAGTGAATGAATCTACATGGGAACACTAAACAGCAGTATATCCATCGTAAGGGATGTATGCAGTCATTAGAAACATTCACAAAGAATTTTTAATGATAAGGGGGAAGGAAAGCTTATGCAATAAAGTAAGTGGGGAAAAAAAAAAAAAAAAAAAACAAGAGAAATACAACTACTCCAGCCATGAAAATAAGCTCACATGGGGAAGAAAAAAAAAAACCTGGAAGGAAATATTCTAAAATATATACAATGGAGTTTGGGTTGTATATTTTGTCCCCTTGATTCTTCTAGTTGTGAAAAGCCTAGAAGGATTGGGATGGGCCTTCTGGTTTGGGCACCCCATAGCCTTGACCAATGCAAAAAGCAAAATTGGATGGGCTCCTCTTTACCAAAGAGAGAAGGTCAAAGAGAAGTCAAGGACAACTTAAAATTTATGACATTTATTCTACATCCATAAGGCTATTCTGAAGATAAAAGTTGGGTTTAAGATGGGAGGAATGCTAATGATAAAATAATTTTTTGCCTCCTTTAACATCCTTTACCATCATTTCAAGGGCTTTCAGAATTTCAGGCCTCACCTAAGTTTGATCTGAACCTCAAAGCAGTCCACCAACTTCTATAATATGTCTAGGTCTCAAGAGATAACTCAGAATCTAAAGAATCCTCTTGAGCCCCTCTTGACAGTAGACCAATCTTCTGGCATCCCTTCCATGAGCTAAAAGTGAAGACTTGTGAAGTGTGTTGGAAAAGGATGATGAGAAAGCCAATTCATCCATTAAGTATGAATACTTACTTTAGATTAAAGGTATAAAATGTTAAAAGACATCACCCTGTCTTCGGAAAGCTTGCAATTTATTCGAGTAGATAAAATACATAGAAATAGAACAGGAATACATATAGTTGCCAGCAAATGAGATATAAAGACAAGGGCAACAGTAATTCTGAGAAGTGAGAGGGGAGGGAGTTAGGGACAAGCCTTTCCAAAAAGTTGGAATATGAGCTGATCCTAAAGGAAGACTGGAATTTAGATAAGCAGAGAAGAATAGGTGAGAACATTCCAATAGGCCAGGGAAAACCAGGATGGGTAAGCAACACAGAGGGTATCTGAGACCAGGGACAGGCTCTTTTCTCCAGGACATTTTGAATAAAGCATTTTCAACAGAATTATAGCAACACATTAATTTTATCCAGGTAAATTTTGTTCAACTGGCAATGTTAAACCATAATAATCTTATGGATTATTTCTTTTCCTTGAACAATTTAAAATGAAGGTTAGATTTATTGATTGGCTTTTATATTGTTTTGTTTCGTTCATACCAATTATAACTTCTGCCTTTGGGAGCCATTATTTCTCTCAAGTCTAACATTCCCAGGTCGTATTTTGCAGATAAAAAATTTATCAATAAGGTTTTATTCTTCTGTTAATTTTTAGTGAAGAACATATTTTAACAAGTGCCAATTTTAGCCATTGCCAATTTTTTCCCTCTTGATTACAAAATCTAATTTTTCCAGAATTAACTTACATGGTTTTCAGTATTACCAGCCATTTGTATTTTTATCAATTACTTTCATCTATAATAAATTTCCCTATGAGATTTCAGCCACTATTTTATGTTGCATTAAGTATTTCTACCAATATTATTCATTATGAATTATAAAAAAAGACTACTAATTTGCACTTATCCTAGCTGAAACATGATATTTAACGGGCCGTTCCCCTCAGCTATTCTATAAATTTCTCTATTGTAATGCAAATGATTGTAATGTAATCATTTGCATTACAATTACCAGATTGCATTACCAGATTGTAATGCAAATGTATTGTACTGAAAATTGAATTCTTCTATATGCTTCTAATCCCTTTGTGTATTCCAAAATAAAGGTCTGTGGCACTGGCAGAGCAAAAGTCACGGTTGCAAGAAACAGAAACTGACTGGGTGATTTAAAAGAAAAACATTTATTAACAGGCTGTGGAGATAATTTAAAAAAAAGCTTTTGATGACTCATCTACTACAGAATGAAATTCAAACTCTGTGGTTTAGCACTAAGACCCTCTACTGTCTGCTCTTCCCTATCTCTCATTTCTTTTGCTTCTCCCAGGACAGGATGAACTGTTAATGCCAGTGTTTGTAGATGACCACACTCCATGTTACCCATTTTCTTTATTTTTGAAACTGCTACCTGGCCAAATGCTCAGTACTGTGAACTACACTAGTAGTTATAGTAGGTGAACTACACTCCATATAGGCAGGGATTTTGTTTTGTTCATTGCTGTATTTCTAGTGCTTGGAACAGAACGTGCCATGTAGTAACTATGTGTTGAATAAATGATTAAAGGATTGAATCAATAAATGTAAATACAGGGCGGGGGAAAGGCTATGGAGATAAGTCACAGAATCCCTGGGAGGGCTTGAGAACCCAACTCAGAGGCTATGGAACAGGGAGCCCGGCCAGAAGCAGACAGCAGAACCAGGCCAGTCTGGCCTCCCCAGCTGCCAGAGGCACCAGGCTCCAGACTTGCTCTGCAGACTCTCCTGGCCCTGGACACTGCATGCTGGGAGCTAGACCAACTGCAATTGCCACCGTCACCAGGGACGACTCACTGTGGTTCCTATTTCTTTGCTTCCTTCGCTCTCAATTAGAAGCCTGTGGTGGCTGTGTCTGAGTGGTAGGGGCTAGGGTCACTTGCCTGCCTTCTTACTGTGAGAAATCTCAGGGAAGCAAATGGAGCATAGCTTCCACTCGGAATATAATGGTAGAGGAATTCCCCAACACAGGAAGGGGCATCATATGCTGGGCTAACAAAAAGAATGATCAGTGTCCATTAGAAAGTCAAAAGATCAGAAGGAAAATATTCTGCCTTGTTCAGTGAGATGACAGATGTGGCAGAGTGGCCATAAATCCTGGACCTTTACTTGGGGGCTGTTCACCACAGAATTGACACATTGACCTTCCTGTGTTCCTCATCATACAGCCTATCATCTGTGCAGGTTCTCAGGCAGTAGGCAGATTTTAAAATGAACTAAATGATCCAAGGTGAAAACATACGTGTTCCTCTTCCACAGTAGTTTTTAGCAAATGTTATGATCTAAGTGTTCTTTATAGCTCGTGAACATCCTGTATACTGCAACTAAGTAACACACAATACTTTCATTGGTGTTGCTATTAGAGCATGTGAGGCTTTCAGATTTAAATGGGTAACTGCAAAAATATGACTGGCTTTAAATCAGAGTGTTTCTCTGCAGCAATTTTTTAATTGCTCTCATTTAGGTGCTCTCATTTAATTTTTAATAGTTCTCATTTAGGTGTTTATTATTTTGTGTGGTTGCTAAAAATCACACAGCTTGAATTAACGTTATATAATCATTTATGTTTAATTTTAAGGATACTTGGATAGTAAATGTAATCCTAAGTATGTTATGTATAAAAGATATGGCAAACAAAAACCATCTTTATATTAGCTAATTTCTGGAACAGCACACAAGTCACAGAGTGATTTTTATATGACCCAAAGATTGTGGAATGCTAAAGTTTAGAACGTAGAGACCTTCATAGTCCTGTTGTCATTATGACTGAAGCTACTGTTCCAAGTCTCCAAAATACAAAGTATTTTAGAGTCGTCATTAAGGACAATACTTTATTGTAGTAATAGCTTTCCAGATGACTTCTCATGTCATCGGTGCTAGTTCCTTCTGTATGTGTAGAGTTATTTAGTCACTTCCTTTGTCCCTTTTGGGATAATCTGTAGTTCATTTGGCCCCTTGAGCACACTTCTCATCCTCCTCCTTCAGGTCCCTAAACATAAGTGTTGAGTCTTTAACCATCTAACTAAGATGTTTCTCTTACAGCCCAGACTGAAGGGTGGGCAGTGGCCTAAGGGACCTCGGGGTGAGGAATCACAGTTTCATTTCCAGACTCATAAGTCTTTCTAAGCTTTCCCAAATGCTCAAAGGTTCACCTCAGAATTCTGCTGAAGGTTAGACAGTTGGTATGGGATTGTCACAACTAAAACCAAATGGCTCTTGGGGCCAAGATGAGAACTCAGGAACTTCCCTGTGTTCATTCAGAGTCATAGACCACCACCCACAACATGTATCATTCTACTAGGCTTTCTTTCAGCGACTACTTAATGGGAGGAGTGTTCCTCTCAACTCTGCATTTCCCAAACAGAGCTATTAATCAGACCCATCTCTACATCCACTGTGAGTGAGACAGGCATAGTTCAGGCCCTCAGGCTTGCCAGGAGGGCAGTAAGCCACTTGTTTTTCTTGGCAGATGTCTTTGTCTGCATGTGATTCCTTCTCTTCTTTCCTCAGACCACAAGATTCAGATGCCTTGGAGCTTAGAGGACCCTCAGAATTTGCTTCACCTTGTCTGCATTCCGTAGCCAGTACCACATAGTTTAACCCTTCTTGGTTCTTGGTTTCCAGTAAAGCAGTTGACATAACGTCATCTGAATTCAAACAAATCCTATGACCATGTTCATCTGTGAAAAAAAATACAAAAGTTATTCTAGCATCTGTTTGGTTTCCTTTATCTGTACTCTCCAGGCTGTATGAGAATTAGAACAACACCAGCCTTACCCATTGGTTCAGCAAATATTTATGATGACCACTAAGGGAACACAAAAGTCCAAGACATGTTCCCTGTCCTTGACGCTACTGCAGTGTAGTAGGAAAGCAGAAATAGTACCAGGGAAGGTCATGTGTGCGTATATAAGAAAGGAATACATAAAGTGATGAGAGCACAGAGGTGATTAACTCTGCCATAACAGGTGAAACAGGTCATGGTCTTTGTGACAGGAATTAAGTGGCCCTAGGGCAGCCCTTTTTGTGTGAAGTGCTTACCCTTTCATCTTGCCACATCAGCTAAAACACCTACCTTTAAAGATGTATTTCTTTAGATAAAGTAATTTAATCATTTATTAAGCTAATATCTATTGCATGCCTACTGCACACCAGGCTGTGTCCTAGGTATTGATGATACAGCAGTGAACAAAACACATTTGTTGCTATTTGGGGTTTACATTCTAATGGGGAGAGACAGACAATAAACTAGTGCAAAACTAAATTTATGTCGGGTGGTGATAAGCACTGATATGAAATATAATAATAATAATTGTTATTAATACTTACAGAGTACTTACTACGTACCAGGCACTGTTCTAAGCGAAATGCATATATTAACTCATTCTCCTGTTAAGTCAGTACTGGCACTATCTCCATTTAACAGATGAGGAAATTGAGGACAGAGGAGTTTAACAATTTTCCCAAGGTCACACAACTAGAATTTGAACCTAAACTGTCTGGCTCTAGTCTGTGTCCTCATGTTCACCTCCCTGAGGGGAGAGTGGAGCTGCCGTGCTGTGTGACAGGAAGGTGGTGGGCAGTGTGCCCTGCAGGAGTCCTTGAGAGGCACTGACTCCAGACACACATGTTTGTGAGGTGGGCCTGGCAATAGAAAGATGGGCAGCCAGAGGGTAGTTTGACCTTCTTCACAATTGTGCTCATATTATTTTGTCTTTCTCTACTTAGAAGCTGACCTTCTTACTTAGAAAAGTATAAGAATTCTTGTTGAAACCTAATTGCAGGGTTTCTGAAACATTCCGCAAAATTCTAAGGAGTCAACAAGATAAATATGCAAATGTATATTGTGGGAATTATTTGCTTTTTAACAATGCTTTCCAATCTCTGGGTGTTACTACATGGATGAAAAATTTACAGTCGGAAATATTACTGTCCTTTCATACAGCATCACGTTTTACTAATCAGAAACATTCCAGTCAGTAGATGCAGGTCCTTCCCTTTCTCCTCCTCCTACTTCCAGCACAAGAGCATCCAAATGTGCGGGTGAGGCCTGCCGGGCTGCCAAGCTTCTGTGCTTGGCCCTGACCTACACCCAGGCTGGATTTATTTAATATGGGGAAATTTTAAATAATTTCAAAGGTCTAAGGGAAGCACCATTGCATCTATTCCTCCCTGATGGAATTTAACGGATCTACCTATGACCAAGTTCCAAGCCTGAACTACAAAGCCTATTTTATTAAAGAAGCATGTGAATCACTGTCCTTGCTCTGTCTTCTTAGGTGTTTATTTCATTTTCAGACACTCCCCCACTGCTGAAGAACAAGAAGCCCGAGCTACAGGCTCACAGGTTCTTGGGCATCACCCCATGTTCCTCTTCATTGTTCAAACATCATTCTAGTATATTTCAAACCACACAAATAGTCAGATAGTGTTGTAAAATATCTCCCCCACAGAAATAAGTTTATCAGATGTCAGGTTTGGTTAGTGCCTAAGTGCTGAATATCTATGGAAGGATCCAACTGTTATGATTATTGTCAATATGTACTTACAGCCATTGAGAAACTCATAAGAATAACTTGCTATGCATGATAATAGCAATAGAAAATATCAAAAAATGATAGCAAGAAATAGGATATTTAACTTTAAATTGCCCGGCAGCCCAGATTACTGAGGAAACTAGGATGATATTCCTGAAGGGCTTAAAGAAATCAGGCTAAAGGAGTTTAGAATTTCAACAAAAATGTACACCTACAATATAGGTCTAGCTACTCATGTTATCAGCTGCTTCACTGCCGTACATTTAGTCCATTAAATAGCATATTGGGAAACTTTCTACTGAACCATGATTTAATTTTTTGCCTATATTGAGTTATTTGGAAAAAAACCTTTTACATAAGGCAAATAAATTCTTTTTACAAATTCTAGTGCAACATGTCAAAGAAAAATCATTAGCTAACTATTCCATTTGTTCATAGTACTTAGGGCAATATTTAGTAACTTGACCCTGGCAAGCTTTCAGCAATTAGTACATTTTCTTATTGCATAATTATGAGAGATGGGGCGGGTTGTTTATTTTGGTTTAAAAACTACTGTATAGAAAACCTGCAGGTCCTTAAAGCAGAGAGAGATCCTGAGCAAAGATGGCATGCACTTGGCAACCCTTGGTTTAAGAGGGAAATATTAAAATAAAGACTTCCAAGTAAGACAGGATATTTACAGACAAGACATATGCTGGCTGACTGGCTATGTTTAGAACAGCAGAAGAGCATTTAGATTTGTTTCCTGTGGAACTCTCTGGGACTGATGAGGTGATGTTTACACAAATGTTTGGATGAAGTCACTGGGATATTTTTACTAGATCCCCAGATATGTTACTAATCTTCTCTCTCTATCCCCTCTCCACCCCATTAGGTCAGTAGGACCATAGCATAGGCATGGTATTATTGCTCCCTGAAATCCTAATGCCTTTTTTTTTTTTTTTTCAAAAAAGTCCTCCCAGTGGCTTTCCTCTCTTCTTACACACCTCTGACAATAACAAAGAAGACTTCTTACAGTTTTGTTAAATATGCCCACCAGTCTGCAAAGCAGCACACTATAATTAAATGCATTCTGTTTTACTTAAAAGGTAATTAAGTTTAGGCTTGCCTTGAAGAGACTGTTCCATGATTTCTATCCTTTGCAAATATGCAAACTCTGCTTTTCATTCTATTTCTTCTCTCTTCTCTGCCACTTTTTTTTTTTTTTATGTGGTACGCGGGCCTATCACTGTTGTGGCCTCTCCCGTTGCGGAGCACAGGCTCCGGCCGCGCAGGCTCAGCGGCCATGGCTCACGGGCCCAGCCGCTCCGCGGCATGTGGGATCTTCCCGGACCGGGGAACGAACCCGTGTCCCCCACATCGGCAGGCGGACTCTCAACCACTGCGCCACCAGGGAAGCCCTTCTCTGCCACTTTTGTTCAGTCACATCGAATTATCAAAATTTTTGGTGATCCCCGTATCTCTTTCTATTCCTTATCATCAGGATTTACATTCATTGTAAATCTCAGAATGTGAATTTCTCTTGTACCAAAATTCTATATCTGTCACGGCACAGAACTACTTGTTTCTATCTAAATTATCAGAGTTTGATTATATTCCCTGTTAACCTCTTCCTGCATCCTTATTCTGCCTCATTATGTCTGCTTCTCTATTTTTTTTAATATTATTTAGAATTTTAATTCAGTCTTTCAACAACTTAGCACCTAAATAAATCAGCATACCAAAGAAAACAAAGTGGGGAGAGTGTGGGAGCAGTTTTCTAACCATAGCCACGTCTCTGTGAAGGATGAGAGCAAAGGCTCTAGAATAGAGTCCTACTCCAGCCCCATTCAGCAGGATGACCATGGGCAAGTTACTAACCTCAATCTTTTCAGCTGTAAAATGGTAATATTATAATGCCCACTTCATAGGGCTATTGTGAGGATTTAATGAGTTAAATTTATATAGCACAAGTGATATATAAAAAAGTGCTAAAATAAAGTTAACTAATACTGCAATTAAAAGCCATTCACAAAAAGAGTTTTGTTCTCTATATGTACTGTTACCTCGGTCTCATAGATGAACTAGGTAATGCTACATGGTGAAAGGATTTTCTTAAGGGTTCATGGAGACTTCTGGTAGACCCTAAGGTAAAACTAAGCTCTCAGGCCCTCTAACACCCATTATGACAGCCTCCGTAATTTTTATATAAAATGTCTGTACTCATTAGAAGGAAAGGCTTCCGTGAGTGAGGAGTTGAATTTTAAAATATAACATAAGTCAACTGTAAATTCCTCGCAACCCTATGGAACTCTTTATCTCTGCAGCATTTGACCACTCTCAAGTCTGTGAGCCTCTCTCCTTTGGATTTCCATGACAGCCTTCCTCTTCCCTTTCTGACTTCTCCTCTCAGTGCCCATCATCTTTCTTTGTCAGTCCCTCATATATTGGCCATTTTCTGGGTGCCATCCACTGTTTACTTCTCTTCTAATTCTATACACTTTAATTGAATAACCTCAATTACACCCTTGACTTCAACTACCTGTATTTCCAACTGAATACTGGGCTTCTTCATTTCTCCCACATTCAGCTCAAACCAAACATGCGTAAAGCTGTTCCTCCTCCTGTGCCCCCGCCTTTGGGAAGAGCATGGCTTTGCACCTAGTTTCTCAAATCACTGGGATTCACCATCGTCTCCTCTCTCTTCTTCACCCAATTAGATGCCAAATCCTCTAGCATCTACCCCTGTGGTAAGTCTGGTTTCCATATCCTTCTTTCTATACCTGTCATCATTCATTATTTCAGCTTTCATTAATTTTCATTTCTTATGTGATTAGTGTGACCACCATTCCTCCAGTTTCATCACTTGCCATTTCCCACCGTCAAGTGTGATAAACTACCTGCAGTTCTGTGAACCCCCATTCTCTATTATTCCCTGACTTTCTACATACTGCTCCTTCTATCCTGAGATACCTTCTTCTCACCCCTCTGTAGGACTCAGTTTAGGATTAACCTCTCAGTGGCTTTTATTGACTCTCCCTCTGCCATACAGTGTAGGTTTGGCATGCTGCCGCAGGACTCCCACAGAACATGAATTCCCTCTCAATGGCAACAGAATGCCTCCTGGCTTCTGGCAGAAGATGTAGTTTAAAATCATCTGCTCACCAAATCTTCGAAAATAAGCTCATTTGTTAAAAAAAAGAAAAATGGTGGAGAACTGACCAGAGAATCTACATCTCACTCATTCCTCTAGACTACCAGCCAGTGTGTATGTACACAAACATACACAAATGAACATATCTGTAAATAGTTGTATATGCATATAAAATATCTGGAAGTATATAATCAAATCACAAACAATGGCTAGCACGGGGAGTAAGGACAGGGAAGAAGTAAGAGACTAACTTTTTACGCTGCTTAGATACTTTTATATGTTTTTTAAACAATAAACATAAATTACTTTTCTAATAAAGATCTTTAAATACAGTTATAAAAATAATATAGCAAGAACTATTACAGAGATTAATTACTAGGAAAGTTAGAAGAAAAATTGGAAAGGATCAGGAGTCACTTTTTTGATTGATTGTAAAATAACATAAAAATTCTTTTTTAAACCTTTAAGAAGATGACGATTGTGTTTCATTTTATAAAGGCCACAAAAATGATATTCACAAGAAAATCTGAATCAGAGGCTTAGTAGTTAAGCTTTGCCTTCTAGAGATCAGAGCAGTGATTTAGTAAGGAAATCATGCTTTCAGTGCCCAGTAAGCAAAACCATGTTCTGCTTGCCTTTCAAACATCTCTGCAATCAACTCAACCCACTTACTGCCATTCATCTACCTCAGGAACAAAAGATTTCATTTTACATATTGGCAAACCACCCCAGATTGTTGTTCCTCTAAAGTTTCCGTATGTGAAGTTACAACCAATAAGAACCAGGCCAAGCAGGGGCAGATTCAAATGGCTTGAGCAAAACAGTATTATTCAGTAGTAGACTGGTGACACTCACCTTTCCTGTGGATAGAGACACAGTCCTATGACAAGGACAACTTTTAAAATCACCAGTAGAAGAACAGCTCACTACTAAACATTACATACAAGATTAAAGAAACTGACTCTATAGTTTCTCAAGGGAAAGAAATATTCTTGCCTCTTCTTTTTCTTTAAAGCCTCCCAATGGTACACATTAAATTCAGGTGCTTACCACTATACTAGGCCTTGCACAAAAGTCAACAGGTATCTGTTGAAATAATTTTTTAAATTTTCTCAAATATTCATTCAAAGGAATACATTAAGCAAACGTTTAGAAAATGAGAAGGATTTTATTGTATGCAGAATGGCTTATAGATATGTTTTTTCTTAACCTGGGTGATCTTCACACAGTCAGGTATATGTATAGAACCCTCCAGAAAAGTGGGGTTGCCTTGCAGTTATAACTCGTAAGGGCTCAACCATTGGCACTCCTAGAATCAGCTCGGTTCCATGATGAGAAGGCAGGTAGAGCCAATGTGAGATTATTAACAAGGCTTATTCTGTTAAGGATCAGGACGCATGCTCAAAGCAAGCACAGCCCTTTCCAATCTGTCACTTAGCTGTTTGTGTTAAAGAAGTCTCATGATCAGAGTCTTATCTCCATTCATGTCATGGATCCAAAGTTACTCAAAATGTATAGTCAGAAACACAGCAAACAAGACAAGCAGATATTCGTCCTTGGGCTTCGTATTTTTCCCTGCCATTATTAGTCAAGTGTATCACTCACGGTGAAGGTCTCACTGTAGAGAGATGACTCCAGGGCAACCATCAGCATTGTGTAATCAATCAGTGCAGAGACGGAGAGTCTTAATTTCTGAGGGATTCTGAGTCATGGTCAATCTTGCCAGGTTTATTTCTAAGCAAGAATGTTTGCATTTGAAAAAAAACAAAGGGTCCTATGAACTTTTAATAATGGGATGAAGTTTAAGAGCAGCTGGAAAGGATCGTTTTAAAATTTATTTTTCTGCAGCCAATTAGGCAAATGTGTTGTAAATCTGATTTTGGAAATGAATTAAGTGACTACTGTGTTTTAATACCAAAATACTGTAGTGGAATCACAGTAGACCTTAGCAAGGTGTGACCCACTACAATAATCATAGCAAACTAAGTAGCAGTTAAAAGCACCAGATTAGACATATACATAGCAACATGGATGACTCTTAAAAACACAGTACTTAATGAAAAAGAAAGAAAAGAAGCATTACATAACACGATAGTATCCATGCATACAATATACAACAAATTAAAAGATACACATTAAAGACATTAGTATGGCTGCCTGGCAGGTGGAGGGAGGAAATAGAACAGGAGAGGAATATGGAGATAAAGGGACTAAACAAACAAATGAAAGAGAAGTCTTGCATAGACCAGTGACGATAATGTACCATCAACTATAATTAACTCAACTCTGCCACTGAGGTGCAAACTGGCATGAGGGGTGGAGGGCGGAGAGAACAGGCCTCATGAAAATATAGTCTAACATGTTAATTCTCATCCTTACTATCTGAAATTATAAATCCAGGGGCCATACCATTCTTTTTTTTTAATTTAATGAACAAATCAAAATTATTTTCAAAGAGGAGTACAATAAATACTTGATTATGAGGATGGTGCCAGTATATTATTCTTCTTACGCACTGTAAGATGTCTTCCACGTACATCCCATTTTAACCTTATTCAGTTCACACTGTAGAGAAAACCCAAAAATTCTGAAGAAGAATCAAACTTACCTTCAAAGGCTTCATTTATGACTCCGCTGGGGTTTGTTTCTCCTCTGCATTGAGAAATACTATTTAAGGAAAAATTTCTGAATAACTGAAGCTGTTCTTGAATTTTATGGAAAGTAGGTCTTTGGTCAGGTTCTTGAGCCCAGCACTGGGCCATTAAATTCCACCTGGATATGTGGGTAAGGACACAAAGTAAATAGTGATTGGATATGACTAGGTACCCATTACTGATAACCCAGGTAAGTTCATTTCAGAAGGAAAAGAATTTGAGGTATTGCCAGTTTTCCATAATTAATATAACTGAACCAGAACAAAAGCTTTTGTTTCTTATATAATAGTGGCTGGCAGTATAACTACGTTTATTAGAAAACATCTTCCTTCTGAAAAGCTGACATTCAACAGTTATTAATCTAAATAAATAGATAGTAAATAGATGGTTGGAAAATGTTTACTGAACCCATTAGGAAACTAACAGCTATAAAAATTACTGAAGAAGCTGAGATTAAATTTTACATTCATACACTGATATCTGAAACAAAATCTAAGATTTACTCCAAGCCACACAGATATTTAGTGGCAGAACCAGAGGTAGAAATCAGATCCAATTCTAATGTTTTTACTCTTCCTTACACTGCCAGGTTCATTAAGAGACTCAGTTCTCCTAGACATAGATAGCTGGTTGAACATTCTCTTTTCCTTAATGGTTGTCTAAGAAATGTCTGTGCAGAACTCTTGACTAATGTTCATTCATTCATTCAGCAGATCTGTTGGACACTTACTATATATGAGCAGTATATCAAGAGCAAGAGATGTGGCAGTGTGACTCCTGTCCTCATACGATATATATAGCAAACGTAAGAGGGAGACAAAATTTATCCACTACAACTCATAGGAGCAGGGGAAAATGTAGCTCTTTGTTCTGTAACTAATTCTCAAAGCCCCACCTAGTAGAAGAAAATTAGTACAATGCCATTTATAACCTAGCCCATTCCAATATTTTAAACCACCCTTTTTAGGTAATCCTCAGTCTTTTATGGATAATAACTCAGTCTCTCTTATCTTTAGGCTCTTCCTACTCCCTCTGTCTTCCTCTCCAAGGTGGTATCAGGATTTACGTTGGGTGAAAGTCTTTTGTGAGTTGTACTGGCACAGTGAAGGATCCTTTGGACCCCACTGTGCCCTCCTTCTCTAGTCTGAGAATGAAATGATGAGGAATTCCATAAGGAGTGACTGGTCTGGTCCATCCTGCAGGCATCGGCTGCTCTCTGCAGTCTATGATCCCTTTAACCTGTTCTTTTGGCCCTTCTCCCTGAACTGGTCCCCCCTTTTCTCTCTCTAGCTGCAGGCCTCTGAGACGGCATCATGTCCCATATCTGCTGACAAGGCCCAGGAAATCCCTTCCTGTTTCTGTTGCATGCCTGAAGATGCTCCTCGGCTGAATCTCCAGCCTTCAACAAAATGTTCACTCTACACAGGAAACAAAGGAGGCTTAGAAGGGCAAGCTACATGTTCCCTGTCTGGACATGCCATCCTACCCTGTTCATGATGCTGGGTGTCCATGTCAATGTGGGGGATCCCCTGCTCAGTGATCTCCTTGCCATCCTGCCAAATTGGGAGGAGTGGGCAGTTGCTCCCTGTGCTTAGTGTCACCCGCACCTAATCTAACTGAGGCCTACAGAGGTTTCGAGACCTAAATATCCAACATCTTCATCCTCCTACCTCTGTCTGTTAAGGTCTCTTCTTCCTACACTTGCCCGGGGCTTAGAAGGAGTTGAGTTTCTCTTCAATTCCTCTTTTTTTATTAGACTATCCTTATATAGAATTATAGGTTTAGTTGCTCACACCTGGCATTTAGCAAGCTAACAAGGAGCTAAAGGAGTCTGTTGGGTGGGCTAAAAGGTTCGTTTGTTTTTCTCCGTAAGGTGGCTCTAGTAGCACTTAGTTGTCTTTAACTTCATTCAAAACAATTTTGTTAGATTGTATGTGACAGCTGTCACGTCAGCGTGCATTATAAAAAAACTTATCAAAATTGGTGTAGCTATTTCAATATTGAAGGTGGAAGGAAAAAAAGCAACATTTTCAGCATATTATGCGTTATTATTTCAAGAAAGGTAAAAATGCAACCGAAACGCAAAAAAAGACTTGTGCAATGTATGAAGAAGGTGCTGTGACTGATCGAATGTGTCCAAAGTGCTTTGTGAAGTTTCGTGCTGGAGATTTCTCGCTGGAGGATGCTTCCGGGGTCGGGTAGACCAGTTGAAGTTGATAGTTATCGAATCGAGACATTAATTGAGAATAGTCGACGTTATACCACACGGGAGATAGCTGACATACTCAAAATGTCCAAATCAAGTGCTGAAAATCATTTGCCACAGCTTGGTTATGTTAATCGCTTTTATGTTTGGGTTCCACGTAAGTTAAGCAAGAAAAACCTTCTTGAGGGTGTTTCCTCATGCGATTCTCTCCTTAAACGTAACAAAAACATTCCGGTTTTAAAACAAATTGTGATGGGTGATGAAAAGTGGATACTGTACAATAACGTGGAATGGAAGAGATCGTGGGGCAAGCGAAATAAACCACCACCAACCACACCAAAGGCCGGTCTTCAAAGAAGGTTATGTATATATGGTGGGATTGGAAGGGAATCCTGTATTAAGAACTCCTTCCGGAAAACCAAACGATTAATTCCAACAAGTACTGCTACCAGTTAGACCAGCTTGAAAGCAGCACTCGACGAAAAGCGTCCAGAATTAGTCAACAGAAAATGCATAATCTTCCATCAGGTTAACGAAAGAGCGCATGTTTCTTTGATGACCAGGCAAAAACTGTTACAGCTTGGCTGGGAAGTTCTGATTCATCTGCTGTATTCACCAGACATTGTGCCTTCAGATTTCCATTTATTTTGGTCTTTACAAAATTCTCTTAATGGAAAATATTTCAATTCCCTGGAAGACTGTAAAAGACACCTGGAACAGTTCTTTGCTCAAAAAGATAAGTTTTGGGAAGATGGAATTATTAAGTTGCCTGAAAAATGGCAGAAGGTAGTGGAATAAGAGGGTGAATACAGTGTTCAATAAAGTTCTTGGTAAAAATGAAAAATATGTCTGTTATTTTTACTTAAAAATCAAAGACACTTTTTAGCCAGCCCAACAGATAACCCTCTCTCTCCTCCAAGCTTCATTTCCAAGTCTACTGACTCACTAAAAAGGTCAAGTACCTGTTCTCTTTTTTACTTTCTGGATCTAGAAGGCCGATTGGGGGCAGAGAGAGAAAGACTGCTAAAGAAACATAAACTGGGAAGTATTTAAAAATATTAGTACTACCATATCAACAGATAAATATACAATTACAAATTATAAGTTCTAAAAAAAAGTACTAAAGAAAACAGATGTGAGCTCTAATAAGAGATGGAACATTTTTGGCAAATTGCTTATAGAAGGACCCTCTGCAGAGGCGATGTTTAAGCCAATGAACTCTGTAGGAAAATAAGATGCTAGTCATGGGGACTGGGTGGGGATGGAAGTCAGGGAACACACTAGAAGAGGCAAAAGCATGTGTAAATTCCTAAATTGGGAAAGAGCTTGGCACATTTTGGAATGTGAAGGAAAGCCAGTGTGGCTGTAGAGCAGTCATTGAGGGGGAGAGTATAAAAGATGAGGTCAGAGAGGTGAGGATCAACCAGATCAAGGGCCAGGCTAGGTGCTGGGTTTTATGGCACTGCAATGGAAGCTGTCCAAGGTTTTTAAGTGGGCATGACCTTTACATCTTTAAAGGATGACTCTAGTTGATATATGTGGAGAATTGATGGTAGACGGGCAAGTTGGAAGCAAGGAAGTTCTGTTTTTTTTAACATCTTTATTGGGGTATAATTGCTTTACAATGGTGTGTTAGTTGCTACTGTATAACAAAGTGAATCAGCTATACAGATACACATATCCCCACATCTCCTCCCTCTTGCGTCTCCCTTCCACCCTCCCTATCCCACCCCTCTAGGTGGTCACAAAGCACTGAGCTGATCTCCGTGTGCTATATGGCTGCTTCCCACTAGCTATCTATTTCACATTTGGTAGTGAATATATGTCCAGTAAGCTGGGACGAAGCGAAGGAAGTTATTGAAGACTAGGTGAGAGATAATGGTGTTAGACTCAGACAATGACAGTGGAGCGGGAGTAAGAAAATATTCAATTGCTAGGTGACAATGATGCAGAAATCATCATAGGCATTGTATTTAAAATAGCTGTATCTGTATATGGCATGCAGACTCCACTTCCATCTCTTTCATTCTTGCAAGCACCTCAGGTCAGAGTTAATACTCAATATCAGAGTATCATGGAGAAACCTAATATTGGTCTGTTTTTCAGTATTGATCTGATGACTTTTCATATATATTACAAGGAATTTACATTCTGGATATGGAGTGCCAAACTTGGCTTTATTTTTTAAAGATTAGAATCATCGCTAAGAACCTAATCTTTTACATATTTCTTTATAATCTGTGACATTTAGAAACAGGGATGACAGAGAACTCAGTAAAAGACAATTCGATTCTGAAATAACATCGTGTAACTGATATTCGATCATGGAGTTTAAACCAGTAGTTAAAGTAGAATCTTGATGGGAATCTTAGGGTTGTCCTAAGAGGTGAGAGGAGAAAGTGAAGTGTAACTTGCCACAGGGAGCCTATCCCTTCTAAAAAGAAAGTTGTGATTCTGAGATACTGCCAGAGGATACATTGAATCTCTCAAGACTTGTCATATTTCAATTATGAAGTTTCTAGTTTATTTATTTATATCCCACCTCATTCTACAAAGTATTCAAGACACTTAATGGAGATGATTTAGTGAGAAGGAAGGAGCGAGAGGAGGACGGAGGGAGAGGGGAGAGAAGCCATCCATACAGTCGCCCCTTTGCCACTCTGTACTTCACCCACTCACACTCCCCTCCAAAAGTTTAATCTGTGCAAGTTATTTAATCAGATATTCCTAATTTTCATCTATGGAGGCTTTAATTTACATTGAGTCCATCATTACTCTTAACTCTCTGATGGCAAAAACAATTGACCTGATGGTATTTAAAACCTTTCTCTCCCACTATCCAGGGCCAAATGAGCACTGGATTGCCCTAGATTAAGAAAAGAGGAGCTCTATAAAGCAGTAGTCATTTAAAAGTAAAGAGTAAAACTTGTGCTCTTAAACAGCATTAAGGTGACAATGGAATAAATGACTAGGCTTTTAAAATTTTATCAATCCTAAAAAATGCATATCTTTCAGGTAAATTAACAACTGTATCTTTGGCATAGGGGTCTTTCCATACAAATACATACTTGTCACAATTCAGTATCATGCATTAAATACTTGTACCAAGTTATAGTTACAAATATTCAAGCATATTAGTCTAAATAAACTGACAGCTCCTTCACTTTTATTAAAATTTACCTGGGCTGGTTGTTCTACCTCTAAACAGATACTCACACACTATACTTGAAATGTCTCATTTAGCTAAGTGTTCCAGTTCAAATTCTTCCACTCACTATGCCAACCCCTTTACTCCTCTTTGCTTCAGTTTTTTCCACAATAGCACAACCTCATTAACCATGTTCATTAATAGTCTCTATGAGTAAAATCCTTGGATTTGTAAGGCAATTGAAATTCAACAGTTGAAAACTCCATGGCATCTTTCAGTATTAAGGGGATAAGTTTTTATAAGTGTTTAAGCACAGCACATAAAATACAGATTTTAAAATACCCAATCCCAGAAAGACCCAGTTAGCATCAATTAGCGTCTAGGTATACATATTCTTAAGGGGTAAAAATAAGATGGTGAGCCTCCATGTTCTCCCATTGTCGCCTCCGTCATTTGAGAGACTCTCCAGTAATTTCAGTTGCCCCTGTGATACCTGTGAAAGAGCTCTCTCACTTGATGTAGATTGCCCTTTGATCCCGTTTATTCTTGAGAGTGCTATGGTTGTTGTGCAAACTAAAAGCTGAAGAGAATGCTGAGGGCTGGGCTTTGCACCGTACATCCCAGGCTATGGGAAGAAGGGCAGGAATGCTCTGAACTCTCACATTCCATTAATAGCTAGCCATCTATGGACTCACCTGACCCAGAGTGCATCCAGGTGCTGAGTATTTAAGCAGTGAATAGAAGGTGCAGCCTGGCTCAGCACAGACTTTCAACCCTCTAAGCTGGGCCTATGATCTCCGAGAACTGCTTCAAATAAAAATCAGTTCCCTCTGTACTCTAAGGAGAGTAGTTAATCTTTATCGTGACAACTTAAGGCCGTGGACAGATTGAATGGCATCGCTGAGAGCTCCGTTTCCTTAGCACAGCTTGTCTTCCTGGTTGGCCGTGGGTCGTTAACCCTTCCTAGGGATCTGGAGCATGCAGCCCTTAGAGGGCTTGGAGCATTGTTCACTTTTTAATTACTGATGTTCAAATGAACTTCAAAATCAGCAACGGAAATTTTAGCTTCAAGGAAACTATATTTTTATAAAATTAGAGCAATAATGTATCCAACTGAGTAATTATTCAAAATAAAATTATATAGAATATTATCTTTTTCCACTTATAATCAGGAATATTTGTCTAGAACTTTTCTAGCACTCCTTCTTTCTCCTCCTTCTAATTGAATTTTTGGATACCTTTGGATAGAGCAAAGTTCAACGTACCCGCATTTTTCTTCTCCACAATAGGGCAGTTAATTATCCACCTCCCTCTTCCCCAAACAAAATAAATGAACACATAAGTCAAAACGTATAATTCAGTGACTGATTCCTAGAGTGCCTATCCAAAAAAAGAGCCTAATTATGATGAGGTACATTACCCTCTAGAGGGGAACATATGCCAAATAGAATTCTAACAGCACAAGGAAAATTTCGTGCAACTGAAATTTGGGAGAAATTTTCTGAGTGGTCAATAGATGTGTAAGAGATGCAAAACAGTGATTAGTTTGCTAACTATTTAATTAAAATGTATTTTATACCTAGGTATGCTGGGTTTTTTTCCTCAAGCCCTAGACTAAAGTTTTTCAAATTTTGTATAACTTTCTTAGTCCTAACTTCTAGAAGTTTTCCCATCTGCCCCAAAAGGATCATGAGTCATACTTTTAGACACTGCCACCAAACTTGTTCAGGTATGTGTATAACTGATCCTTCTGTAAATATCCCAGAGGCTATAAGAGCTAAACAGAAACAGACAGTGATTCCAATCTTCTTCTAGCTGGAAGATTTAAATAATACAAAAACATTCACGCATAGAACATCCAGCCAAGGTGCCCCGATCTTAATCATCTTTGGCTCTAATCTGAATAATCCTCTAAATAACACAGCATAGGCAAGGCAGTGCAATCATGGTGTGTATCCGCATACTGCTAATTCCTTTTGCACTTGTCTGTACCACGCAGTTTAGCACTTTATTACATGTTGGTTTGTTATCCAGCTGCTCCATGTGTGTGTCTTTTCTTTCAAAATACATTCAGAGATGCTGAAGAAGCGTGGCTCCGGTTTAAACACCTCTGTATTCCATACAGTCCTTAGCATGGTGTAGTGCACACAACAGAGGAGTTTATACTTGTTGATTATATGTTCTTTTAGAAATTTCTTGGGTAAAACACCTCTTAGAAAAAGTGTCAAGACTTGATATTTCTGCCAAGGTTGTTCACAAGAAGGTAGATTAGTACTCAGCAAAATTACTTGGCTTGCTTTTCCTTTATAATTAGATCAAAATCACCTACTGTTCCAAGGATCACAAATCTATTAGAATTCAATAGTTGCCAGGATCAATTTGATAAAGTCACTAATCCTTATGTAGCCACTTCGTGTGAAGTTCATAAATAGATAACAACCTATATAATTTTTAGCAGTACTATATCCCAATATCAGCTTTATCAACAAAAGCAATCCAACTTTTAAACAATATATTCCTAGTTAATAGAACCTTTTAATATGCAGGTTAAGATGTTAGTCAAATTAGATCTTCCAAAATGAAATGAGTATATATGTGAATACACACACACACACACACACACACACACGCACGCACACACGCACACATATACACAAAGAGCTTTTATTTATTTATTAGAATTCTCTTAACCTAGAGTATAAACATATTCTGCTGTTCTAGATTTTGCTTCTGAAATGAAATATCATGTATATATATAAATAAAAAGAAACCATCATGTATTTAGTAAATTAAGTGCCACAATAATTTACATTTTACATAAGATATACAAATATATAGATTCAGTTTTTATTTAAAAATACCATACCAATGAGGCACGTGATTGCCTGTGCACATGTTTTTGTTCTTGGGTACTTATGGAACATGATTAACTTACAGATCATCGGGACAATTTCTCGGTGGCTCCAGTCTCCCTCCTGTTTGCACATAGCTTAAAACATCAAGGTTAGAATGAGCTGGATAAGGCTGATGACCAAGAGTTAAAATTTCCCAAATCAAAATTCCAAAAGACCTAAAGATATTAAAGAGTTTGCTTTAATTATACATATTAGAAACATCATGTTTACAGTAGTTTTTCCAACATAATTATTCCTGGGGCTATCAGAGTCTACTTTGTGATTGGCATTTTTGGCCCCATAAAAGGCAAATGGGAGACTTAAAAGCAAGTTGACCTCAAGAAAAAGAGAACAAGCAACTGCATACTAACAACACTTCAAAGGTGATAGGAAGGCTTAGTGGGGGCACAAACACACACACACACACACACACACATGCACACTGTGCTCCTCTTCCCTGGCTGAATCTGCACTGCGGACCTCCATTACCTATGGCTTCCATAGCTTCATTATGCAAACACACTAGGGGTGAGCAAGAAAGCATTTCACCTTTCTTCCTGAGTTTGAGTGCTAGTAAATGTGGAGAGGGAAGGCATGAATATAAACTGACAACACTGAAGACCGACTTTATTTCATCCCCAGTTTTGCAGAGGTCCAGTCCAGCTTAAAAGTTATTGGATGAATCTTTGCATTTTGAGCAGCTCTAATCAAAAGTTTGGGGTCAACAAGCAGAAATGAGGGGTTCTATTCAAATAATAAAGAGCTCTCCAAACCTCCCTCATGTCCTAATCGTTTTGAGATCCATGATTTAAATTTTGTGTATAAATTAATGACCAAACATCCCAAAATAGTAGGCATTTGGACATATACTTGGACATTAATCATAGGCACCAATTCCTATTAGTCATGGCCTCTGCACTTGTGGAGAGTAGTGAGCTATCTGAAATAAATGGATCTATTCCACACACACCAGTAAGGTAACGGATCAAAACTAATTGGAGGGAGAGGTATAAACTGTTGAGACCCAAGAATAGCCCTTCCTTGCCCACCAGCTTTCACTTTAGCTTGAGGCAAATCACTTAACCTCTCTGGTCTTATGTTTTCTCATGTAAAAAACAAGACTAGATGACCTTTTAAGATCCCTTCTGGCTCGGGCATTGGATGGTTCTGCCCACGTTTCTCTGTGTCCTGTTAAGCTCACCATACATCAGACTGAGTAGTGAAGATTCCATCCATCAAACTTTCTGGAGCCATCCACCGAACAGGGAGCAGGCCTTCTCCTCTCTTTCTATAGTAATCATTTTTATAGATGTCCCTCGCGAGTCCAAAGTCCCCAATCTTCACTATCCGTGATGGACTAGTATAGTCTTTTACAGAGACAAGGCAATTCCGAGCTGCTAGATCCCTATGGCAGAAGCTATACTTTAATAATAATAATAATAAAATTCCAGAGATCAGACAAGTAACACTAGGAGGTCTGTAGAGAAGAGAGATTTTAACAGAAACTATTGCTATTTTGAAGGAATGAAAATGTTAATTATCTTGTATATTCTACCCAAACTGCAGGTGATTATTGTGCCAATCTTCATAAGAACTCTTTATCCAGAATGTCACTGTACCTGTGAATGAAGTGCATCTGCTCCAAGTAGACACAGCCTTTTGAAATATCTACACAAAGGTCTACAAGGTCAACCAAGGTGAGTAAAGGACCGTGAAACTGTAAGAAATAAAAGAAAAATTACAGGCACTTTTCCAGTTTGCACAAAATATATATGTATATTTTTGGCCACATATATATGCATGCACACACACATATATATGATGTTTTAAAGGAATTTTTAGTTATGGTAAAAGAATTCCAACAAAGAGGAAAAGAACTACATTTATATGCTTTCTACCAAAATATACATAAATAAGACTCTCTTTAGTAAGCAGAAGCAATATAGAATCTTTATTGGAAAGATCTCAGGGTGTTAGATCAAACAGACTAGTTTAAAACCTAGTTCTGCTACTTACAAGCTGTGTGAACTTGCTCACATTGCTTAATTCACTAAGCAATTTTCTCATATGTAAAATGGGAACAATAATACTAACTGTGTCAGATCTGAGATAAGCTATGTAATCTAGCTGGGACATAACAGGCACTTAATAAATAGTAGCTGTTCTCATTAGCAGTAATGATGATAGTTTAATCAGTTTAATTATTGGCCCAATGTCACGCTATAATGTCAGTCATGACAATGGGCTTGTTCTCCATATGGGTCCCATAGAAATTGTTAGCAATACTCTATTTCAAGGTCACAGATTACTCCTCTCATCTAAGAGAGCCAGCACAAATATACAGTTGAGCCTGTACTGGCTGCGATGATTTCTACATGAACAAAGCCAGTTGACGTTTTTATTAGTACCATATGGAAAAAATTCAAAGTTCCTTCCTGGAGGCTCTATTCATATACTGTCTGTCCCTTACCATTTCCCTGCAATTACCCTGTTTCAAGCCTTTATCATCCCTATCTGATGCTTCCCAAACTTCCCATGTCTCCAGCCTCCTGTGTTTTAATTAGCTCACTTTGTTGTGACCCACTGCCTGTAGAGTCTATTACAGATTCCTGAGCACAGCCTCCATGGCAGCCCCAGGCTGCACCAGCCTCTCTTTACATCCATTTATTTTCCATAGATTCTTCTCTCACAATCTGTGCTTTGGTCACACTGGGCCATTTGCAGTTCCTTATACCTGCTCTGCATTTCTCAGCCTCTCTTCATTATTCCTTCTATCATTCCTGGAATGCCCTCCGTATTCTTGATTTCCATCCACATCCTTCAATGAGCATCTCAAAGGATTCACAACCTTGAAATCCCTTGATTCCTCATAGACGGGTGCTCTTAAATGCTGTTCCCTCTGACTCCCCTGACAAGCTCATGTCTTGTCCCAAAAAGTAGGAAGAATCCTGAATTCTGGGACTCAACATTGCCATGGTCCCACTCAACTACACCTATGTCTTAAAACTAAACTCAGTCTTACTCCCAAGAATCAATCCCTTGCAGCCCTGTTCAGGTCCACTAGATGCGCCTCTCACAGCCTTGTGTCTGAGTCCCTGCCTTGTGTCTCAGCTGGTTCATTGGTTCCTCTGTGAATGGAATCCTTCTTTGCCCTTGGCAAAACCTACTCTACTCTTGAAGACATTCTTCGCAGAGAATCCTACTCCTGCACTTCAGTCTGGTGGCTAGTGCCCTGTTCCTTGCTGACAGATTTTCAAATGCTGCCTGCCTGTTTGAATCTCTAATTGTAACTTGCTCCTAATAGCCCCTGTGACAACCTATTGGAACATTTCATTACCCCATGTCGGGCCTCCTTAACCCCAGATGCTGTCCTCGGCTACCACCTGTCTTCTCTTGCCAAACCCTCCAGACATATTGAACCTCCATCTCTGTCCATCCCTAGTCAAAGCCTTTTATATAACTCATATCAGTGTAGTTTCAGAAACTGTTCTATCTCGCACCTTGGTTGTGTCCCAAACAGAAGACCTCCTCCGTGAAGCCTTCTCTCATCTCCCCAGTTGGAAATCATCTCTCTCTCCTCTGTGCTTCAGCAGTGTATTCTCTACTCCATTCTAATGGGCTTTCCCTCTTTCTACCTTAAATGATTCATTCATATGTGACTTACCCACCCTACCATGTGGCAGGGCCCTTGAAAGCAAGAGCCACATCCTCCACTGTCGTAAAATAAATACCCGGCAAAAATTTCATGAAGTGAATTGTGTCTGGCTATGTAGTTGTATTATTCTGATAGATAGGTTTTTTTGTTCACTTTTTCTATCTTACTACAATCTTAGAATATCAAAGCTAAAAGAAGCCGAAAAAGTTTTGGATTCAGGGTTCCATTTTACGATGCAGAAACTGAGTCCTAAAAATGAAGGACCAGACTAAGGTTTATAAACCCAGTTGCAGTCAATCCTTATGCATTCAACCCAACAAAACAGTCTCAGAGTGGGGATGGGGAGAAGGGTGCTTGTAGCACTCTCTGTGGAGAGGCGGCTGGCCCTGTGTGAACTTAGACTGATGGGGGCGTAGAGCCCATGGCCCTCCGCTGTGGACCCCGCACCTTGATTCTGGCACTCAGCACCTAAGGGCACCCTGTCTGATAAGGTCAGGGCAAGAGAGACAATCATGAACGCTGCCTTGGTAGCCAGCAGGAAAGGCAGTGGAAGAACTGAAGTGCACTTGAGAACCAGTCGTCAGAACCACTAGGACACTGGCTGAATAAGAGTAGTTTGGGAAAAGCAGCTCTGTGAGTTCTTTTAGTCCACCTTCATTGTCTCTTCTCTCGCCCACAAAAAACTAAAAAAAAAAAAATCTACAGAGGCACTTTCTTGTTAAAGATGAGGAATTGAATTTATGCATTTTAGTTTTATTCTCTCCCCAAACCTTACTAAAATGACATTATAGAGGAAATGTTGTGATCTCAAGAGGATAAACAGATCAGGAGAATAGATAGAGCGCAAGGAAACATTTTTGGAGGAAGGAAAGCAGGTGGAGGTGTGGTCATTTAGCAGAGCCAAGAGAGATGAAAGCTGGCTGCCTGCAGAGGTAGAAGACAAGAATTAAGTGACGTTTTTCACTATAGAACCCCATAAACACTCTGGAATTCGAGGTAGCAAGTATCTCTGAATGCAGGGTTGAGGGGCAGGACTGAAAGCAAAGTGAATATTTAAAAGTTTGTTTTAAGAGCTAAGTAGACCCTAGATCCCCGCCCCACAGCAGCAGCAGGCTTTCCGCTGCTAAACCCACACACACACATACACACACACACACACACACACACACACACACACACACATACACACACACACACACACACACAGAACCAGAGCAACTCCAAGTTCAAAGATACCAGTCATACTAAGGCGCTGTGCTAAAAATGGAGAAGGGAATTAAATAAGAATCCTCATCCTGAGAGACCTCCAGCCCTCCTCCCCGACTCGACTCCCTGACTGAGGCTCAGGCGTTTATTGCCCAGGCAGGAGACCAGCAGATTCCTCTCTGGGGAAACTGGCGTATGCCAGGAAAGACATCCAGGTGCTGTCATCAGGCGACCCCAGCGGAACATCAGGGTCCCCCCTGACAACCCAAAGGAAGCTGCCACAGACGTAGGCTCCAATTCTTAGGTCTCCCTATTAAATATGAAGACCAGCCACAAATTACAAAACATTTGAGAAAAGCTTCTCATATTACAAACAGATCCCAGAACAATGAGGCAAAAAGGAAGTCAAGACAATGCAGGAAGCAAATTAACACTTAATAAAAACTATGATTAGTATCCTAGGAAAGATAAAAGAAGACTTTGCATGTATGGAAAAATCAGAATACTATTTTAAGAGGCAGTCAAAATATAAGAATGAGTCTATGGAAAATTAAACTTTTTAATTCTATTAAAAAATTAAGGAAATATACCAGAATTGAGAGCAAAAATACAAAGAGTAGAAAATAAGAGAAAGCAGCTAATAAAAGAAAAGGATACAACAAAGGTGACCATTATCCAACTACTAGGATTTCTAGAACAAGGAAATAAAGGGAACAAAGAGTTTTCTTTATTACCAAAGAAATAATATTAAAAAATCCCAGAACTAAAAGGGATGATTTTCCAAGCTGAGTGTCCAGATGAGTAAAATGTATCACAGATAAGAAGCAGTTCCTGGGACTTCCCTGGTGGTGCAGTGGTTAAGAATCTGCCTGCCAATGCAGAGGACACGGGTTTGAGCCCTGGTCCAGGAAGATTCCACATGCACAGAGCAACTAAGCCCGTGTGCCACAACTACTGAGCCTGCACTCTAGAGCCTGCAAGCCACAATTACTGAGCCCACACGCCACAACTACTGAAGCCCGCGTGCCTAGCACCTGTGCTCCGCAGCAAAGAGAAGCCACTGCAATGAGAAGCTGCACACTGCAATGAAGAGTAGCCCCAGCTTGCAGCAACTAGAGAAAGCCTGCGCACAGCAACAAAGACCCAACGCAGCTAAAATTAAATAAATAAATTTATAAGGAAAAGAAAAAAAAAAGAAGTTCCTAAAATTTTCCAAAGAGAGGACAAAAAGCAAGTCCCTGATCATATGTCCAGGAATCAGAATGGCATAAAACATTTTAAAGGCAATTGTAGAAGCTAGAAAACAAAGAGGCAGGAATTTTATTTTTGAGGACAAGGGATTTTCAACCTAGAATCCAGCCAAATTATTAATCAAGTGTGGGGCGGGAGGGAAGAACAGTTCCTCAAAATGAAAAAAAAAAAGATTTTTGCCTTGCATGCTTTCTCTTTTCTAAAACAGAACAAAGAAGCCATGGAATTGAGGAAATAAAAGTCCAACATGGAAATTACCAGGGTACATGTGAAGGAAACCCCTAGGGTAACAGCTCTGTAGAGACCAGAGGACAAGCGCCTGTATCAACTCTAGGAGAGAAGTGTCCAGGAAAAATATAGTGAGGAGCTGGATTATCTCATATATATACCCATATTGTGAGAAGGGTTACAATTCTGTCAGAGAGTTTAGGAATATAGAAACCTAAACGAGTGGGGGGGGGCATTTATTAAACTACTCAAGAGAAGAACCACAATCATAGTATTTGAGTAACTTAGCAAATAATAATTAAATAGACATAGTAACATAAACTTGCAATATTGATTCATCTGCAAATTGGGGTAACTGTCAGAGGATGGGGAAAGCAGAGTTTTTCTGCGTGTAGAGCTGGTGGGGTCAGGCTGGTACGTGACTAAGAGCTTAAATCCTTGCCTCTTGCAGTAGGCAGTCAATAGATCTCCCCCAAGGTTGAAAACTCACTTATACTGCAGCACTATAAGCAGAGCGTTTAGGAAAGTGGAGGTAAACACCAGAAGGAATGAGCAGAGGCCTGGGATGTGGGGATGAGATAGAGCACAGGACTTCTGTTTTTCACCATAAACCTTGTCATATGTTTCAGTTTTTTAGCTATATAATGTATACTTCAATAGAAATAATAGAAATAGAAATAAATAGAAATAGAAATTTATTTCAATAGAAATAAAACCCGTAATTTTTAAAACTACACATTTAAATTTTAGTTACTTGTTTTGTCTCAGGTGTTTCTCACCTGAGACCTAAAAGCAGGTTCCCACAGGTGCTGAGACCCCCGGCCCTCATTCCCCACACGTGCCACAGTATTTACACCGTCCACTGTGCTGGATGCTGCTCTAGGCACTGCGGACATGGAGAGGATGGATCGGGGCTGCATTTTGTTAGCAGGACCCTAGAGTGGACGGGACCTATTAGCATGGTTGTAGGAAAAGAAAAGTAAGGAACCAGATGGATGGCATGAAGGAGGATGCATGAAATCAAGAGCTCTGTTTTGGCCAAAGTTTGAGACGCCTGTGCAAATCCACACAGAAAAGTCAGCTGGGAGAGATGTAAGACTAAGGGCTGGAAATTTCAATTTGGGACAGAAAGGCAGATAGATTAAGTACAGAGAAACTCCACACATTCTCTGTTCTTCAGAAACCATGATTCTGGCAGGGAGGGACCTATTTTTCCATTAGATACTAAGAGCAGGCTCAGATAGCCAGAAAGTGCGAGACATTAGCCCAGGGTTCTAGTTTGACTAATCCAACATGAAGGAAATATAAGAATTTTTTTGACAGAAGTCTTCTAAGTTTCTACCATCAGCCCAAACTGTAGCCTATTGAATTTAAAGGAAAGTAAGACGAACTTATAGGTCATCTGCATTACATAACCAATACTGTGGACCCCATTTCCTACCGATGTCATCCGGGCTTTACGCAAATAGGTAAGAAGGTCTCCTCCTTCCATGAGTTCCAGGATGATGTACTGGGGCTCATTCAGCAGACAAACTCCAAGCTGCTTCAGAATGTTGGGATGATTAAACTTACTAAAAGGCGAAAAGAGACAGGCAGGATAACATGACAACGACAAAAATCTAGTGAGGATCTTTATGGAATAGAACAATTCTTTATTTCTGGTTTCCTTCAAAACCCTGATTTTTTTTTTTTCCTCTTAATAAATGAAAGCCTCCTTTTCCAAGAACCCGGCTGCATGCCTGCCTTACAGAGGTAATATTGCAACCCCTAGTGGCCAAGGCATGTGGATAGAACAGACTGAGTTTTAGAAGAAGTTATATTTATATTAAGCATTTTATGTTCTGGAAAAGAAAGTAATTTTAACTAATGTCCTTCTTTGAAAAATATTTTAGAACATCATGTTTTTGGTCATGACAAATATGAAATACTCTCTCCCTTTCAGAGAAACAATTCAGACATTCAGGTTTGGCTACAAACGTTTGCTCAAGAGGTCAAAGCAAATAAGCCCCAATCTAACAATCAGAACCCACAACTTGGGACCCAATCAACCACTGCCTCAGGGTGTATTAAGATGTATTTGAGTAGTTTTCATGACCATCAACTAATTCTAACCTTGAAGACAAGTTTACCAAGACCAGGGATATTCTCATTGACATCACTGTACTTAAGAGAACTCTCCCTTACTTGGTCTACTTGACCCATTATCACACATTTAGAAGAACATAAGCATATTTAAAGCTGAACAGCTTCAGAAATCCCTTGCAAGACATGCTTCTTATTGAAGGTAAAAGAAAGGACTGCCTGAGGACTGCTTGTGACCAGGCTCAGAAGGCTGGGTTCTATAGAATACTTGTCACTCCAGACATATTTCCTTTTAAACTTCAGCCATGTTTATTTTGGGCATAATCTGTTATGTCAGGTCATTTTGAATGTTAAAAATCCACCAATCAGATGTAAGAGCTTCCTACCCATACCAAGGGAAAATTATTATAGAGCTGCCCTGATACCTCATCAGGTGTGCCTCCTTCAGGAATTCAATCTTCTCCTGGTCTGTGGAGCCCTTCTTCAAAGTCTGTGCAATGTAAAAACAAGCCAGGAATCAGTATAGCAGACATTTCCGTGAGCTCAGTGGGTTAATGGAGACAGTCTTTGTTTTGTTTTGTAATATGCACCCTTATCATAAAAAACTGTGTTCTCCAATTCTCCAGCCTCCCTTGCAAACAGGGCTGGTCATATGACTCAGTACTCATCAAAAAGATGTAAGGGGGAAACTGCTGAGGGGGAGAGAGGCTTGTGCAGAACTTTTACTTTCCTGAACATATACATCTAACGCTATCCTTCCCCCTCTCCATGTCCTGAATGAAGATGTGATGCTTGATTCTTTGGCAACCATCTTGGGACCATAAGGCACCATACATGTACAAAGTTGAGAGAATTTCAGATATACTGGCTCTGGCCTGACACAGTACTACACCAAAGCCAGAAGTCAACTTGTTATCTAAGAAAAAGAAACACTTGTTTAAACCAGTTGAGGTTAGAGTATGTGAAAGACTGTTAAATGCTATCAATTGGAAGTGGAGAAAATTCTGCCAACTTCTCTGGCTGTATAGCCCACTCTCAAAGCAATAAATTCCTAACAAGCAGTGATCAGGATATTATTCAATTACATAAAAGATTCATCATCCTTTGATCAAAAGAAAGTTTTATAAAAATATGAGAGTGTATCCAGGGCTTCCTTAAAACGACATCATCAAATACACCATGATGAATAATTGTGTAGTCCAGGGGTCAGCAAACTACAGCCTGTGGACCAACTCCAGCCTGTTAACTATTTTTGTACAGCTTATGATCTGAAAATAGTTGTTACATTTTTATTAGTTGTTATTTTATTTTTTCCAGGTTTATTTTTTTTAACATCTTTATTGGAGTATAATTGCTTTACAATGGTGTTAGTTTCTGCTTTATAACAAAGTGAATCAGTTATACATATACATATGTTCCCATATCTCTTCCCTCTTGCATCTCCCTCCCTCCCACCCCTCCAGGCGGTCACAAACCACCTAGCTGATCTCCCTGTGCTATGCAGCTGCTTCCCACTAGCTATCTATTTTACGTTTGGTAGTATGTATATGTCCTTGCCACTCTCTTGCTTTGTCACAGCTTACCCTTCCCCCTCCCCATATCCTCAAGTCCATTCTCTAGTAGGTCTGTGTCTTTATTCCTGTCTTACCCCTAGGTTCTTCATGACATTTTTTTTCTTAGATTCCATATATATGTATTAGCATATGGTATTTGTTTTTCTCCTTCTGACTTACTTCACTCTGTATGACAGACTCTAGGTCCATCCACCTCACTACAAATAACTCAATTTCATTTCTTTTTATGGCGGAGTAATATTACATTGTATATGTGTGCCACATCTTCTTTATCCATTCATCTGTTGACAGACACTTAGGTTGCTTCCATGTCCTGGCTATTGTAAACAGAGCTGCAGTGAACATTGTGGTACATGACTCTTTTTGAATTATGGTTTTCTCAGGGTATATGCCCAGTAGTGGGATTGCTTTTTCCAGCTTTATTGAGGTATAATTAACTTGTTACATTTTTAAATGGTTGAAAAAAGTTATAAAAAAGTAGAGTATTTCATAACACATGAAAATTATATAAAATTTAAGTTTCCGTTTTCATAGATAAAGTTTTACTGGAACACAACCACACCCATTCATTCACATAGTGACTATGGCTGATTTCACACTGCAATGGCAGAGTTGCGTAGTTGCAACTGACACCATCTAGCCAGCAAGCCTAAAATATTTACTATCTGCCCTAGCACCTAGCACCCCAGTTCTCTTATGGTATATTTGAAGGGAAAGACTGTCTGCCAGGTCTTAGCTAATTAGTAACCTCAGAGGTAACTGTTAATAACAGAATTTATGTATGAAATGGGGGGAAAATGTGATTTCTGTAGCCATGGACAGGTTTCTACCTTCTCCCAGTTATCTTTCCCATCAAGAACACTCCTCTTTTATCATAGTTGTATCCATGTAAGTCCCTGTAAATATGTTGACATAACAAGTCAAGGAGTTAAAAGATCAGCATTACCTTCACTGCTACTTTGGTTTCTGCACTTCCAACTCCTAAGATGTCTACCGCTGTCCCTTCATACACTTCTCCAAAGGCCCCACTTCCCAACAAGAGATGCAGAGTCAGTTTTTCCCGAGGGAAGGCAGGAAGACTGTCAATCTCCTCTTGGGTTGGAAGCGTACTGGAAAATAACAATATTTTTGGTCTCCCAAAATGCATATGGTTTACGAGTGGGTGTTGGTGTTAGTGTTTGAGAGAGAAAAAGTATGAGAAAGAGGAAGAGAAATCTTATGGTTTTGCAACACTGCAGTGCATTCAACGTGACATAGTGATGTGTCTGTTCCTATTCCTTTCCTATTCCACCATCCAGAATATTCCTTCTCTCTTCCAAAACCCAGACAGAACATGTTACTTCACTTCTAGGCACCTTCATTTTGATGGCATGCCTGTGTGTGCACTGCCTCAAGGCTTTTTACTGTAGTTTGTTTCGTTAAAGTTATCAGTTATTAATTTCTTCAGGTCACCAATTTGTGTAAAAAGCTATTGCAAATTAGTAATAAATACAGCTGGGCTTATGATCTCAAAAGCTTTTGCTTTACTTCATACACCTGATCTCTCATGTAAAACAAAATTTACTATGACCACAAAATTACTCCATGTCCATCAGGTTAACTTTTAGAAAGTCAAGTTTCTCACTTGGAATATCATGAGGGGAAGGAAATCCATCCGCATTAAAAATGCTTTGAGATTTTAAAAGAGAATCTTGAATATCAGATATGCTGTGTATTTTCTCCAGGAAAAGTCACCTCTGAAAAGCTGATTTAGGTCACCTCTGTGTCTACTTCACATCCTGTGTTCTTATGTCTTTAAATAAATTTCTAGAAGCAAGGCCAATGGCTATATAATCCTTTTTGCATGGAACATAACATAGTGTCTTGTACAAGGAGACATTTAAATATTTTCTTTAATTATGATGACAATGGAAGTTCAAACCTCATCTATTTTAGAGAAGTTTTGTAGGCAATCACCATAGAATTTCGGAAAACAGAATAAAATTGACTTAATAGCACACACAAGAGACCTTGGAATTCTTCTCTTCCAGTTGAATCAATCATGTTACCATCTACTCCCTTCCACGTAGTAGTTATCTCCTTGTTTTACTGACTTTCAAACTATGTGATAAGACACTAGAAAACAACTAATTTCTGTTTATTTTTCTTAGGATAGGATAACAACATAATTTGCCATCCATCCCAGGTCACATTTGAGAGTGAAAGGGGATGTTACTTTTGAATATGCCAGAATAATATGGGCATAAAGCAGGACAGTCCTGCGTAACGTGGCATGCATGGGCACTCTCTTTAGAGCTGCCCTCTCTCCATCTAGGTGCCCCATAATGCCGGCCCAGGTTACATACTGTATCGCATAGCAGGCATTCGCCAGTCCTACTCCAGCGGCCAGACCTCGAAGGTCAGCCAACTCTTTGTCTTCATTTATGAGACCCGTCAGCCCTTCCTTGGGAGTTTTTTGATTCTTTAATCTTCTGTGCCAGACTATAAAGACAAAAGATCATAATTCACAAAATGAAACATTGCTTTCTTTTTCTTTAGGAAATGCTAACAATACAATTTTAAAGTTTATACTGAAGAACACTATTGATAGAATAACAGAATTTGATTGAAAAAATATGCCCATAATAGAATAACTAAATCCAGGTACAAAGCCATATGAAAACACATAACTTATACCACATCACATTATATCTCACTTCTCAGAGTAAATTTTAATATATTTCTTATTGCTGTTATAAACAAGTTGAAGCAACTTAATATCAGAACTTATTTCTCAAAATCACCCATAAACTAGAATCAAAATAAACCAAAACAAACTTGCATAATAATTATTAGTGAACAAATTCATTTCTGAATCCAGATATGTCCAGGTTATACTCCTCAGCAGACCTGAGGAATGCTTTCAATATAATGGCATGCTTTATTTTAAAATGCAGAGTACAAGAGTGTATATTCATTGTTTTTCATAATACACATACTCAAATACATAGAAAAATTATTAGAATGAAATCTACCAAGTGTTAGCAGTGATCCTCCCTAGCTGTGGGATCATGGGCGATTTGTATTGTCTTCTTCATACAATGGGCAAATATTATTTTTATAATCATGAAACATAAGTAATATCTTTTGAAGATTAAAATACAATTATATCATTAAGATCGCCCATCAATACTAGAATATTGGCTCAGAAGTTGAAAACAGCAAGGATGCTTTGTGAGATGATGATTAAAATTTGAACTTTATTCCATAGTAGCTTCAGTACCCAACAGGTGAGAGTTTTATGCAAGTGAAATTCTGTCTGAGGGACCACACAACAGGGAGAGATCTTAAGTACCTTTACTAATGCAATTCTTCAAACCTGAAATGCTCTTACCATCCCTCTTCATTTTTAAAGGCCCAGAATGAGGCCCCACATCCTCAGGGATGCCTTCCGAGACCTCTGCAACCTCTGTTGATCTCTCATCTCTGAACTTCTAAGACCAACTGTGGCTCTCAGTCAGCATGGCTATGTCACTGTCTTCTACATTTCCTATTTCCTTTTATTGCTGTTTAACACATATCCTGCTATTTATCTTTTCGTACAGGTATGTCTTACCTCCCCCATTAAATGGCAAGCTCCTGAGATCAGCAATTGTATTTTACAGTTTATTTTCCTTTGCTCCCAGCGTCAGGCTCATGTTGCACAGTAGATATAACCACTCACCAAAGTGAAAGCTGTCGATGCTTATTTTAAAACCCTTGCTTCAATTTTGTATTTATAAGTATGACTGATGAGAGCCCTCTGCACAATACAAATTTTTAAACAATTGCTGTTTTCATTATTTGAATAATTCAATCTTTTCTCATGTGCTCGCATAATCCTACCGGTAAAACCGCATACACTGCTACTAAAAGCAAAAGAACCAAATTAGCTTACCTATACTCAAAAATCTGTGAGTTCCAAGTACAATAAAGACCTTTAAGTCCTGCGAAAGTCAGATATCCATAGGATGTCTTGAAAGCACAATAGCTTGTCTGAAATTATCTCATGTTCATCCACTAGAGTTATGGGTTTAAACAATGGTGATGTACAAGTAGGCAGGCAAAGGTCAGATGAAGGACTCTTCATGTAATGCTCCTTCCCAGTAGGAAAGCAGACAGTCAAGCCTATATGCCAACTGCCAAATATACTGCAGTCATATGCATAATTCTGGAGGGGGCTGGCTTAGTGGCACAAACATCAGCTGTGCAATACTTAGACTCCCTGGAACCACAGTTTAAAATCCTGGCAGGGTCAGCTGAAATATTTAGCTTTCCAAGTGAGCTGAAGAAATAACATATTCCATATATTGTCTGGTGTGGAATCTTTGAAGAGCAATCTCAATTCAAGTTTCAATGTGCTCTCTAATAGCTTATGACTCCAATCAGTTTTGGGAAGAATATAGATTTAGAACACTTAGTAAAATATTGGCTTTCTTTATCCTGAGAGTTCAACTTTATGTTTGTAACTTTTCCTTAAACTTTCCCCTATTTTTGAAAAAAAAAAAAAGAAACTACTGTTTCCTGAATATGCGCTTGAGTGTTCTCTTCCGGTAAATATCATGTCTTTTTTTGTAATGTTTCAGCATGTCAGGGACTCATACGTTAATAATGACAGGGTGACCATATATCTTATAATCCAAACCAGAACATTTTGGGGATAATGATTATGCTGAAACAATAAGAATGAAGCAGGATGTATGATCCACTATGGTAACCCCATAGGTCCAATATTTAATCATCCTTTTGGGAGCTGTCACTGTATTTTCTCATCATTAAATCTTGAGAAAAAAAAAAAAAAGACTTTTAAGACCAATACATTAGTATAAAATGAGTGGTGGGAAATAGCTAGCTTCCTATCTATCTAACCTAATTCTTCTGCTTTCCTGGTCATTTACAAATGAGCAGGGATTGGAAACAAGCAGGCCAGACATCTGCAAGAGAGAGTATTGAATGCTATAAGGCAGAAATGGATCTTTTGCAAGAGGCCCTGCTCATTCTAGACCAGGCTGTCTGCCTGGAGACCTAAACTATCCTGACCAAGGATTGTCACTGGTTTCCCTATAAAAAAAACAATTTTTTTATACCCAGAGTCATTTTTCTTTTATTTATTTCAAACTATAAGTCACAAAACACTTGTTAGATAGCCAATCTGTAATACTGTTTTAAAGAAGGCTAAAGTTGGTGCCTTTGCAAGTAGTTTTATCTAAAGTATACTGTGAAGTGTAAATACAGATTTATTTTTCATAAAAGTTACCCCAGATTAGAAAAAAAAATTCACAGGAGTTAGTGGTAATATTGTGAACTTTATAAATTTATTTCCTGTGAAAAATTAAATCAACTCAGAGATTAAATCAAGTAATATGATCAAATAAATAGTTTATTACCTATATTTCTAAATCTACTATACTTACCAAAGGTCAATAGGATTGTAACAACCAGAAATATTCCAATTATAGTAGTAAGTATAAAGCTTGTTTCTGATATCCAAAAACCATCTAATAAAATAAATGAGAAAGAGAAATTAATTCAAAGAGTAAAACTAGATTGTCTCAGTGATATGCCAGATGTGCCAGAGTTAGCTCCTATTGGACTTTTTGCAAGCCACTTGTTAAACCATCGGTAGCTTGAAATCAATCATGGTGAGAGTATTTACACCATGAGAAATCAAAATCAAGGTTTTCTTCTTATTTTTTTTCTTTTCCAATGATCTGGTTTACCAGTACATCGTTGGGATATACCCACCCCGTCTCCTACTTTAAAATGGCTGAGGAAACATGTATAATCTTTTTAGCGAATTTGGGACAAAGAAGTCTCAGTCTTCACGCACTATATGGTTGGGAGTATTATTTCTTCTATAACATGTTCATGTACATTTAATTCCATGAGTACTGAACTGAGGAATATAAACATGATAACATGGTACCTGCTCTTAGATAGTTTCATTGAGCAGAGGAGACAAACATGTGGACCAGAGCTGGCAAACTGTGGCATGCAGGCCACATCTGGCCACAGCAGCCTGATTTTGTACTATTCATGAACTAAGAATAATTTTTACATTTTAAAAATATTATTTGAAGGAGTTCCCTGGCGGCACAGTGGTTAAGAATCCGCCTGCCGATGCAGGGGACACGGGTTCAAGCCCTATTTCAGGAAGATCCCACATGCCGCGGAGCCAGTAAGCCCGTGAGCCACAACTACTGAAGCCCGTGCACCTAGATCCCATGCTCCACAACAAGAGAAGCCACCACAACGCGAAGCCCGAGCACCGCAACAAAGAGTAGCCCCCCACTCACCACAACTAGAGAAAGCCTGCACGCAGCAATGAAGACCCAACACAGCCAAAAATAAATTAATTAATTAAAAAATATATATATATATATTATTCGGAAAAAAAAAGAGGATGCTACAGAGATCATTGAATATAGGCCAGAAAGCCTAAAATATTTACTATTTGGTTCTTTGCAGACAAGGTTTACTGAGCTCTTCTCCAGATAACTAACTATAATGCAAATAAGAATGATGTCAGTTTTGTATAGAATAATGGGCTGTGTGTGTATAAAATGCAATAGCTCATTTTGCCTAAGGAGCAGCAGTTAAGCATCACAATGGGTTCATTTAAAGTTAGGCCTTCAGGCTCCCTGACTTCAGACTATACTACAAAGCTACAGTAATCAAGACAGTATGGTACTGGAACAAAAACAGAAATATAGATCAATGGAACAGGATAGAAAGCCCAGAGATAAACCCATGCACATATGGTCACCTTATCTTTGATAAAGGAGGCAAGAATATACAGTGGAGAAAAGACAGCCTCTTCAATAAGTGGTGCTGGGAAAACTGGGCAGCTACATGTCAAAGAATGAAATTAGAACACTCCCTAACACCATACACAAAAATAAACTCAAAATGGATTAAAGACCTAAATGTAAGGCCAGACACCATCAAATCTTAGAGGAAAACATAGGCAGAACACTCTATGACATAAATCACAGCAAGATCCTTTTTGACCCATGTCCTAGAGGAATGGAAATAAAAACAAAACTAAACAAATGGGACCTAATGAAACTTAAAAGCTTTTGCACAGCAAAGGAAACCATAAACAAGACGAAAAGACAACCCTCAGAATGGGAGAAAATATTTGCAAATGAAGCAACTGACAAAGGATTAATCTCCAAAACATACCAGCAACTCATACAGCTCAATATCAAAAAAAACAAACAACCCAGTCCAAAAATGGGCAGAAGACCTAAATAGACATTTCTCCAAAGAAGATATACAGATTGCCAACAAACACATGAAAGAATGCTCAACATCATTAATCATTAGAGAAATGCAAATCAAAACTACAATGAGATATCATCTCCCACCGGACAGAATGGCTATCATCAAAAAATCTAGAAACAACAAATGCTGGAGAGGGTGTGGAGAAAAGGGAACCCTCTTGCACTGTTGGTGGGAATGTAAATTGATACAGCCACTATGGAGAACAGTGTGGAGGTTCCTTAAAAAACTACAAATAGAACTACCATAGGACCCAGCAATCCCACTACTGGGCATATACCCTGAGAAAACCAGAATTCAAAAAGAGTCATGTACCAGAATGTTCATTGCAGCTCTATTTACAATAGCCAGAACATGGAAGCAACCTAAGTGTCCATCAACAGATGAATGGATAAAGAAGAGGTGGCACATATATACAATGGAATATTACTCAGCCATAAAAAGGAATGAAACTGAGTTATTTGTAGTGAGGTGGATGGATCTAGAGACTGTCATACAGAGTGAAGTAAGTCAGAAAGAGAAAAACAAATACTGTATGCTAACACATATATATGGAACCTAAAAAAGAAAAAACAATGTCATGAAGAACCTAGGGGCAAGACGGGAATAAAGATGCAGACCTACTAGAGAATGGACTTGAGGATACGGGGAGGGGGAAGGGTAAGCTGTGACAAAGTGAGACAGTGGCATGGACATATATATACTACCAAACGTAAAATAGATAGCTAATGGGAAGCAGCCGCATAGCACAGGGAGATCAGTTCGGTGCTTTGTGACCACCTAGAGGGGTGGGATAGGAAGGGTGGGAGGGAGTGAGATGCAAGAGGGAAGAGATTTGGGGACATATGTATATGTATAACTGATTCACTTTGTTATAAAGCAGAAAGTAACACACCATTGTAAAGCAATTATACTCCAATAAAGATGTTAATAAAAAAATATTTTTAAATAATAAAGTTAGGCCTTGAAGGATGAGAAGAATTTCAGTTGACAGAAAGTGAGAGAAAGGAAATCCCAGCTAAGGACAAGTGGTAGGTGGTACAAGCCTGCATTCTAGGCTGAGGGAAACAAAGGCTGAGGACCCAGTGTCATGAAAGTTTTTTACCAGTCTGACATGGCTACAGCATAAGGATAAATATCAGGAAAGATGAACCACAATCAGAGGGCAAGTCACGAAAGGCCTTAAATGCCACAGAAAGGTTTGTACTTGATTCTGAAGGCAGTGAATGGAGAGCCATTTCAAGCATTTCAGAGAGCAGTGAAGTGATCCAGATTGTGCTTCAGCTGGATTAACTGTCAGCAGTAGGATTAAGCCAAGAGCACAGGCTAGACATGGTAGCTTAAATTAGGAAAGTCAAAGTAGGAATAGGAAGAAGCAAACTCATTAGACAGAAATCAAGATAATAAAATCAACAGAACTTGGTGGCCGAATAGAGGGGAAGATCCTACATGGTACTGAGATTTCTAGCCTATGTGATTAGAAAGGTAATGTGTTATGAACAAAAATAGGCTACCCAGTGGAAGATATAGATATCGGGAAGTAGAGTTTCAGGCCTGTTGTGTAGCAGATGAGAGTACCAGGAACAGAATAATAAAGCTGGATAAAAACCAGACTGTGGACAACCTTGGAAATCCATCTAGGAACATGGACTTGATGTGGTGGGCGCTAACGATTAGCTGATTGTTACTGAGGAGAAAAAGGACATGCCGATCTTGATGTTTCAGGAAGATCACATCAGATGAAATGAATAGTTCAATAGTTTCAATGATAGATTTGTGAAGTTATACATTCACCCAATTTAATGCTAAGAATTCACCTATCTTTACCTCTGAACCTTTGTGTAATAAGTTAGTATATAGACAGACATGATAACATACCTCCAACGAATATAATATCCTCACTGATTCCACTATATTCACCAAAACCCAGATTATTTACAGCTACTGCTCTGAACTGAAATGTTCCTTTCAGGTTTTGGGGCTTCCATGTGCAAATGCTACTGCATGAGCCATTAAATGCCATCTTCCACATTAAATTCTGGTTCTGTGAATTCTTTGAAGTGCCCTTACTGCAAAAGAAAGAGCAAAGTTATAAATATAGGAAATATACAAGAGAATATATGTGTTATTTCTAGGTGCTCATATATCATTTAATGACAGAACTCCAAAGCGGCTCCTGTTGCACACTTTGCCCTTGATTTCATTCCTCTCACATGGTTTGGCTACAGCACATAGCAGAGTCTTATAAAGTCATCCCAGCAGTGCCTGGAGCCAACCAACTCAGCCCATCTGGAAAATTACGAATAATCAATGGCCAAGAGAAAGCTGAAGATCCTCTTCTTACTACTAGGGTGTGCAAACCTTCCTCAGAATTCCAAACACATAAGACAATTATTTCATACTTTTTAACTGGGAATTTTTTATTTTTCTTAATTTTTGGTGTCTTATGCTATCTGTCATTTACTGATACCATATCTGGATAAAATACAGAACATAAAATTGAAAAGGAAAATAAAATAGTTCAGCTACCAAAGTTATCATTGTATCTGAGATTCCAAGTTTCATTGCTTCCATTTATATTGGCCTACACTACCTCAATGTCAATCCTCATTATTCTTCATAACGAAACATGGGAAGAGAACAAGAGCTGGGTTCGAAAGACATAACTGAAATTACTTTTAACAGAACCACAGACTGAAGGCAAGTTCAAGGCCTTCCGATTATGTCTTTTCTGACAACGAACTTTTCAAATCTGAAACTTCTCAGACCACAGCCGTTTTAGGACTTAGTACCAACCCACAGTAACCTTGAGGATAAGTAATGGAAGCCAGTTCTGCTCCCACTAACTGAGTGGTTGTCCTGAAAGAGCACCAAGGACAGCAAGGGCTGAGCCTCTGAGGGACAGGGAATGAGCAAGGGCAGCAAGGATGGTCACAACTGTGACCAGGAGCTAAGTGACCTCAGGACCATCCTAAGTAAAGCTGCAGGACACAGTGATTTTGTACATTGTGTGAAGTCTCACATTGGGCATTGGCAATTTCATTGTTCAACCCAAACAACGCTGATCCAAGAGAAAGAGACCCTTAAAAATGTATAAAGGGTCTCTTCACGGATATTGGCCACTGAGGAAGAGAAGGAAGAATGCTTCCTTTGTTGAGCACCTTCTATTTACAACACACCGTACTGGGGCTTTTCACATGTTGTTTCATTTCATTGAATCTTCTCAACAACCTAAAGAGGTAGATATCATCATCCCATTTTACAGATGAGAAAACTTAAGTTTAAGAAAGCAATAAAGCAAGGATTTAAACATGGTCTGTGTACTGGGTTGAATAATTCCCCCCAAAATTCATGCCGCCCAGACCTTGTGAATGTGAACTTGTTTGGAAATAGGGTCTTTTCAGATGTAATTAAGTCAAGATGAGATCATACTGGATGAGGGCGGGCCCTAAATCCAATGACCAGTGCCCTCTTAGGAAAGAGAAATTTGGACACAGACACATACAAGGAGAACATCATGTGATGACAGAGCCAGAGACTGTTGTGATCCATCTACAGACCAAGGAATGCCAAGGATTGCCAGGCATCACCAGAAGCTAAGAAGAGGCAAGGAAGGATGCTTCCCTAGAACGCAGTCCTGCCAGCACCTTGATTTCAGACTTCTAGTCTCCAGAACTGCTAGAGAATAAATATCTGTTGTTTTAAGCCACCCAGTTGGTCGTACTTTGTTCCAGCTTCCCTGGAAAACTCATACAGTCAGCTCAGCTCCCAAGTGCATGCACCTTGCGCTACGACCACCACTGCACCATCAGCAAGTACACACGAGTATCCTGACTGAAGAAGATATTCTGAGATACTGTCAGGTACTCTGAGACAGATAATGCATTCTATTATACCATAGTCCCTCTCCTGAGAGCAGAGACTTGGGGGCAAGGAAATGCAGAGTATTTATGGAGCCATACACTTAAGGTGTTACTGAGGGGAATACACTACAGGGGTCCTAGTGGTGTGGCCTGGTTGGTGAACATAAATGCAGTCACAGACCACCAGGATGGTTCTGCAGGTCAGAATGTATTTCACTCTGCATGAAAAAAAAAAAAAGTGACAGAAATTTCAAGAAAGTTTCAGTTAGAAATATGGCCAACATAATTCTCTAGCATGAGCAGGAAATTTTTTTAAGGCTATGGGAATGCCAGAGCAAGATGAAGCAAAAATAGATCTGAAGCTCAAGTTGCCAGGACTATAATTATGGAAGTGACTTTTGTCCTTGGAGCATCTTAAAAGATGGCTTCAGAGTCCCGTGAGGGGAGTGTCTGTGGAATTTGGAATTCGCCCCTCAAGCTGGCACAACATCAGCCCATCTGAGCCAGTTATGATTCACAGAGCTCCCCATACTGGCCAGATCTGAGGTTGCATATGTTCATCAGGTTTTCATCAAAGGCACATTTTCAGTCCCTGGGAACACACTACAAACTGTAATCTTGACAATAGAGAGGGAATCCTGGGCTGCCTACACACTGCAGGCCATTTCGGATGTTGACCTGATTTTACATTCTGAAAAATACCTAACTCATTGTCAATTCTCACTAGACCTTATTCATCTTCCTAAAACAAATTAACCTCAGAAATTTACATGCATACCGTCATCTAACATCAAACGTCAGCTCAGAATAGGTACTAAGTAAATATTAGTTACATGCTCAAAAGATTGAATTGTTTCCATCCACAGGCAGTTGCAGATTTCTGAGAAGAATGACTACCTGCCTTGTAATTGAGTGCCAAGGCTGACCACTAGGAATTGTGCAAAGAACCTAATGATGCATGCAAGGCCCTTAAACTAAAGATCCTTTGTGTTTATTTATGAATACACGTTCATAAATAGTGTTACTTTTGATCTAATAATACCTTACAATTAACTGCTTAGGTCTTTGTAGTTTACAAAGCACTTTTGCAAACGGACATACCTGATCTCAAGGATATAGTACATAAGTCTGCCTCCATTATCATCAGCTTTTTCCCACTGTATTGAATTTTTACTCCCTTCTGATAGTTTTGGAATGCCTGGTTTACTTGGGACTCCAGCTTTGGAAACAAAAGAAAATCTGATTTGTATGTTAGAAGTATAAAATATTCTGCAAAACATCTTTCTATAGACTGTATTTACTCAGAGGAAAGCCAGATATATTAAAGGAATATTCAGAAAATTATTCAAAAATTTTATTCAAGAAATATTCAAAAATTCTCATATGATTGCATATTTTTAAATGTGTAACTGAGGTTTTTATTAGTGACAGATTAGATGGATTAGTGACAGGAGTAACAATAGATCTTAGCCTGACACGAAATAAGTGATGCAAATAAAAAGAATTATTGTAAGTTTGGGAGCACTTTCCCTTGATTCCTATAGGGATCAACTTGGAGTTATAGTATACCTTTTAGAACACTAGTTAATTTAATATACTTGTTAAATATTTTTTATTTTGGGCATCTGGTTATAGTAGTCAGTAGTAAATATTTGAACACTCAGTGACACTGTTTTCATTTAGTTCTTACTGCAAAATATCATAGCTAGACAGGAAATCAGAATACTGAAATAATTTTGCCCAGTTCAGGATCCTGCAAGACCAGATGAGTATTATCTCATTACTGCCAGTAAGGACTCCTACCTCTTTTCAGTTTCTTCAGTCAGGCTCTAGAGATAGTAATTTACTCTTTTAAGAAAAATCTCAACCTCTAGGATTAGTGAAGTAAGCGATGAGAAAGGAATTGAGAAACGTCTAAAGTTTTCTAAGTGCGGAATATGTTAGTACTCACCTTTAGTCTTAAAGCTTTCTGGAAGTGAGGTGCTATTTTCTCCTGTCCTGTACACCACCACTACTCGGACATTATAGAAAGTATAAGGCTGTAGACCTGTGATGTTACAAACATAAGCAGGACCTTGGCTGCACGAAGCTTTAACATGGTAAAACTCATTGTGCTTCCACTAGAAAAAGAAGTCTCAATTAACATTTTGTTTCTTTAAGAAAAACATTTTAAACATAGAAATTCAAAATCTTGTGGCAATTAAAATTTAAAGTTTACTTTCTATTAAAAAATAAGAGCTCCTTTATGAGTGGTTGATCCCAAATATTATCCTTACCACCAACAGCAATTTTATTTTTTATGACAAGCTATAAGTGACTTGAATGATGGTCCTTAAGATAAGTCCAAGGTGGGAAGTGCACCCCTGAGTATATATCATCAGGGAAGATTCAGAGCTTGACTTCTTGTTATCCCTAATCAAAGGCATTTTTATTAAATCAGGATGACTGAGAACACAAATTTACACCTGAGGGGAAATGATGGATCAAAACAGTGATACTTTCAATTCCACGGATTTGCTAACTTCAAAGTAATAATATTTTTACATATTTTGATTCTTTGAAGAAGTCCACAGTGACTTATAAATTAAAACATTTAGTTTTTCCTCCCCAAACCCTCTTCAGACATCTAACCAACATTCCTTATATTTATACATAGGAAGCCTAGTTCCCTAAAAGAAGGACATTTTTGCCCACCATCACTCAGTCACTAAATAGCAAGGTTACAAGTTAACTATAGGAAATGTTACTTTCATTTCACTGGGTCTCTAATTATAGCTATCTTAAACTTCTTTCTTTGAAACACTGCTTTAAAAAAATTTGTATGTTTGGACTCTTAATATCTTGTTTGAAAATGATGATTTTTTTCGATGTACAAATAGGAAAAGACAGCGGCATTCTGTCAAGGGTTCTTCTTGTCTTTTCCTCAGTAGAGTTTCCTAAGAAGGTCAGTTTCCATAAATAAACCTGACTTTACATCTCCTTTTTCACTTAGCACTCACAAGGTCATGCCATTTCATTGGATGGGCACTTTATATTAGTTTTCTGTTCAGTTAGAAATGATTCTCTGTAGCACCTTCAGGAAGTAGACCACCTGGTTCCAGAAAGAAAGAGGAACAGAAGGAATGAAAAAAAAACAAAAACCAGAAATGCTGATGTCAGAGACATTGCCTGTTAAACTCATGAATGTCTCAATCCCACTGAGACATATAGCCTAATGAAACAGATGCACTGGGTCCTTAATATTTATGCTGAACTTTCTGAGAGAGACAAAGCGAGAGAAATGCTGAGCCCTGGCTCAAAAATTTTAGCCCTTTTTGGTCCTGCCTCCTTAATGCTCTGTCATAGAAGCCTTCAGTGAATAGTCTAGATGGCCCAACATTCCACACCAACCAGAAATTATCAGAGCTCCTTGGAATGTCAGGGAGATGTTTGACCAGGGGCTTTGCTGGAAAACTGTGGAGTATTGACCTCACCACAGCAATGAATGTTCTGGGCAGACCATCAGCTTGGAGAGGTACCACAGGCTACCCCAGTAAATCACAAGGGAGTTGGGATTTTCCATTCATCAGAGGCCAACAGGTGCAGGGGGGGAAGGCTACCACAGAGGATTTCCAAATTCTTGGGCAAGGGTGTGAGGGAAATGGTGCAGACTATGGTGCAAACACCGTGTCTCAGTTTCAGAGACTGAAATTTCAGAAATGTTTGGTTCTGGTAGGGATTCCCCTGGACAGCTGAGAAAAAGACAATTGTAATGAATTTCCATGAAAAAAATTTACCAAAGCAAAATTATTTGTTTCTCCTCAATCTTAAATTGAATATGTTCTTCTGCTATACATTGTTGTGAGAAAGAATCTATGAAATTTAAGACCAAGATAAAAATTTAGCCTTGTGCTCTAATTCCCTCATTTTTCCATGTAAGGAAAAGATGAAGACTGGAAGTTTATCCTTTTCTCCTTTCCTTTCTGAAAAAAAAAAAATTCATTAAAATATTTACTCACCCTCATCACTCACCCCTCAGTTTCAGTGTGGAGTTACAGGACCATTGCTAGCTGTCCTATCATTATGAGTTAGATTCAACTTGCTCAAAAGAAATAGAACTTTCTAACTAGATGTAACATAGCCTTCTACTGTGCTCATCAGTTAGTACTTGTAGGTGGTCACGCATGTAGAAATTACTATCTTACATGTTCAGCTTCATGATTTCTTAAGTGGTCTATCTGGAACCTGTGCTGAGCAAGTGTAGTGGAAGTTTTGAAAGAAAAAGCATCACATGAAAGTCATGAGGACTGAGCCAGGTGGCCCCTGTCTGCTGCCCCTCTCCCAAACTTTGCGAAGCTGGGTGGGTGACGATGACTCATGTTCCTTCTGTGTATGAACCAAGGAGAACCTCTGTAAGGATGAGTCAGCCCTGAGGGTCCTCCCCTGCACGGTTGTGATATCTGACTCATCAGGGTGCCTTACTGGGTCCTGGCTTCTCATCAGTAAAACGAGAGGCTGGAGTCATCACCTCTAAGGTCCTTCCTCAGTTCACGTCTTTGATGTGGGAAATGAGCTTTACATCCCTCCCCTTGACCTCAGACTGAACCACATTAAGCTCACCTAAATAGATGTCCCCAAAGAGATGATCCTTCAATTTCTCCAATTTAAAACTGAAGTTTTATGAAATGACCAATTTTTAAATAGGCAACAAATCATCATAAACATGCTTAATGGAAAAGATCTGATTGAACTATGGTCTTTGGTCTTACCAACTTAATATTCACTGCTGTTTTATATTTTTCATAGTTTTTATCTAAAAGTACAAGATTATAAAAAATATTTTACATAGAAAAATTTTAAGCCTCTGGGGAGCAACTCCATTTTTTTTTGTTTGTTTGTTTTTGTTTTGTTTTGTTTTGTTGCGGTACGCGGGCCTCTCACTGTTGTGGCCCCTCCCGTTGTGGAACACAGGCTCCGGACGCGCAGGCTCAGCGGCCATGGCTCACGGGCCCAGCCGCTCCGCAGCATGTGGGATCTTCCCAGACGGGGACACGAACCCGTGTCCCCTGCATCGGCAGGCGGACTCTCAACCACTGCGCCACCAGGGAAGCCCGCAACTCCATTTTTAAAGAAAAGTGAGGTCATGACTATACTGATTTGTTTTTAAGTTCCCACTAAACAAAACACTCCTAACCAATCTTTACAAATGCGGACACACAAATATATAATAATGAAAAATGAAACATTACAGTTATAAAAACTTAATCATCTATTAAGTACATCAGTATAAAAATTAATGTAGACTTTCCCTAGCAGTGAATTAATTAGATTAACTGATGCTTAAATTCAGTGGGCATTTTTACATTGGTTAAAGCGTGAAGATTTTTGAATGAGGAGCCATTTAAACTAGTTTACATGCCAAGATCCAACTAGTTTAGAATAAACTAGTTTTATATTTTACTTCTCTCCTGTTGCTATTCAGCCCTGAAATGGCTGAAAGAACATTTCTAAACAAGGTTTTAGATTTATGTTTGTTCATTTCTTTCCATTTTTTTTCATAGAAAACAGCAAATTGCTATGGACTTTAAACTGAAGAGCCATGATGGTAACATCTAAAGTAAGTAAAACATTATGAAACCAGTAAACCATAATTTATACCCTTTTATGTGAAGCCTTTTAGGAGCAAATGAATCTCACTGGGAATTTTTTCCGTCAGAAATTATACCACTTCTATCTGGCAAACCTGAATCAATGAATCTTGTCAAATATATTGCTCATTTATACAACTGGATGCCCTAGAGATATCTTTTAAAAGGCCTTTTGATTTATTCTATAGCATAAAACAAAGATTTGCATTAAAAGTGTACAGCGAGGGCTTCCCTGGTGGCACAGTGGTTAGGAATCTGCCTGCCAGTGCAGGGGACACGGGTTCGAGCCCTGGTCTGCGAAGATCCCACATGCCGTGGAGCAACTAAGCCTGTGTGCCACAGCTACTGAGCCTGCACTCTAGAGCCTGTGAGCCACAACTATTGAGCCCTCGCACCACAACTGCAGAAGCCCACGTGCCCTAGAGCCCGTGCTCCGCAACTAGAGAAGCCACCGCAATGAGAAACCTGCACACCGCAACGAAGAGTAGCCCCCGCTCGCCGCAACTAGAGAGAGCCCACGTGCAGCAATGAAGACCGAAAGCAGCCAAAAAAATAAATAAATAAAACTAAAAAAAAAAAAGTGTGCAGTGAGATGTACCTTTTGGAGTTCAAACCAAAATCTGATAAGGTGAACATTAGATGGAGCCTTCCAATCTAATTGCAAACTAGTGTTCCCTGGAACCAAGGCATGAGGTTTCTCTGGCGTGTCAAACGTTTCCACAGTGACAGGATGACTCTCCGTGCACCACATTTCCTCGGCGTGGCAGGCCAGAACCTTTTTGTAGAAAAGAACAATTGCTTAACTTTTCTAGAACCTTGCACTTGAGAATGGCAATAAAAGTACCCAATATACTCGCCGTACTTTTAACACATAGAGTTTTCCACCAGACAGTCTAGTAACAAGGAGAGAGAGCCTCCCATTTGGATAGTCACTTTGCCTTAGTGGAGTCTCAGGAATGGGAGCCAGTTGAGAGATTGCCACCTGATAGCGGACTGCCTCTTGCGGTCCATTTGGCTTGTGAGATTCTCTCCAGGATATAACGAGGCTGGTGTCTGACTGCACGGTTGTGTTAATGAGCCAAACCGCCTCTGGGACTGAAATAAATAGCAGTGCACAATAAGGCATGTTGCAACAGCACTGAAAGATGGAAAGAAGTAATAGGGTCTTGATTGAGGAATAGGCATATCATGTGAGCAGAATGAATGACAGATGTTCCAAAGGAAAGCCAGCCTCCTACATAATGGAAGTTAACAGGCTGCCTGAAAGGCTCTCGCTTATTTTTGCCTAATGACTAAATCATTCTCTGGCTGCCGCTCAAGGATATGGCCAATGATGAATAATCCAATTCGGGTGAGTTTTGTGAATGGCATCAGAGATGTGTGAAAGAAATGGCCTCCCCTCGTAATAATCGCCACCTCTTACAACACCTTTTCAGATTCTAAATCCACTTTCTTTAAGGCAATGATGTTATATTACTTTACAACTCAGTAGCCTTGGTAAAATTCGCATAGAGAAAAGGCTTGGCTTTCCTAGGTTTCACCACGTGTACAGAGACCTGTAAATACATGGGAAGAGAGTGACACTGTGAGGTGAGACCAAAGAATGTGTTTCCAGACACATAGAATTGATGATGATGTTTTGCCATGTAGTTGCTTTTCATTTTGATGGGATATTTTCCATCATCTTCTGGTGTTCGAGTAAGGATCATGTCAACAGAATATTCTCCTAGAAATACATTTTTCTTATTAAGCTTAAAAAAACTCACATAATAAAGATAACTTAGCATCCAGATAAAAACCAAGTATAGGGCTTCCCTGGTGGCTCACTGGTTAAGAATCTGCCTGCCAATGCAGGGGACACAGGTTCAAGCCCTGGCCCGGGAAGATCCCACATGGTGCAGAGCAACTAAGCCCATGCACCACAACTACTGAGCCTGTGCTCTAAAGCCTGTGGGCCACAACTACTGAGACTGCATGCTACAACTAATGAAGCCCACGCACCCTGAGCTCATGCTCTGCAACAAGAGAAGCCACTGCAATGAGAAACCTGTGCACCACAACGAAGAGTAGCCCCCACTCGCCGCAACTAGAGAAAGCCCACACGCAGCAACGAAGACCGAATGCAGCCAAAAATAAATAAATAAATTTATTTTTAAAAAAACCCCAAAAAGCAAATATAGGCACACACAAGCACATATATCATAAAATTCCACTCTAGAAAATCCCACACTGCACCCGTAACTCACCTCCACTTTTAGTTTTTCCCCAAATCTCTTTTCCCAGAGGTAATTGTTCCAAAGGATCTGAATAATAATTCCTTACAGCTGTCCGTATCATATATGTTGAAAATGGTTGTAAACCTTCAATAAGGGCTATACTCTGCTGAAATTCCTGTAATTAATTTTAAAAAATCAGTGTCTTATTTTTTGTACAAACAGGGAGAAATTATTTAATCAAAGAGAAAAAAACTAAAAGACTCAAATATTTTTAATTCATCTTTAAATCTTGGATCATGAGTGACAATCTTCACTGTCCTAGTCTGCCCAGAATGTCTCCAAGAATAAATGCCAAATGATTGGCAGCCTCAGTCAGTTGTGACATAATCATTTCACTTAGGAAGCTGAATTCCCAGAGCACACTATCTCATTAGCGTTGCATTAGAAATTCAGCAGGAAGGTATTGTAAGGATGTGACACATCCGTGAATACAATAAAAGAATAAGCTACATTATCTAATCATTCTCAGAAATAAACTTTAAGAAACTAAAAAGGCTTTCCTTACACTAATGGTTCTCAATTTTGGTTACACTTTGGAAACATCTGGGAAGTTTTAAGAAAATACTGATACCTGGGTCCCACCCCTAAAGATTCTGATTGCATTGGTCTGAGGTGAAGCATGGGCTCAGAAATTTTAAAAGCTTCAATGTGCTGTCAAGTTTGAGAACCACTCACTGCCTTTGGCCCATATTAATCATTATGAAGACAATAAGAGATAAGCTCTAATAAGAGAAATGACAGAAACCCAATCTTGGTCAGCCAAATGATCCAATCTGTCTCTGAAACGACTCCTGTTAGAAATGTGTAAAGAAAGGTTAAAATAGACAAAATTTTAAAATAAATAAATAAATATATATATTTATATATATATATATTTTTTGTGGTACGCGGACCTCTCACTGCCGTGGCCTATCCTGTTGCGGAGCACAGGCTCCGGACGCGCAGGCTCAGCGGCCATGGCTCACGGGCCCAGCCGCTCCGCGGCATGTGGGATCTTCCTGGACGGAGGCACAAACCCGCGTCCCCTGCATCGCAGGTAGACTCTCAACCCCTGTGCCACCAGGGAAGCCCAAAAATAAATATATTTTTTAAAAATAGACAAAATAAAGGAAGTTACAAGAATCAGAAAGAAAGTATATAGTGCTTAACCTCCAATAGATGATGGTCAATTTCACCTTTTGACTTGATTATAAAATAAGCACAAAGAAAAATACTGGATACATACAATTCCATCTCAAAGACAACTGGAACACCCAGGCCAATGATGGAATGAATTGTCTCCATTCATTCATTCAAGAAATATCTAGTAATGCCTATACAATGCCAAGTAGTATCTAGGTGCTAGGAATACAATGATGAATAAAAACGTAGTCTCTGTATAACAACACATTTCACAACATATAGAAAATAAACAAAAATATAATGTACAATTTTTATATTAGCTACATGCTATGGAGGAAAGGTATACAGAAATGTTCTTTCTGTCCAGTTCATTTCTTACCCCTCAATCTGCTGGAATGGCCACAAAAACAAGTCTCTATCACTTTCTGGGGATAATTAGATAATTAGGGAGGGAAACAAACCCAGCTCTTTTAGGACACTCAGGAAACAGTCACTATAAGGCAATCTACCGACTGATTAGGGTTAATATATTTCCTTGAAGCTTAACTTACTCGTAGACAAGAGACTAGATAGAACACAGTATGTTTTTGGTTTTTTTACATCTTTATTGGAGTATAATTGCTTTACAATGGTGTGTTAGTTTCTGCTTTATAACAAAGTGTATCAGTTATACGTATACATATGTTCCCATAACTCTTCCCTCTTGCGTCTCCCTCCCTCCCACCCTCCCTATCCCACCCCTCCAGGCGGTCACAAAGCACAGAGCTGATATCCCTGTGCTATGCGGCTGCTTCCCACTAGCTATCTACCTTACGTTTGGTAGTGTATATATGTCCATGCCTCTCTCTCGCCTCGTCACAGCTTACCCTTCCCCCTCCCCATATCCTCAAGTCCATTCTCTAGCAGGTCTGTGTCTTTATTCCTGTCTTACCCCTAGGTTCTTCATGACATTTTTCTTCTTAAATTCCATATATATGTGTTAGCATACGGTATTTGTCTTTCTCTTCCTGACTTACTTCACTCTGTATGACAGACTCTAGGTCTATCCACCTCATTACAAGTAGCTCAGTCATCTGTAAAAGTTAGCATCACAGTGTGTTTCAGAACATAATATAGAAAATACTATGGCTGAGGATTTATATCAAAAAAAGGCATCTTGTGAAAAGACAAAGACAACGGGCTCCAACCTTACCAGCATTCTATCTTTCAGTTCAGAGCTGTTCTTCCTGTCATTTACTTCTTTGTAATAAAGCAGGTATGTGGGAGTGGGACTGGTGATGCCATCCCACATGTGGTTTGTCTGGACAGGTGGTAATCTGATTGTGAGGCTGGTATTAGTGGTGTTAAGTATAGTTGGCTCTGCAATATCTGAAGCTAGAGACAGAAATGCTCTATCTAAAATAATAATAAAAAGATTAAATATATACACATGTACGTACAAGAGAAACAGCAGATTTATCTAACATCAAGGATAATATCATATTTTCTTTTTATTTAACTGACAAGGTATGGTACATTGGAGTGTTGGAAATGTTATTCAGGACAGGAAGACACGTTTTTTTTCATACGTTTTGAACATGTTAAACGCCTGGGGAAGAGTGCAAAATAACTGGTAATTGCTTACAATTTCCAGCAGATGGAGCTAAACTACCCTTAATTACGTACCTAGACAGTGAATAGCAAATTAAGTTGACCCTTTTTTATTTTGAAGAAAGTAATGAGAGCATTATATCAATCATATTTTTCAATGAATTCCGATTATGAAAACTGATGTTATCTTTAGGACTTTTATTTCTAGGGATATGCGTGTGTGTTCAAACTCAAACAGATATTGCATGGATTTTTTAAATCTCTTAAATGAATTATTTCACCAAAATATGCACTCAGTTTATTTATAAGTTCTCCCATGTTTTCATATTGTATAACTTACGTATTTTATAACTGAATACATTTAAGCAAAGAGGGTTTATTTTACTCATTTCTCTCCCTCTCTAAGAGGAAATTATACTGAATTTAGAATGACATTGTGACTTTAATGGCAGAGAGAGCTTGTGAAAAAACTCAGAGACCACTTTAGGTTTGAATGTCACCCATGAGGCTATGTAGTGCTGTTTTTGTTTTTGGTTGGTTGGTTTTTATATTTCAAACATTTATTTTATTATGACTCTCAGCAAAAAATATATAGTCAGTTCTGCCATAATGTGATACATGCATTCCTAAAAGTCATTGCATTATACAAAACCCAGAGGATGTGTGGGGAAAATAGAGTGAAGAGCACAACACTAAAAAACTTCATGAGTGACACATTAAACAAACGAGAGAAACTTAATAAAAATGGTAGCACAAATGTACACGCTAAGTGGTTGACATATCTAATCCTATAATACATAGGCATTTTACCTTGAAAAAGACCTGAAATGTTATGCAAAGCTTTTTGACACCACTGGGAGGTCTAAAATATCATCAGGGGAGAAAAAAGACAAAAAGAAGGGAAATTATAGGACTGAGAAGACAAAGAGGATAGACAGAGAGAATGACAGGACAAGGGTTTCCCGTGTCTAAAGTAGCCTGCCACAGCCCAAGCCATGTATACAGATAGAGATAAATTGTGACCCAGGGCAAACAGCAATCACAACGTGCACCAAACCCTGACCGTTTGGAGCAATGCTGAGAGCACAACGAAGAGTTGGAGGGACAGCCCTGGAGGAGGAAACATTATGAAATTTTCCTGACCCTAAACTGGGAGAACAAGCTGATTAAGTATGTGACTCTCTTACCTGGAAAAGGCTGCAGAACTGAACTGTAAACCAAGATATGCTTACTACTTAGGGCCTCCACCTGGGACAGGATGGTCCCATTGCTTTTCTTTGCCTGATAAATTTGTGTGCTGTCCTTTGCTGTGGAGATCCAATAGAGAAATTGTCCATCCACAGTCAAGCTAACAAGCATTTTTCCTGTTGATGAAAAACAGAAAAGAACATAAAGAACAAAATACATATCTGACATTTTCTACTCTAAGCAATATGTGAAATCCTTTTTCTATAGCATAACTGAGAAATTTTGAATCTTTCTATTATTTCAATATGAAAAAATAATACCTTTATGTCATTAGCCTAAGGATTTTACAGATATTTTCTCATTTTAGCTCCATATCAAGCCAACAAAGCAAATACTATGATTATATAACCCCTTGAGGGGTTAAATAATTCCCCTCAAGGCCACAAATTTCGTCAAGGGCAGAGCCAGGATTTAAAGCTTACCTGTGTGATCCCACCCCAAACAACACCAACTGAAGGGAGGTATTAGCTGAGGCACAGGGCTCAGCGCCTTGCTCAGTATATTTATCAGTGATTTAGAATGAATGCATAATAAACATATTTATCAAATTTGCAGATAATACATGATTCTTACTGTCCCTAGTACATTCAGTCTTTGACTTATTCAAAAATACCACAACAGAATCGTGAAATGGATTGAAATTTAATAGCAACAAATATAACATCCTAAATCCAAGGTTAAAATTAAAACTGTAAATAAGGAATGAAAGAAATTCTGGCTTAATAATAGTTAACATGAAAAAGACTATGGGTTCTTCAAATGGCAGGCAGCCCAAAGGCCTGATGTCACTTTTAGCTGCAGTAAAAGAAGACCTAGGAAGGCACAGGCCCTCTGTGCTGACCAGAACATACTGAAAGTACAGTGAGTCCTTATGGGACAACATTTAAGAGAACTAAGCAGCTAGAGCGAAACCTCAGGAGGGTGAATAGGGCAAAGAAAGATCTAGAAGTCACACCACCTAAGGGGTACTTAGAGATACTTGAATTTTTTCCTCTAAAGGAAGCGCTTAGCATGGGCTATGGCAGCTGTTTCCACATAGTTGAGTCGCTATCATGTGGAAAGTGATTGATTTATTCTTTGTAAATTTAGAAGTCAGAACTCAGGCCAATGAATGAGAGGAATGGGGAGAAAACTTCGGCTAAACATAAGAAAAATATCTAGCGTTTAGAATTGTGCAAAAATTAAACAGACTTCCTTATAAGGCAGTAAATTGTTTTATAAACAGGTGCTCAAAGAAGGCTGTTTTGGTAGAGGGGATTTCTTCCAATATTATGTCAGCTAAATGATCTCTAAAGTCATTTTAATTTTCTAATTTTTGGATTATGGATTTCAATTTTGGCTTCATGAAAGACTGACTAGTTCTATAGCTATAAAACAATGGCCCAATAGATAACTCTTGTGTATCAGATGTTAAAGAAAAATTATTCTGACACTTGTTTAAATGGTAAGGAAGACTTTAATCAAGGCTGCTGCAATATTGCAGTAGGGGAGGGAGATGTGCACAACTCCAAAGACAACTGGGGGTTATATCCAACAAGCAGAGGGAGAGAGCAGTCAAGAAAATTACTAAGAGGAGACATCAGTGGGAGGGGGATTCTTGCTAAACTGGCCTCATAGGATTTTTGGCCAAGAACATCAAGGGTGGGGGTGAAGAACTTTATCAGATACCAAGATGAGGGATTCTCTCTAAACTGATTTGGCAAGATTCTTGCTAAAACTGGACTCAGCAAGGATGGACAGGGAAGACCAAGTTTGAGGTCTAGTTGAGAAAAGGGCTCACAGGAGCGTAACTAAAGTTTGATCCGGGAATTCCCTGGTGGTCCAATAGTTAGGACTCTGGACTCGGTGCTTCCACTGCAGGAGGCACGGATTTAATCCCTGGTTGGGGAACTAGGATCCAGCAAGCTACTCGGCGTGGCCCAAAATAAAAAAAAAAAAAAGCAATTAAAGTTTGATCAAGGAAAGGGTCTTTGTCACACATTCAACAGAATCAAGTTATTCTCCTAATAAGAGAAGTTCAGAACATTATCTCCACTCTTAAGCCCATTGAAAGTATATTGGAATTGCTTCTAAAAGGCTCTGGGGGCTTCCCCGTTGGCTCAGCAGTTAAGAATCCACCTGCCAATGCAGGGGACATGGGTTCGAGCCCTGGTCCAGGAAGATCCCACATGCCACAGAGCAACTAAGCCCATGCATCACAACTACTGAACCCACGTGCCACAACTACTGAAGCCCGCGTGCCTAGAGCCTGTGCTCCACAATGAGAGAACAGCAATGAGAAGCCTGCGCACCACAAGGAAGAGAGACCCCCCACACACTCGCCGCAACTAGAGGAAGCCCACACGCAGCAAGGAAGACCCAACGCAACCAAAAATAAATTAATTAATTAATTTTAAAAAAAAAACTCTGGCTGGTATGTCAACAAAACCATACATAAAGTTACAACACACAGACACACACACATTTGCAATTTCAAAACTTTACTATATAAACCAGCAATACCCAATATCACTTTTTTAAAAATAAATTTATTTATTTGTTTGTTTTTGGCTGCATTGGGTCTTCATTGCTGCACATGGGCTTTCTCTAGCTGCAGTGAGCGTGCGGGGCCACTCCTTGCTGCGGTGCTCAGACTTCTCACTGTGGTGACTTCTCTTGTTGCGGAGCACGGGCTCTAGGCACGTGGGCTTCAGTAGTTGTGGCACGTGGGCTCAGTAGTTGTGGCACACAAGCTTTATTGCTCCATGGCATGTGAGATCTTCCCAGACCAGGGATCGAACCCGTGTCCCCTCCACTGGCAGGTGGATTCTTAACCACTGCGCCACCAGGGAAGGCTCCCCAGTAGCACTTTTGATGATGGAAATATTTGACATCTGTGCCGCCCAATACAGTGACCATTAGCCGCTGTGGGTTTTGATCATTTAAAATGTGACTAGTGTGGCTGAGGAATTAAATTTTGAATTTTATTTAATTTTAATTAATTTAAACTTAAATCACCACACGTGATTAGTGATTGGATAGTGAGGACTAGACCCTTAAGAATATATGGGGGTATTTAGAGTGTTTTTTTTCTTTTGCAATTACTCCTAATTAGAAGACTTCCAAGTGACTTTAGACTTTCAAATATTTCCTCCACAAGATTGTGAATTTCAACAGATAGACCTGTCAAGTATTGACCAAGTCATGCTGAACGTGGAGGCAATGAAATCATCAGCATGGGGGTGGAGTACTGGTGGGAAGATCAGGGATGCCATAGTTAGGCTCAGTTTCAGATACCAGCTCCTCTATTAACTATGGCCCTTTGGACAAATTACCTTTCTCAGCCTCAATTTCCTCATCTGTAAAATGTGGATACTAGTATCTACTTCACTGAGGTGTTTTGAAGATCAAATGAGATAATACATTTAGTAGCCTGCTTAGAACACATAGTTGAGCTCAATAAGTTGTAGTTCTACTGTTAATTATAAAATAACAACAAAAAAAGCCCCCCACAGATCCAGAAAATTATGTGAATGCCTATGTACAATTTACCTGAAAACAATTTGAATTCTACAAAAACATTTGGCACGGTCTGGAGCAAATACTATATATATATACACACACACACACATATTCCTTTGAGTATAGGTTGAATGTAACTCCTTTTTAATGGGACAGGAGGGGCTGCCATTATTAGTGAAGATCTACTACACACACGAGTGTCTTACCAAGCAGAGCAGGCATGATGATAACTTGCCAACACTGACATCCTTCCAGATCCATTGCCCAGATCTCTTGCCCCTTGACAAAGTATATCCGTGGTTTCTTTAGGTCAGAGGTATCAATAGTCATTGCTCCACTTAACTCGAATTCAGTCACATTGCAAGAACATTGGCTTCTTCCATTTGGATGGTTTCTGGCTGGGGGTTGCAAAATTCGGTGCAAGGTCTGGTTGATAATACTGTAGTAGAACATCTGAGATCCAAAATCAGAAACTTCTGTCCAATACAGGCGACTATAGGAACAAAAGGACACTCCAACTTAATGAGTAAAACATATCATTGCAAATATCAGTTTCTAATGAAGATCAATCATTTCTAATGATTGTGGGGACAGATGCCACCTTTAAAAAGAACATGTCCCAGTGTTCAATAACCTTCTGATGGAAGAGATCACAAGAAGTCTAGTTTGTAGCATTTTCCAATGATTTCTCAATAAATGTGTTTGCAACGAAAGCCTTGGACTATAATGACCTTAGGCATTGTATTAAATGGCTCATTACTGGCTCTAAATATGAAACATATTTGCATACTTTTCATCAACACCATCTCCATTCCCTTCCTCTCAAGTTTGTTTCTGTTTCTTAATACTAGTTACCAATCTAGTTTCAAGATAGACTATAACCATGCTTATGGCACAAACAAAATATAACTCTTCAGCTGGAGAAACTGCTATTCAGTTGCTGAATGGAAGCCTTAAAATTAATCTCATAAGGACATTAATTAAAGATGGATGAGCCCAGAATAGCATTTACTATGGAAAACATGCTTCCTTTCTATCTCCTGCTCATTTCCTGCTGCTGTCTCAGTCCCCTTCTTGTCCTTACCAACTGGGGATATTATTAAATTCACTGGTATAAAAATATCCTTTGGTTTCCCTCTGGTAATTAACCTAACTTTAGGTTAGTGGAATTGTCAGTATGGATTAATTTTATATATTGGTGGTTGTAGGCTCATCATTTATATGTAGAATTACTATAAGTTAACATCAAGAACATTAAGTATCTTACTGTCCCAACATTGACTCTAATATTAAACCAAAGATACTACATTAAATATGTCTATGTCTGTTTCATCACAATAGAAACAGACACTCACGCTTCACATACCTTAAGAAAGGATATACAGAAAAAGAGATTATTGTTGAATTTCTGTTGCAAATTTTCAGCTTCCTGGGATACTTCACCTTGTTTTCAAGATCTACATCAAATATTTGCATTCCATTTTGTGATTCTTTCAGCACAAAGTAGAGGTGCCTTGAAATCCAGTCAATTGTAATAATTGTGATATCAAAAACCAGTGCATCTCGGAAAATCTTAACAACAGGTAGAAAACACAGCCAAGAAGATAATGCTCATTTTCTTCAACTCTGAGGACTTTTTTTGTAGTCACTCGATTTCTTATTTACTGCACTTCTCTTCTGTAATCCAAAATCTCGGTAACTCTGGACTGTGTGCCACTGTAACACTGGTCCTCTTCTCACATTGTATATTTTCCCTGGTTAATTTCAACTACCATGGCTTCAACTGTAATCCATAGACCGGAGCTACAAATTCACATCTTCAGGCAAGATCTCTCATTGAGTTACTGCTTCAAATATCAAACTGCCTACCGAACATCTCCAAATGAACGATCTCAGAAAACAAAATTCATCACCCCACCCCCCAAACCTCCTTTTCTCCTGCATTTTATATTTTTATGGATTTCCAACACTCACCTGAAGAGCAGTCTCGACAACTGTGGTTGCCCCTTGACTTCTTCCTCCCATTACTACCCATAGCCAATTAGTCCCATTTTAAATATCTCCTGAGTTTGTCCTCTCCTCTCTTACCTCAGTGTCTCTCACTTCCTGCCTAACATTTCCTGTCTGGATTCCTGTGATAGTTCCCGACTGCCTCAGACTTAACCTTCTCTTCTTTGCTAACAGAGAGGTCTTCCTAAAACAAACCTTCTCTTCTTTGCTAACAGAGGGGTCTTCCTAAAACACTACTTGATCATGTTAATGACCCACTAAATTTCCTGAATGGCTTGATGTTGGCTTCAAAATTGACACTCATCTCCTTGGCACCGTAAAGAAGGTCCCTTATATTTAGGCTCTTGCCCACCTCTTCAGCTTTACCACCTGCCTCTTACTCTGCCCTGACCCCCACCTCCATTCCAAGCTCCTAGTTACAGCTCCCCGAACAGGCTATGGCTCTCTGGTTTCCCGGACTTTGCTGCTCCCTCAGCTTTTCCCCACATTCACCTGGTTCATCTTATTTGTACCCAAGATGTCTTTCCACTCTACCACCACCACCACCCCTCCATCCTGGATGAAGCATCCTTTCTCTGTGATTCCACTGCATCCTGCCCTCAGCATAGCACTTACAGTCTTCCGCCTGTCTTCTCCACTAGCTAACAGTCAGTGAATACCTACCACATTCCAGGCGTTGTGCTAAATGCCTTACATGGATTAGCTCATTAATCTTCACTCTAAGATGAGGGACTATGCAACCATAGTGGTTAAATAAGTTGCTGATGGTCACAGTTCTAGCATGTAGTAAAGTCAGAATTAAATTCTAGGTTGTCAGGTTTCAAGGCTCACCCTCTTAATCACCATGCCATACTGTCTTACCCTTGTTAGACTAATACTAAACTGGATTTGTTCAAGGACTGTGACGTTCTGTTTTCCCTCTATCTCAGGTAACACAGTGCCTTAAGCCCAAGAACTGTTTGCTAAATTAAGCCTGAATCACATCTGCACAAAACATAACCTGAATTCATTTGTGACTAAATACACAACATCTGTCCTTTTCAACCACTCTAATCTTAATGGCTCAACCACTGGCTCGTCATTTTCATCACAGCATTGTGTGATATGCAAATACTCCACTTCCTTTCAGAAGAATTACATAGCGAAATACCTCAGAGCTGGACTGATTGTGCATGTTGAGGAGGAGGAGTGAGTCTCCCTGAGCATAGTACGCCACTGCGTCATCAGCTGTGTAGCCCATGGCACCAACGTCGCCTTCTGCCAAAAGTGTCCATACAACTTGATTTCGATCCATATCTAACAAAGCTATCTTGTTGTCAAAAAAAGTTATGAGGTATGGAAATGCACTGATCTCTAAAAACAAAAAACAAGTAGATAATATGTATGAGAAAAAGAACTTCAGCAAAATCCCTTGATTCAACATCAGGCCATTATGAAATCCGTGAGTCTCCTTTGGACTCATTTACTACACCCGTCTCGATGGCTTCTGCCTGGGTGCTCTAAGCCTAGGTTTATTTAAGCGTGTTTGGTGATGATGAAAATTGATTATTTTATTTGACTTTAATTTCAGCTCAGAGATAGCACTTGGGTATCCCTGAGAATACAAAGGGTCAAAAATGTTTTTAAATCACTAGTTGTTATTTGCACAGGTTTTAGATAATAAATACCTGATGTTTTGGACTTTACTATGTCAGAAAATGGTCCAGGTCCTTTGGATGTGAAGACTCGAACCTAAAGAAAGAAAAGCATACAAAAATGTGCGTTCAAAAGTGTCCTCAGTGACAACAGTTAAGTTCTGAGACTGATAAATTATTGAATGTTTCATTTCACAATTATGAGATATATCATGAATAGGTTCAGTTATTCACATCTAAGTATATAGCAAAAAATTACTAAGAGGAAAAATATTGTCCCAAACAATTTTTGGTAGGATTGTTTTGTCCAAAAAAGTACAAAGTAATGGCACAAACCTCTATTGCAAAAGATCTGAATTTCTATAAAACGTCTTTAGCTATTTCCAAAATTAAATTACATGGAACATTTAACAGAAACAAAACCATACAGATTATGGTAAACTTCCACTTTATCATGAAATCAACAAGAAGCTTCAAATAACTAAATTTACTGTACTTCTTTAAAAGAAGATTTATAAAAAGAAAATAGTAATTAACCCTTATATTTGAAAATGAGTTGTGCATTTCAAACCACTTTTACGTATATTATCTCTTTTGATCCTCACAACTACTAAGAGTAGAAACTGGACAGGGATCATAATTAGGGGAGGCAACCTATCCGCAATGACACATGTAGAAACTGGCATAAAACTAAGTCTTCTGAGGTCTGTATGCTTTCCTTCCCACTGTGCCAAGCTGCGTTCTAACAGCAAAGTTTTTTTAAACAATTTTTATTACATGTCTCTTATTATATAATAATTATTTCCACTTCCAAAACTTGCCTGCGTGCTATAGCCTAAAAGAAAATTGCCATCCATAATGGTGGCCTTGAAAGATAGAAGCTCAAGTGCCCTCTCAATCAATGAAACATTGGATTATTTTTATTATACTTCTAGAATTAAATCTCTTTTACTATATTCTGTTTATTGCTATCTGTGTATGGTGTGCGTGCATGTGTGTGTGTTTATCATGGTGCATATATATATCAATCAGTCTTCACTTTTGCACTGGACCGTGTTAAGTAAAACTCAACGCCTATACATGCAGATCACTTTGCAAAGCTCTGTGGTGACTGAGATTTGAACCAATATAAACATATAGGCAAATACACTTAACCAGACTATTTATTTAACTGGAACACACGTAATTCTTAACAAATAGGAAGTGTGTGTTATCTTTAACTTTTATGTACAACTGTTTTGATTAGTATATGTAGACCTAATATATTATCAAAATAATTACAGAATTAGAATTTTACAAAAAGAAAATAGATCCTCTGGAAACCACAAATCTCTAAAACACTCCCCAAAACATTCTGTTCCCCAAAATGAAATGGAAAATAACTCTAAATATGTACAACCTTGTCACCAACCTGGTATATAATGATGATGTGAAAATCATCAGGCTATCTACCATAAGGGGAAAGCTATGTCATATTATATTTAAAATGCCAAAATAGGTGGCAGTCGTTTTTCGTTTTGACTCCTACTCTCTCCGACTTTCTCCTCTCTCTGCAGCCAGGTGATAAATGTGAGATGTCAACTACCCAGACCCTCAGCTTTTATTTCCTTTAGTAGCTGCAATTGGGGGCGTCCAGATGACTTCCAGCAGTTGATGTAATATAGTGGAAAAGACTCTAGAAGCTAGACTGTAGCACACCACTTCCCAACCACGCAGCTTTGGTACCTCACTGATACACCCAGGGACATGGCTTTTTCTTCACAATGTGAGGATCAAATGAGATAATGAATATAAAAGCACCTAGTGTGGTACACGGCCTATAGTGGTGGAGCCAAAAAATAATGTTTGTTCTGAATCTGGAAGCAAGAAAATTGTCAAGATGTCCTTTACCCTAGCTGTCCCCTCTCCCTTCTGTACCTTTGCTGTCCACTTGACCTCTGTGATCACAGCGTACATGAAATTATTGACAGAGCGGCAGAATTCTTAACCTGGTCCTTTAATCCACCTTTTGTCTACACTATTCAGACCCCTGTATCCCTGTTTTCACTCTCATACCTGGAAGGCAACACTGTACCCAAGACTCATACCCTCAAGTTGAAAAGACATCACTGAGGAAGTGACATTGACAGCAATCCAGTCTTTGAATGTTTTGTTTGTGTCGCTTTGGTTGGATATTTGATAGAAAATTTCGAATCTTGTTAACACACCATTTTCGTGCTTAGGCTTATTCCACCTAAACTCCACCACAACTTCATTCTTATTGTGGTATTTTTCACTTGGTAATATAAATATTCTGGGATTCTCTGGTGCTGATGGAACTGAAAAGCAGAGACACAGGGCAGAAAACAATACGAGGTCAACTTCTACCACTCATGATGAGGGTGCAGAGCAACTGAGTAATAGATATTTCTCATTCCTGACAGTTAAGGTATATCTGTCTTCTTCTTAAAGATCTTCAGGAGAGAATATTCCATAGATTTCTTCAGGAACCTATCCTGATATTTCTGCAAATCTTCCTTTTCTCCAACCCAAATCCTACTTACTACCACTGAGGCACACCTTTCTCATCTGTGGTCTGTGTACATGGAAGCTGGCTAGTTCACCTTATAAAATACAGTATTTACTCTCACTCTGGAGGTGGAAATGGCAGTCACCAGGAAGGAAGACACTATATCCAGCCTTCAGCCAGTTCCGGGTGTAAAATACAGCATATCCAGGATCTAGGCCCTCTCACCGTGAAGCCTCTCTGAGAGTATGGCTTAGTTGTTGCCATCTATTCTGGAGCCACATCAAGAAATTTAGCCTCTCCCAATCCTTTAATTAATTTCTCTCTCTCTCTCTCTCTCTGTCAATCAAGAGAAATTCCTCTGCCTGATTTCCAAGTCATTCCATCCAAGACATCCCTCTTCTTTCTTAGGATCCCTCCATAGGTCCCCTCCCACTCTGCCGGTCCAATCACATTGCTCCGTAATGTTCAACACTCACATCGTTATCCAATCCCCAGACCTTCTTGCATTGTATTTACACGGGATAAACCTCTTCTTGCTTCATGCCTTAGAGCCCAGCTAAAGTTTCCTCTCCCCAAAGGCCTTCCCCAGCCATCCAAGCCTGCATGTATGGCCCTCTCATAAGAATGCTGAGAGGCAGCCTGATAGAGGTGAAGGTTTCATAGCCTGCTTATTCACTCTATGCCACTGCTACTCAGTTGTCACTGTCTTATTTCTTTTATCATTAGCAGCGTCTGCGTTTATCTCTCTACTGTCTTATGAGCTCCGTCAGAGAGAAAGCACCTTTTCTTATTCCTTATTAAATCCCCCCAAATCTAGTAAAGGACTGGCACACAGTAAGTGCTTAATAAATAGTTGTCAATTTGAATAATTTCCAACTATATTGTAAACTCCCCGAAGGCAAGGGCCAAATCTTATCCTTTTTCCTTATTTCAGAGTGTTGATGGCCCCTAGCCCCCAGTGCATCCCCTGATAGTCAAGTCCATTTCCACAGAAGAAGCCAACCAGAGCTGCCATCCCAAGACAATCTCAAAGAGAGCATACCTGGATCCAAATGCTAACTGCTCCACAACCTGCCCAGGCTCCACTATGTTCCTGTTATGAGACTCATGGATAAATATTGTTGATAAAATCTTAACAGTTTAAAAAAAAATTGCAACAGTGAACGTATGTCTGTTTATTGAGCTCTTACTGCCTGTCAGGTCCCGTGCTAGGAAGTTTATATAAATTAAATCAACATGATAAGATCACTCGCCAGTGTCTGCAAAAATGACTGAATGGAGATTTGAAGAAACCAGAGTGAAAAGTCCAGATTAAGCCCCAGCCCTGCCACTCACTAGCTAATTTACATTGGGCAACTCCTAGGCTTCCATTTTCTCTTAGCATAACCAAGATAATAACATCTGTCCTACCTACCACAGAGATGATACAATGATGTTGAGGGTCACTGAAATGATACAGTGATGTTTCTGACACATGATAGGGCTGTAATAAATGTTTAATAAAGGAGTGATATATATAAATGTGCTTTGTACACTTTAAAGTGATATACACACGTAAAGGTGTGGGTAATTTCCTTTTTAAAAATATATTCCAAAGAAAAACATTTTTTAAAAATTTAGAGGGACTTCCCTGGTGGCGCAGTGGTTAAGAATCCGCCTGCCAATGCAGGGGACGTGGGTTCGAGCCCTGGTCCGGGAAGATCCCACATGCTGCGGAGCAACTAAGCCCGTGCGACACAACTACTGAAGCCCACGTGCCTAGAGCCCGTGCTCTGCAACAAGAGAAGCCTCCGCAGTGAGAAGCCCCCTCACCCCAACGAAGAGTAGCCCCCACTCGCAGCAGCTAGAGAAAGCCTGCGCGCAGCAACGAAGACCTAACGCAGCCAAAAATAAATAAATTAAATACATTTAAAAAAAAATTTAGACATCGATATTCACCTACAGAAGATTCTGAGTTACCATCTGTGAGAACACCTCCTGGTAAACCTGCCTTCCAGGAAATTTTTACTGTTCTTAAATCCCCTTTGTCTTTATGAAGCATCTCACAAATTACCTGAACCATGTTTCTGCATTATATACATACTGTATATCATTACAGTCAAGTGAAACAGTCTTTAGGAAATCTTTGAGATATTCGTTAGGAATAAATTATGCAGATTTATTTTAATGGTGCTATTCTAATCTCCAAAGTCATTAAAGAGTATTGAATCTAAACACATCTGCAAAACTGAAAGTTACTTTTAAAAATTATTAACTATCCATTCTAGATCATGAAGGTGAGATTCTGTCTTTTTTTTAAAGAGATTTTAACCCCTGTACCTGTTTCAGGTGCTCGGAGTGATAGAGATGTTTTGGGGCCCTTTCCCCAGTAGGTATAAGGAGTGACAGAAAGATTAAATAAGGCATAGGGCACCAGCCCTTCCACAGTAAATACAGGTAAAGAATGTTGTTCACTAGCCAGGAACTAAAATATAAGCACAAAACATTATTTTCTTAGGTAGAGAATCATAACATCTTTTATTCTTAATTAACTAAAATCTTCAAACTTTGGTTCACATGTAAAGTTAAACCTTGCAATTTTGGAAACACTAATGTTGGTAAATTCCATGTTGTTCCACGAGGACCAGTGTATCTAACACACCAGTGGTTAACACTAACCACAAAGCAGTCAGAGACTGGCTATAAAAAGGAGTTCTCAGGAATAATCTTAATAATCAAATGCTACAGGAACAGTGAGGGAGATGAGCTTGGCTAAGTAAAGAAAGTGGCAAATCAGTGTGGGCAGGGCTGACACACATGGTACACTCTGTTTGAAAAATGGAAGTTACTAGAACCAATGCCATACCTTAGAATGAGCACTAAATTCCACACTGTAGAAAATTACACCCCAATCCACTGCTAGGGAAGCATTCCAGAGGATTTGAAAACTCGAAGCATTTCCTTCAATCATAAATGAAGACTCTGGAATGGCATCTGGGATAACCTTAGGGGTAAAGGAAAAGTTCCCTATGGGATGAAAGAAACAATAGAGAAAGAAAGAATTTAGGATTATCAATTATCACAGATACATGGAAGATTAATAGAAATTACTAACAATTAGAACCAAAACAAAATTTTTCTTTCCTTTAACGTATCCTGAAAATCATCTTTTTCTGACTGTTTCAGGCTATAAATTTGGGTTAAGAGTCAAATGACTGCAAGCAAATTAACAGAAACTACTAAAGCCTTTTTTACTCTTAAAACATAATTCTAAAGAAAAAAAAAACCCCAACCTTAACATTTATGTAACAGAAAGTATGGAGAAGAGAGGTTATGAAGGAATAAAATATCGTACCTGGCAGAGGCTTGAGGGATGTCTGAATAATTGTGAACTGATTAAATTTGGCTGGTTCCAAAACAGAGACACTAGTTCTCTGATCTATTTCCTGAGCTGTAATAATCCTAAAGCCATTGATCCAGAAGAGCCGACCACTGTAGTACATCAGTGTGTTCTGGGAAATGTCAGAAGTACTCCAGGCTGCGAACTCTGTGATGGTGGTGTCCCCAGCAGTGCTGAAACAGGACGTCAATTAGTATTTCTGTCTGGAGTGGGGTAAGGGCTGATGCATTCAAGTACTGGAGAGAATGTGTGTTTGTGAGTGTGTGTGTTTGAAAACAAAGAGAAAATACTTTGCAACAATAATTGTCATTCTTCTTAATTCCATATTAAGTTGATTTTTACATTTTATATGAAGTATACCGAAAGCAAATTTCCTAGGGTTTTTCTTATGAATGTGATATTGCAATAGCAAGAGTGTTACACAGATTTTAATAAATCCTTGTGATTTTTATCAAAAAAATTTTTTTACCCTACATCAAAGGCACAACCCATTGATTTGTTTCTCCTCATTGCATCATGCCTTCCTCCTATTCTTGGTTAGTCATCTTATTTACTCACCATTCTTTATTCTAGGTTGTTTAGTCCTTCACTTTATACTATTCACAACTGTCTGTTGCTTCAACGATACTTATCAACTTCCACAGCTTAGTCCAAATGCTCCGTTTCAGACCAGGGAATTCAAGGAAACAGACTATTGTTTTAAACTGCTTTTAAAGTCTTTTTCTCAATGACAAGGAATTTTATTTTAAAAATCTGCTTGGTTGTTTCTAAAATTACACCAGTTGTCTGGTTCTCACAATAACTATCTCAATGTTCTCAGCCTTTTGGAGCAGTTATTTCACTTTTTTAAAATGATTTCTCTAAAGTTTTTTAAAGTGTTGACATTCCCTTCTTTAGAAAAGTATGGCACTTAAAATCAAAATAAATAAAAGTTTTGTTTTGAGAGTTTCATAATACTTCCTTGAGAAAACTGAAACTACCTCCAAGGACCTGAGAGGTGTCAGACGTATAAAGAAAAAGTATATTCACTAGTACTATTCCCATAGTCCTTTTTCTCATAAAATAGTCTTTATTCATACCTACTCAGATGTGAAGCTAGCACCTGGTTTGCCTTTTGGCCTTTCACCCACTTGTCTAATTTTACACTTTGTCGTTTCCACTTCTCATTAGAACTTTCCAGTAACCTTGGTGAGGTATATAAAACCTAATTCCATATGGAAAGAAGCTCACCAAGCAGGATGCACTTGGCCTGAGAAGGCTGGCCCTTCTGGACCACACACAGAGCTGCTGCAGCCTAGATGCTGTGAATGTGTTCATGTTAGCCTTGCTCACAGGTCGTTTGTTCAGCATTCCCAAAACAATCCCCAGGGCAGAGATTTCCCTGCAGGGTGAGACTGGAGATCCTTAGTTGTCACTGGCTTGGATTGCCCCTCATTTCCAGCTGAAGACTCCTCTCCTGTAAATATCTCCTGGGCTGGTCAGAAAACTCTTGCCATCTGGTGTTCATCGCAATTTCAGCACAACTTCCTCACTTACAGGAGATGAGTACCTCAAACCCTTCAGTCCTCAGACAGGTAGAGCTGGATTTAAATCAAAGCTCAACAACAAAAAAATCATTAAAAGGTAAACCCTTCCATGAAGCATGAGCTGTGTATAGAGGTCAGCTGAGGTTACTCTACTGAGGGCTTACTCATTTATTCGTTCGTTCAGCAAATGTTGGGTGCCTAGTTCTGTGTTGGCCACTAGGAATACAGTGGTAAATAAGACAAATACAATCCCTGCCCTCATAAACTATGCAGCCTAGCAGAATAGGCAGGTAATGAGCAAATAACCACACCATTGAATGGCACTGTAAAAGGAAAGGTAGAGTGGGCTCCTAAACAAGGAGACCTAATGGGGTCTGGTCAGAGAAAGCCACTCTTAGAGAACAATGTTTAAGCTGAGCCATGCAATCTGAACACAAAGTAACCAAGAGAACTGGGTTTGGGGACCATTTTAGGCAGAGGGAACAGCAGGGTGTAGGCTCCTTTGGAGCAATATACTCAGTCCTGACATGACTAAATATGCGTGAACTTTTATGACAGATGCGCCTTTTTCAACCTCCAAGACAGATATGTTGTTATAGATTATATATATATGTCGGTAATAGATTCATTCTTTAATAAACCAAAGGGAATGGCTGTACATAGGAAAGGGAAGAGCAGTTTGAAAGGCAGCTTACAGTTGTCAAGTTCTGAATATGCTGAACGACAGCAGACAGCTAATCTCATCTCTACTCTATGCTAGAACTACACTGTCCAGTAATGTAACCACTAGGCCACAGGTGACTACTGAGCCCTTGACATGTGGCTACTACAATTGAGGAGCTGAGTTTTTATGTTATTTAATCTTAATTAATTTAGGTTAAAATTTTAAGCTAATATTTGATTTATATATTATGAATCATATGTATGATTTACTGGAAAACTTTAAATATTTTGGAAAAACTTGGGTACATAAATCAACTTTTTCAATTGTAAATTTTATAAAATCTAACTGCAGATCAAGTATTTCCTATGAAAACTTAGTGTGCAAAATGAGATGTGCAGTACATGTAAAATACACCCAAGCTATCCAAGAATTAATATGAAAAAGGAATACAAATAACTCATTAATAATTTACCTATATGCTTTTACTTTTTAAAATGAGGCAACAGGAAATTTACAATTATATATGTGGCTCACATTAGTTGTATTGGGCAGTGCTGATCTAGACTAGAGGTGAGGAACTTAAAATGCAGACGAAGGAAGCTTGATTATATATTAGGAAAAAATTTCTGCTTGTAAGATGGCTTTGGAATCCCTGTCTCTATGTACAGCTTTTTTTCCCCCAGTGTGATAAAAAGGCAAGTCTTACGTGGAGGGCAAAATTGCCTGTCCTTTGTGTAACCTTGTCAAGATCTGCTGCACTCCACTGGGCATGCAGACAAGGAAAATTATTAACCTTGAGATAAGGAAATGCATTTTTAAAGGAGAAACTTCCTTCCTCTATCTGGTAAATCCAGTAGTACTGATTTTTCTGGACACTTGAGGAGCTGGGCTCTCAACGCCAGCTAGCCTGTCCTCTGGAATGTACAGACAGAGAGAGTGAGCCGTAATCCTTCAGGACGCTGTCACTTTGAACACCGTCTATATCTCACAGACAGATTCTTTTGACAATCACATTGCCAGTATCTTACATTTCTAGGGAAGGGAACAACCAGTTTTCTATGGTTCACAGTTGGGAAACGAACGAGAGCTGTATGTTATAGCTGATATGAAATAAATGATTAATCAGATTTGCTGTGTTTATGCTCGTATGCATTATAGGTTTATAAACATATACTCCTTTTTTATAGTCTCTATGATTAAGAGTTTTTCCATAAACCAAAAAATATATATTTTTTAATCTAAAAGTAATTTTGACATTGTCTTCATAGAGCACAAATTCTTGGTCTTTGTAAGATTAGACTCTTTTGAAAATTTGATGAAATGAATGGAGGCTCAATTTCCAAGCACTCACACACCACCTGAAGCCCTCCATGAACTCCCTAGGGGGTCCAAGAACCCAATATTAGAAATCTCTGCCCTAGAGCAGGACCTTTTGTTTTACTTTAACCTTTTCCTATCTCTCTAATTTACCATGTGACAATCGGCAAATTTATACACATCTGTGGTTTCAGTTTCCTCATCTATGTAATAATATGACCTCTAAATTCTCCCTTTAACTGCTGTTCTTTAATGATTTTATGTCCTGTATTTTAATTTGAGATAGGTAACTGTTTCCTTGAAGTTAAAAACTATTGGCTGTTTAAACTAAAAATAGTAGTGAACATGGATTTTAGAGTGTAGATGAAAGTAAAATATATGACAACAAGAACCCAAAGAGTGAAGGGTAATAATTGGAAACATATCACCATAAAGTTTTAAAATCATTTATGAAGTAAGAATATTTTGAATATGACTGTGGTAAGTTGAAGATATTTAATGTTAAAAATGCATATTTTACTCTCTAAAGCAACCTAAAGAAAATTATAAATACACATAATTAAAATGTTATGAGAGGAGATAAAATGGAATACTAAAAAAGTATTTTATTTACCCTCAAAAATGCAGAGAAGTAGAACAGAGGAATGAACAGCTGATGAGACAAATGGAAGTCAAACACCAAGATGGTAGACTTAAATCCCAACATATCAATAATTATATTAAATGTAAATGAATCAAACACCCCACTTAAAAGGCAGAAATTGTCAGACTGCATAAAAAAGCAAAACTATATGCTGTTTACAAGAGACACCTTTTAAATGTAAAGACGAAAATTGAAAGTAAAGAGATATAAAGAGCTGTACCATGCAAACACTAAGCATAAGAAAGCTGCTATGACTTTCCTAATACTATCAGACAAAATGGTCTTTAAGATGAAGAATATTACCATAGATGGATGAGGATATTTTATAGTAATAAAAGGAAATACAATGTAATCAAGTATATAGATAACAATACTAAATACAAAGCATGCAGATACGTCAACTAAAGAGTTATAGGCAAATCTATAATCATAGTTGGAGACTATATTAAGAAGCAGAAAAACCCATCCACCCATTTCCTGGGCTCTTGAGGGGCATTCTCCTCAGTGCCTCTACTGGACTCTCTTTACGTCCTATCACAGTATTCACCATATCCTACGGTAATTAGTTATTTAAAAACTTACCTTTCCTTACAAGCACAATGCCTGCAACACAGTGGAAAATTAGTAAATGTTTATTGGAAGAATAAATGAATTCTCATGCACTATCATTTATAACTGAGGAGCAAGTTGTTCTCTTATTCTCAACCAATTGCCTTCAATCTTACTTACCTCTGACCCCGAAGAACAGCTGTGTACAGGTGAATACACTGACTGTCTTGAACCAACCAATACAGGAGCCCATCACTAAGGTCTAAAGTTAGAGCAATTACCTAAATAGAAAATATGGAAAGAAAACAGATCAAATACATGTTTAAGGATACCTTTGTGATTATGTCACACTTAAGCTACAGATTTCTCTTTAACATCCTCTTTGGAATAATAAACTCAGTGATTTTTGCCTTTCACTGAATATAAATATTATATGAGTATGTCTATTACTACATAATTTTGATATAAGCACTGGTTTCCTAAAAATCCCCAAATGGCAAGTATTCACTTCTATATACTTATCTCTAGTGCTTCTCAAAGTTTGATTCTTGGACCAGCAACATCAGCATCATCTGGGAATTTGTTACAAATACAAATTTTCAACCACACTCCAGGTCCTACTGAATGAGGGACTTTGAGCCACTGTGTAAAGCCTTGTCTAAAGCTAGCCATAACTTTGGACTCTTCAGCCACATAAGCCAGTGAATTTGATCGTTGTTTAAATCAGTTGTTCTCAATTGCTACACATTAGAATTACCTGTGGAATTCTTTAAACATCTCAATTCCCAGTCTGCATCCTGTTAAATTTTGATCTCTGGAGATGGTATCCAGTCTCCAGTATGTCTTCATATTCCCCAGGTAATTCCAATGTGTCCCCAAGTTTGAGAACCAGTGGTTCAAACCATTTAAAATTATATCTCCTGTTAATTACAACCAAAAAATCCTGATATTTTTCTAAAATATAACACAAACAGGGTTTTTATGTGATATAATTGGATAGAGTCATGTATATATAAAGTCCTATTTCCAGCTGACATCTTACAACTACTTCTTATTACTCTTTCTTTGTCTTCTTTTTACAATCTATGTCTTAATTTTACATCCAGTTGACTACGTGAGGCTTGAGGGAAGACTGTTTCTCCTATGAAATAAGGTGCATGAGATAGAAGTTACAATCCAAAGGATCTTTTTTGCTTTCTTTGGCTTTATAGGTATTTTTCAGATGAGTTGAGATTGCTAGGAGTCTGACCTCAGAATAGCAGAGTCTTTCTATAGCAGACCTAGAGGCTGAGAGGTATCAGATAGGATTAAAGTTGATGACTGTATCTTTAGCAAGATACAACAGCATATAAACAAAAAGAAGAGCCAGTGGAAAATGTAAAAAGAATACAATAAGGTATCCAACAACTAAAAATACTTGCTGGCAAGTTACCCAAGGCTTGCTACAAAGAAATAATCTCAAGACCCATGGCTACAAGAACCTTCAGTAGTCATGTAAATCACAGCCTTCAATCTTCAAGAAAACTCAACCTACTCCTTTCCCAAAAGGTAGAAAACTATTCTAGCAATTCCTAGCCTTTCAGGAGTTGAATTATGTCCTTTCTTCAGGCTAAAAGAGATTTATTGATAATTTTTCCAGTTAAAGTGAAACCAAGTTAATATTGTTCGGTTATCTATGATGAGATGCACTAGAGTTTTCCAAATTACAGATTAACTCTACTTTATCTCTTAAAAAAGAGTTTCTACAACTCCCTTTGCTGGAATACAACACACTGTTCAAGCTATAAGTGAAATTCAGGTATTGGATCATTACCCCATTCCTTTACACCAGCCATTTGGGCCCATATTTAAGCAGTGTCAGAGGCTGTTCCATAAATCTTTGGTAACCATTGTTATGTCTAGTAACTCCCATACGTAGGAAATAATCCCTTTGATCTAAACAAAAACCTTAAAGTTTAATCCTCTGGTAAAATGTACTATATACTATGAGCCTGACACATCAGATGTGGCAAAAAGTATCTTTTCACTTTAAAAGAATTTCTCATTTCATTCTCCCTTTTCATCGCACAAATGAGTCTTTCTATAAATGATTGGCTAACTATTTTATTACACCGTTGATTGCAAAGTATCTTATACTCCGTGATAAATCTGTGAGTAACACAGAAAGGAATGACAGTGAGATGGAGTGCTTTGCTCAGTGCAAAACATATTACCTTCAAAACACCTACTAGCATTAATGGAGGCAGATGAATAAAACAAGCCACGGAACCAGAACACAGATTTGCACAAGTAGGCACAACATTAGCCAGCCTGTGAGAGTATCTGGAGTGGATTTTAAAGAAAAGTGTATTTCCCCAAACATGCTGAGAAATCTAATGATTCACTCATTTACAGAAAAGTCCCCAGGGCCACTCCCGAGCTATCCTGAGTAGAAAAAGCTCAAACGACAAGATCAGGACAGCAGGAGATTACTGACAAAGTCTCGGGGATGAATAGGAAGTTACTCCTGATATACTGTTACCTTTAATATGCTTTTACACAGAAAAAGGTTTTCCCCTAACATTTTTTATGGAGACATAAAACATGTACTCAAGTGCCTCTAAAATAGAATTAAGGGATTATTTCATTATTTGACAGGAATAATTAATCTCTGGATATGGTGTGTAAATTTCTATTTCTTTTAAATATCTGTGTTATAATCTGTAGATGCCAATCTTAGGAATTATAACTGATACATCCTATGGAATTGAGGATCAGTGACTCAACAATTTGTTTGTTTGTTTATAAATGATCTGATACATCTGTATTATCTCTACTGACAACAAAAAAGGCTTTAAAAAAAATAAGAAAATTTTAAGAAATATCCTAGATAGAAATAGTATAAATGATATATTTCTTCTTCATGCTTTTCTGTAATTCCTAAATTTTCTACAGTAGACATATATTATTATGATGATCAGAGAAAACAAAATTCAGAAATTTAGATGGGTTGCTAGAGGGTAGCTAAACAGGATCAAGAAAAATAGGTATTGCTTCTAGAAGTTGAGGAAGTAAAAATATCATTTGTTTTAGAACCATTTCTATATCAGGGTATTTTTTCGATTGAGTTACAGAATACAAGCTTAACCTCTGTTGAGTGGTTACCATGTGCCTGGAACTATTCTCACTACTTCCCATGAATTATCTCGTTTAACCCTAAGAGGTAGGACAATTGTTAATATTCCCATTTTTCAGATAATGAAACAGACACAGAGAAGTCAACTGTCCTAGGATTTACACAGTTTTTAGAGCAGTCAGTACCAGAAATTGATTGAAAATAATAAAACACCTAATCATCGCCCAAGAAGAAGCTCTAAAATATCCAAAGAATTCCTAAAGACTATGAAAACAGACGGAAATTAAAATGCTCTTAAAGTGTGAGTCCATTCAAGATAAAGCAAACTATAAAAATCTCCACATTATATTCTAATTTATTTAATCACTTATGACAATCAATAAGACTTAGAGAAAGTTTGGTTATACCAAGATCTTACCATAACAGTATTTCTTTTCAGATTCTACCTGAACAACTCACAATAAGCAGAAACAGTATTATCATAACTATAAAACAGCATTATTTAATACTATTAAATGATCAGATCTTATTTTTCATTTTCACCTTTTTCCCAGAAAACCAAGGCTGTGCCTGCAGTATAAGGGAACTTTCCCCATTTAGCCTGGTACTTTCAACTGAATACAGTGTGGTCCAATAGAGATATCCGGCAACTGAGTCCACCACCATGTCATTCACCAACAACTTCACGTGAGTCACAATGTCTGTGTGTCCTGTCGACAGAGACTGCCTTTGTATCTACAAAACATAATCATGTCAGTTAGTGATTTTCAAATGGCATCATGATTTCTGAATAGTTTATTGCAATTGTTAGTAAATTACTGCATTCATACGTTCATTTGTTCAACCACAAGTAGTTATTGGCACTCTGTGCTGGGTAGTGTGCCTAGCCTTGGAAACATAACAGTTAGAAGTTATAAGAAAGTTAGAGGTTATAAGGAAGCTTACTCCTTTTCATACCTCTAAAGAGAAAGGAGATACATTTATTTTGAGTTAAAATACTTGCCCTTCCTAATCATACATGCAATCAACACATAAAAATGTATTTGATTAGGCTCCCAAAGAAGGTGTATACTCCTGATAAATGGTGATGTTTCTCTCCTTGCTCCTGTCAGTATATCTCCATAATATTAATTACTATCATTATTGAGTACCTATTGTGTGCCAGGCACTGTACTTCTTTATTTCAATCTTTAAAATATTAGCTCTTTTAGCCCTCACATTAAGCCTGTAAATGATTTCTATTTCCTACTTTTTCACAAGTAAACTGGGTTCAAAGAAGTTAAGTAATTTTTCAAGGAGTGGAACTGTTTTATAAGAGACAGAGCAAATACTTGAAACCAATTTTTATCCCACTCTTCCACTTCCTCCTTCAAAACTATTTTCAAACTAACCCATTTTGGGGAGCATTCTCTGATTAACCCCAGTCAGCTCCATTCTGCCTACAGGTCATTGGCACTTATGAATTCAGACTATACCATATTGCTTTGCTTCTAAATACATTGTTTTGTATGCTTCTTCTATTAATTCATGAATGTTTTTTTTTTGTTTGCTTGTTTGTTTGGCTGCGTTGGGTCTTCATTGCTGCCCGTGGGCTTTCTCTAGCTGCGGCTAGTGGGGGCCCCTCTTCGTTGCAGTGCGCGGGCCTCTCATCAAGGTGGCTTCTTTTGTTGCGGAGCACGGGATCTAGGGTGCACGGGCTTCAGTAGTTGTGGCACACGGGCTCAGTTGCTCCGCGGCATGTGGGATCCTCCCAGACCAGGTCTTGAACCCGTGTCCCCTGCATTGGCAGGGGGATTCTTAACCACTGCGCCACCAGGGAAGCCCCATGAATGTATTTTTATGTCATGAAAAGAGCAGGGGCAAGTAGTGATGGTTGCACAACACTGAACATACTAAAAACCACTGCATTTTATACAATCAAAGGGTGAATTTTATGGTACATGAATTATATCTCAACAAAGCTGATATATTTTTTCAACAGAGCAGAGGCATGTCGTCTATTTTCTTCATATTCTCTACTATGCCTATTCTCAAGACTCTAAACATATTAGTAACAGATAATGAGTAAATAAATGAATGGACACGTGCCTTCCTGATTAGAAAACGATTTCCGTACCATATTTCTTGATCTGTTAGACCAGTGTTCTCATCAGCAACCATCTTATATTTCAGTGTGCACAAGGCACGGGATGTCTTCATCTTGCCCCCAAATCCACTCTCCACCCTCTCCACCCTCCTCTGTGCCCCCTGAGCCTGCTATCAATGGACTACATCAACCTAGCTCTGTTGTTCTCTGGCTTCCAGAGAGTTTCAGCCAATGGAAGCACTGGCAGAAGATCAGATGCCAGAAGAAAAGAGGGATAGGGGTACATAGGTACCCCCGTATCACTCCTTGCTAGACCATACATTTTGACAGTGGCTGGCTTTCATGTCAGCAACTCTCCTAAAGCTACCGCCCTCACCATTCTTTACCTTCTTTCACTTGCCCTTTATGCCTGGTGGCAGTAATATCCTCCCACACTTGCTTGCCCAGGGCATGCTTCACCATCCTTTGTTCATTTTCCTTAGCCCTGTAGATACCTTTGAAAATAGTCTCCTCACTTAGTTTCTTTTAATCATGCCTTTGGAGTGTGCCATCTTCCCTAGGACACTGACCCACTGGTGAACATTTTAATATATTTATTTTAAGATATCATTGAAAATATGTGACTAATATACCACATAGTGATATAAAATTTCCTTTATACCTAAATACGTTTTAATTAAAAAGTGAGTAGGCTTAGAGACAAATACTAAGTAAATAGTAGCAGAGGTGGTACACAAGTATGAAAAAAATTGTGAAAATTACATTCCAGTCACTGAAATGGGTGGGCATTGTTCGAGAGCATCCAGAATGCCAGGCTTCTACTTACCATGTACGTCTTTCCAGCCCAGTAGAGAAAGTGACCCAGCCACTCAAAAGCTAACGCCCCTGCTCCTGCAATGTTGGGTATGTGATAATTCTCTGAGATGTCCGTCCCACTCAGCAGCCACACATAGACATCACCTTTCATGTCGCTGTAGTAGAGGCTGTTGTTATACCAATCCATATCTCAAAACAAAGTGAATTGGTAGCAGTTATTTTTTCATACATGCTAGCGTAAACATGGCGAGTCAACAAATCATACATGCACCTCAACATAACATTAAAGCATATACTAACATAGATACTCACTAGAACTTCAAGGATCTGTCAAGAATTTTATCCCAAAATCTTAACCCCTGGAACTAGAGAGAGGAACTAATAGTCATTGAGTGTCTCCTCTTTGCCAAACATTGTCTTGGGCAATGTTAACCTATTTCACTCAACTCTTAAAACAAAACAAAGTAGAAATCATCCCCATTTTTTTTTTCTTTTTTTTTTTTTTGGCTGTGCTGTGAGGCTTGCGAGATCTCAGTTCCTCAACCAGGGATTAAAGCCGGGCCATGGCATTGAAAACCCAGACCCCTAACTGTTAGGCCACCAGGGAACTCCCCATCCGCATTTTTGACATGGAGAACGGAAGACTCCGTGAAATTATCTATTCTGCCCGAGATCTCACAGGTGAAAAGAGGAGGAGACCAGATTCAAGACAACTTCAAAGCATCGTTCTTTCTATTAGTACCACACCGCCTCCTAAGTCCAACTCATTTTGGTCAGAAATGCTGTGGTACTTTTAATAGCCAAACAAAGAGATCTAATAATTAGATAATTATAGAAGATGCCATTAAATAATAAATAAATAATAATAAATTATAGAAGATGCCATTGAAGTAAGATACCATTACTTAATCTTCTTTGTCATGAAATTCTTTCTTATACTTGATTTAGAACTTCACATAGCTGTTCTGTGTTCCAGTCTTACAGCAAACTCATAATAAATTACTTAACTATAGCTGTCTTCATGGAACAAGTTAGGCTGTTACTGTGAGACAACATTGAGAAATTAAAATACATGAGAAGTATATCAAAGCCTTCCTGAAATGGACATAAATCATTAAATAACTACATTTTATGGAGTAATAAATGGCCCTCCTCCTTGAGAACAGACATTTTCTTAATAGTGTCACTGGCAGTATAGTTCAGTCAATATTTTTTCCTTTCATTATTGACCTAATACTAAAATACGCAATCCTTTTGATTGGTTGAATATCTCAAGAAGTCTTACAAGTAGAAACCTGCCATCCAAGTGTACAGGGGACTCGGTGTTTACCTGATACATTTCCCATATCAGAGGATAGGAATTCTCCCGGGCCAAAGCTATTTAATGGTTTACTCCAAAGCCCATCTTCTTTCACAGCCATGATAAATGGTGGCTCTGCAGCTGTTTGGTTTAAAAAAAAAAAAAAATTGAAAGAAATATCACAGAAAACACACTTTTTTTAGATACACATTTATACGTTAGATTTCCTTCATAAAGTCAATGAGCATTTTGAAAAATACTCTGGAATAATATGAGTAATTGTATCTGCTTAAAAGAATTATCTATCATATTAAACATACTTTCTGATTTTTGTGTAAATAGTTGTAATTGAATGTGAAGAGAAATGTGTAGTGATGTTTTCTCTATAGCAATGTCATGGTCATGGCAGAATTTTTTTTTTTTTTTTTTTTTTGCTTTAGCTATTGGTGGCCATGGTCCTATTCAGAGCACCCAGAATCGATTGCGATAACAACAGTAGTATAAATGGGTCAGTTATCTTTCCATTTTTTTTCAACCAAGAGGATAGAATTCAACATAATTCACAGCCCCTCAGCTTCTCTCGCCAAGACCTTCAGAGTTCAAGGAGTGCTACTGCTTAATAAACCATGAGAAAGGAGAAAACCATGAAGAAGAAGAGAATTATATTGTTTGTTAAAAAATATCTTGGACAGTTTAAAATAGCAGGTTAGAAACATAAATGTCACACAATGCTTTATTTGCTTTCCTAATCTCAGATAATAAACACATCCTCAAGGGGTCAACGCACTCTCATTCTAATTTTTTTTACCACATTGAAGGTGAGAAATTTTAAAGGACATAGGGAGAAAGGCTTTTTGTCAGAATCACTCCCTAAATCAAGACTATTTTCTCACCTGGTACCAGGGTAGTTCCCACTGAGGGCTCTGACCAAGGGCCTGGCCCCTTGGGAGAACTTGCTCTCACAAAAACCTTGTATTTCGTAGCACTCTGAAGGTCGTGTACATTAAGGATGGTCCCACTTATATTAGAGAACACGTGAGTGGTTTCAGGAAAGTCTTGGGTTGATACTTTCACCTCGTAAGTCCAGTTCTGCCAGGCGGAAGGGCCTAATTGGAAGAGTTAAACAATGTTACTGATGAGGATGACATCAGCAAGGGCAAACAAAGGACTGTCAGTAAATTTATCTACAGCTTCACCTTGAGTGAAAGGATAATTGGGCCTGTTACCCCGTAATCACCAGGGTTAACTTGGTGACGTGACTAGGACAGTGGTCATCCCACCCACTCATTTTGTTCCATCAAAGGAGACATCATGCCCAGCAAATCAGAGGCCACTGTTCCCCCGTCAGTGCTGTATGCTTGGCTGCATAGAACTGTCGGAGGGCTTTTCTATACAAGCTCCTAATAAACAAATGCTTAATGATGAATCTCTAATATAATTTCCAGGGTTGGTAGAGCATCTCCCTTCTAGAAGCCCAAACAATACAAAAGAATTTTTTTTTGCTAATTCATTTTCAGCCATCTTTGACCTATACAGCAAACAGGCATAATTAACTTAGTCTTAAAGTAAAAAAATAGCCAATGTTTGCTAGATACTCTAGGGGACCAGGGGTTGACAAACGGCAGCCCACAGGCCAAATCTGGCCCACTGCCTGTTTTTGTAAATAAAAGTGTACTGGAACACAGCCACAGCTACATGTTTACATTTTATCTATGGCTGTTTACATACCACAAGGACAGAGTTGAGTAGCTATGCCAGAAGCCATATGACCCACAAAGCTGAAAATATTTACTTATCTAGTCCTTCCTTTATAGAAAAAAGTTGCCAGCAGCTGTGCTAGACACTGTTCTAAGTGTTCTACCTGTGCATCTTAATTTGGTCTGTATGACAATCCCATAGAAGTATATAATTAATGTTTTTATTCCAGTAGCGAAAACATGCATGAAGTGGTTAAGTAACTTGCCCGGGTCATTCTGCTAAAAAAGGGCAAGACCAGCCTTTGAATCCATGCAGGCTGGCTCCAGAGCCCACCTGCATACCCACCACACATGCTGCCTCTCCAGAGATGAAAATTCAAGTCCAGAGATTTTTAGGCTCAAATTCATGCAAGATCTCCCTGGATACATAATCTCAACCCAAATCTCCGTCCCCCTGGCTAATGCATTCCCTCAGACTGGAATGTTAGTGCCTGACTCCAAGGAGACACTCAATAAATGCTCCACCCATTCTGTTGGGACATATATGATGAAATATAGAGATTCTCTTAATGCAAAACTGATAAATGTAGAACAAACGTATAAACACGTGTGTGTGTGTGTGTGTGTGTGTGTGTGTGTGAAAGAGAGAGAGAGAGCACTAAGTAGTGCTTTGAGTTGATGACTAAATAATCACATATGGGCTCTCAAAGTTGAGTCGCCAGGTCAAGCCATTCAAGCTTTCCTCTCCTTGCAGCAAGGCCAGTCTCCAGGCTGGGGACAGGGCACTCACTGGCTCCAATGGCGAGCACAGGGGGCTTCCACTGAACCAGGGCCTGGTGTGAGCCGAACAGCACTGAGAGCTGCTGTGGGCAGCCCGGCAGCGGGTGTGGCTGGGTGTACAAGCCAAAGATGACCAAGTTGCCAAACCCAAATTCTTCTATGTGACTCAGGTCACATCCCACGATGAACTCATTAAAAGACAGAGAATCCTGTTGGAAAACAGCCTTGCCATCTGTGACCAGGAAGTCGTTGTTTTCACAAGCAAAGCTCTTCACATCAGTAAAGGGGACATGAGGTAGGACAAGGTGGGACGTGGAGCCATCCAGAAAGGTTGACATGAAGACTTGGGCGGTGTCATTGAAGTAAATGATTCGCTTGGACTGTGGCTTGATTGCAAAGTCCTTTAATGTGCCACTCTGCACAATACGCACAACTTCCGAGCCCCGACCAGAAGCCACAGGGAGATCGACTCTATAAATGCCGTCTCTCAGAAGATAAAAGAGATACCTGACACAGGAGCAAAAGAAGCCTGGTGTGATTCAGTGCAAGGGTGAAGGAGCAACAATGCCTCAGCACATTGTTTTATCCTGTTGGGCAATTAGAACCAGGTATCTCCAGAGTGGATAAGTACAGGGTTTCCCAAGGTGCAAAGTAGTAAAGGTATTTATTAAAGATATGCTCTAGTCATTTAAGAAAAAGAGAAGAAAGGTGAGGAGAGCTGGGTGTGGGGGGAGGAGGACGGAGGTGAGAGAGAGAAGCAGCAGGGATGGGGGAGAGGGAAGGGTTTTATAATAAGTACAAACTCAGTGAGTGAATAATTCAGTGGTGCAAGATAACAGCATAATGGTAACCGTTTTTAATCAGAAGAATAAACTATTTCATCTGCCTGAAATTCTTCAGGAATACTACATAAAAAGGGTTGCTAAAAGTTTTGATTTTTACAGAAACTCTATCATTGTATAGGGAGATGATTAGAAGACGGGCCCTGGAGCAAGAAGTCAAATACTGATTCCAGCGCAAAACAGCTGATGGTCGTGGGCGGTCGATAAATCAACTTGTGCTTTGCTTTCCTATCTATAAAATTGGGATAATAAAAGTACTATCCCATACGGCTGAACAAGAATTAAATGAATTATTGGAAGTAATGCACTTAGAAGCACATATTAAGTGCCTGGTAACTATTATTGAATAATTATTATTATAATTTCTAGTCATATTTCAAAATCTAAGCACAAATCAGTTTTATCCTAATGGAAGAAAGAGCCACCAAAGACCTCTTTGAGATGTATTTTGAGCGACTGATTTAGTGAGTGAAGTTCATTATCCTCAGAATGAGTCATTTCGTGTAACTGCCAGCAACAAAGTTCATTTCATAGGATCTTAGACTTTTACAAATGAGGAAAATAAGATCCAAAGAGTCCAAAGGACTTGTCCTACATCACAGGGTTTTAAAAGAAAAAAAGAAAAAAATCCTGTAATTCAGTAATTCACTCAAGCTTAAAACATTAAAATAAATATCTGGTAAATTATGAAAGAATATGAATAGAAAATCTTGATTTTAAATCAATAATGAGTAAGAAAGTCAATTCGTGAAAGATAAAAAGTGCTATGGGCTATATTTTTTTTTCATTCAAAATGAAAACAACTTTATCCCTACAAGAAAGAAAAATGTTTAGTCTTACAAATGTTGGCCTTGCTTATTGGTTACTAACCTGTAATTATCTGATTATATTTAAGAAATAATAACCCCAAAATAACTTCCTATGTTTTCATCCTTCACATGTGAGCATGTGGAGATCATGTAATACATTCACAGTGAATAACTCATTTCATCCTCAAAATACCCCAACTGAGTATTATTGTCTTCCCCGAATGGGAGGATAAAGCAAAGGTCATAGACCCGAAGTTACTTTCTTGAAGTCCTACTACAATTTAGCATCACAACTGAGCTAAAATGTGTCCATTTCATTTGTGGCAGGGGGAAGCATAGTGATTTGTAATGGCAAATTTTAACTTGTTATTAGCTATCAATTTCAGTTTCCTAAAGTGGATGGTAGCAGTGTTCTTTCTAAACCAGCCTCCTGATAGATGTGAGAACCAGACCAGAAAAATGAACAGGTGCTGAATTGCTCAGCAAGAGAAAATGGTGCAGTGAAAAGACGAAAGAGAGGCAGGAAGGGCTTCTCATGGGGAGCATCGAGGGGGAATAAGACCCTGAGTCATGCATAAAATAGTGATATACCCAAGACGAGAAACCAGGCCCCGGAGTCCCAGACAAGAAGTCTTTCCCATAAGCCCATATTTTACTGTGAAGGAGAAAGGAAAAACTACTTACCTAGAGAAGTAGTGGATCAAGTTTGAATGAAATTTCCTCTTGGCTCTATAAGAATGAAAAAAACTTTGCCTGGATTTAATTAAATGTGAAATCAGATACATAGATGGGCTCATCTGGTACTAGGATGTTATTAGCAAGCAAGTTTCCCCAAGTTTCTTGCCAAAGGAAGAGAATTCACATTTACAAGACTAACACTCACCCATTGTATGAATCAGCCACGATTTTTTGAGGTGCAATAATTGAGGGAGGAGTAACTTCCTCAATGTTTGAGCAGTTTTCTAAATCACAGACACATACCTAGAGAAGAGTACATCAGTAGCATTAGTGTCTATTCAATTTGACCAACACGTATTGCTTGAGCAACTGTTCTGTATTTAGAATTTCACTAGTCACATAGCACTTTTAGAAAACATAAAAAAGTTCTTAAAAGACAGTGTCATATCCTATATCCTAATGAGTTTATATCCTCTTGGTATCCGTGAAATACGAGTACATATTTTCCTGGCTTACAGAGGCACTCAACTATTTTTATTAATATTTAAGCTGTTTCCAAGCTTAGGGGCTTCCAGCCGTAGTGATTGTGACCAGCCTGTCCCTTTAAAAGAAGGAAACTTGAAACACAGCAAACTGTGTCTTCTCAAAGGTTTGGTAATACAATATTTTCAGAGACCTACTAAAGTTATCCATGGTTATTATACAATTTACAATGCTCGCAGCTGATTTTGATTATGATTGGCCGTTTTATCTAGTGATAATTCAGGTACCACCACTGTCTTATGGAAGATGAATTATCATTAGTATAAACTCATAGCTCTGAAAAATCACAATAAAGATGATTTAATGGTAGGTCAGGACTAGTACTAGGTAAAGTCTAGACCCTGCTATAGGCTAGATCTATGGTTCGTTGCTAACCCAGTGTCTAAAACATAGTAAACACTCAGTGACTAATTATTGAATGAAAGAATTATGTTTATTTGTAAATATACCAAGATATGCATTAGAGTATCAATATCAAGTTGTTTACTTTAAATTCTCAGACTAACCAGTTGAGCCATGATGAAGTACATTCTCTGATAAAGCCAGTCTATGGAGATGGAAGAAATTAATCCCGAACCACTGTAAAAAATTCTCAGGTCAGACACATCAGACATGTTGGCAGCTCCCTTCACCCATATGAGAGTTCCTTCAGAGAAATAAACAACTTGCTGGTGGACATTAACTGATATTCCTGGAAGAGCCATGCAAATACATGTGTGTTATTAGGTAACAACCAGACAAAACACTTCCTTGAAAGAGAATTTATTTCTTTAATCCTTAATAAAGGGATTCAAACTGAAGTCAACCTGGATCTTTCTTTTCACACTAAGGAAACATTTTTCTCTATTACACTGACCTGTAATGTTACGGTGTGTAGCACCCGGCTGAAGGCAATGTGCTTCATCTACTAAATGTTTTAAAGATCTCTTTCGTAGAGAAGTTTTCCTGGATAAAAAGAGCCACCGTTCCTCTTCTTGAACTAAAACAACAACACACTTTCTAGACAGACAGACCAATCATATGCACGTTGACACAAAAAAGATCAATACCACCCTTCAAAACAAGGGGACTAGCACGTGAAAGAGGCTGGTCAGATTTTCTCTGAAGGCACTGGGGTATTTCAACTGTAGTACAAATCACATTCTGTGATGGGGATGAGAAGTACAGTGTCAGTCAAGTAGGATTTCTGGGTATGTGCCCCTAAATGCCCTCAAAATAACATCCCATGCGGGATCACTGTTCTCAACAGCCTTGCCCAAATAGGAGCTCGGCTTATTTTCCTCCACCATAGGAATCTGACTGCTTGGTGGAGGTGGTCCAGCCCAGGCTGGAGCGGGTTGTTGCATAACACACACATATGGACAAACTTCGGTTGTCTCTGTTTTGTCTTTAATTATCTCCCTTTGAGGCAGGAGAAAGGTCTGTAGTAATGAAATGTGAGGACTACAGAACCCTGACATCCTGTTCAACTGGAGACTGATGGAGTGTGTGTTGATGAACACTTTTAGTGTAATTAATAAATGTTATGCAATAATCACGGTAACAACAACCTTAAGCCTGCTCTATATTTAACTCGCCCTTTGGATGCTTCTTGCATAACAAAAATACCTCTCCTTTCCTAGAGTGTAGTAACAGCCCCAAAAAATAAACTAAAGGCTGGTGATAGATGACATTCACTCCCCACTGGCATAGGCGTGTGCAGCTTAGAGGACGGGGCAGTCAAGTCAGCAAATGGGGCTCCCATGAAAACGGAGAGCAGACTCCTAGAATTCTGAATCTTTGGGTGTTATTCCAGTTTTTTAACTCACTTCCCCAAAATATTTCCAGTGCTTCTTAGAGAGCATTTTCTTTTATCATTTTGCTCACGTGGGCATCATGCAGAAAGTATTCAATCTCTCAAGGCAATTGTTAAAATGCCGAAGTAAAAAAAAAAAAAATGGTACTTGCAAAATAATAACAGAAGCCAATTTGGTAGACTGAATATTCAGAATGGTAAAATGTAACTTATTAAGTTTAGATATATTTAAAAACCTTAAGGAAACTGGAAGAAAAAGATATCTGGTCTGTGTTAAATGATAATACATGATATAAGGTGGAGGTTAGGGCAGAAACAATATATGTATCCCCTAAGTGTGTAAATGAGAGTCATAATCACTAGTGACTTTAACTGAAACCAGGGGTTTGCTTGAAGCCATTTTTTTAATCCCTAATTTTTTTTTAATTTTTAAATTCCGACGTGGAAACTTTAGATCAAACAACTTACTCCTATTTGTCAAATACTGGGACTCATTTAAAATTGAAAACTTATCAAGTATTCAGAAGACAGTGTCCATTTGGGCAGAACAGTAGGGTCTTGGGGAGCACCAGAGGACCCAGGACCTCCAAGATCTGAACCCACCCTTGCCACCCCCTCAGTTCCGTGTAACATGAGGCGCATCCCCAGTCTCTACCTGCTGGGGATGAAGTGGTAATACTAGATTCTGCTTCCGGCCCCTCACCAACTTCATTTACTGCTGCAACAGAAAACCTATTCCAAAAACGATTTGGAGAGATGTATTTTACATGGCATGGTGTGAACATGAGATAAAAATAGAAGGAGCAATAACATTTCTATTTAAAGGACGATGTGGCAATGCATGTATCTAGTTACTTGGTGCCACTGCTTAGCACTAAAATGACCATCAATCACATCCTTGTTTGCATTCCCCATAGAATAGTTCAGGGTCACAGAGGTCAAAAACTGAACTCTGCTATCTGCATGACCCCCATTCATGCCCTAATTTAAAGAGGTCTTAGTAAATGCTGGAAAAGCTAACAATAATAAAATAATCCCCTTAACAGTTAATACAAAAATATCATTAACAGAATTTTACCTCCTTACTTTTTTCATGTTGGATTAAATGAAGCAATGATATTTATGATGCTTATAATGTCTTTTTTAGCCAATATTTATAAGCCCATATTTATTAGCCCACATTTATCTCTGAATATAATAGAAATACTTACAAATGTTTTTGCTCAGGATGGTGTAATCTAATAAGCATAAAAACTTGAGGAAAACCACAGTAACTTAAACCAACAGCACAAAGCCAATGTGACTTCTCAAAATACATTTAAACTATTTTTTAGCCCTATTTCTTAAATAATATCATGCCTGTACCCATGCTGGTTACTATTTTTAAATTTTATATTGGAGTATAGTTGATTTATAATATTGTGTTAGATTCAGGTCTACAGCAAAGCAACTTAGTTATACATATACATATATCTATTCTTTTTCAGATTCTTTTCCCATATAGGTTAGTACATAGTATAGAGTTCCCTGTGCTGTACAGTAGGTCCTTGTTGGTTATCTATTTTATATATAGTAGTGTGTATATGTTAATCCCAAACTCCTAATTTATCCCTCCCCCACCACCCCCCACCTTTCCCCTTTGCATGCTAGTTACATTTTTCCTGCACCACTTAATTCTTACCTGTAGGTGGTATTTGGTAGAGTGGAGTAAAACTGGAAACTGGTTCTCTGTGTCCCTGAATCTAACTTTTGATTTTTATTAATCAGCCTTAAGTTATAACCCAAAATAGGTCCACCTGGGAATTGAGGTGGAGCCCAACTGATTTCCACCGTGTCCGGACTGGAGCTTTCAATATTTTTAATGAGAGGAGCAGTTTCAGGAACTGGAAGAGATAATGGTGACATCGTGAGCAGAAAATATACAGTGAAAAATGTAAAAATGTAAATAGGATAGGAAAAAAATGTTGTTTTTTTGAAAATAGCATAAATGAAGTACTTTTGTTAATATTCACAGAAGTGATAGAAAGAAGATAGTAATATATCTATGAGCTGCAATTCTTGATCCCTAAATGATACCAGTTAACTACTTTCCTAAGGGACTCTTTCAAATGTTATTTTCCTCAGTTCTAATTTATGCAATAAAATTAAATGTGGAAGTATGCAAATTGGATAAATGTTCTAGAAAAAAAGTGGTCAAAAATCTCCAGAGACCTAAACACGTTGAAACGTGGGATGGAACCAGGTTAGGAAGGAGAAGAGAATCTGTAATAAACTGGAGTCAATGATTAACACAAGTTAAAAGAAGTAAGTCCTGGGGCCTATTCCCTCACTAGAGTGCTGTGGCCGGACTAGTTCCAGCTAAAGATATGGATTTAGATAAGCCTGAATTAGAACAGTCTGCTTCACTTTTGCTGGCATCAGCTCTGCTGACCTAGACTGTACTTTCCTCCCCCAGCTCCCAAGGTCCCCTGGAACCCAGGCTTTCTGTGCCTTAGCAACATCCCTTCCCTTGTGAAGGATGAAAGGAGCATGCATTCTCTAATTAAGCGCTCACCCACAGACTTTAGGAGCTACCCAAGTGACAAAGAACAGAAAGGAAAACAAATGATCTAACAGCCTATCTTCCACCCATGTCTCCACCTGCTTTCCATACCCCCCACGCCCTGAAACCACACCCTTTTATTTCGTCTTTCCATAGAAAGACAGACTGATGTCACTTTGCTCTTCAGTAGTCTCTCTGCCTCGGAACAATTTTGGCAGGTGCTCTGCGTCACCCCTGACCCTTTAGAGTGGGGAGAGAAGAGACAGTTCAGCCCTCGCATTGGCTGCATTTTAAAAAGGCTTTTTAATTGATCTCTCAGCCTTTCTCTGATACAGTTCCTCCCCAACTCTCAGACTGAGCTTTAGCAAACACAAATACCATCACATCACTCCTCTGCTCCATGCACTCAGTCACCCTGGTGAACAGGAAAGTAGGAATCATCTCCCAGTGAATCAGAATCAGGATGTCAGAAAAACTAACTCTTCAGGGTCAGTGCCCAGACAGACATGATCTGCTCCACTTCAAGCATGTAGATGTCCCATGGTGAACTGTGATTATTGTCCAAATCGCCCCCACAAAAATCGTCCCTGAAAAGGCTGGTCAGGTTAGGCAAGGTAACCATTCCACCTGATTAAGAAATTATCTTCATAAAGGCCCCAATTAAAAGGCAGTAATACCATCTAAAAATCATATATTTCCCATAGCTAAAAAAGAAAAGAATCATGAAGTGATGGAACATGAAACAGATAACTTTATAAGTTTTGATGTGGCTAAAAAAAGTGAGATAGAATTGAGGCATGCGATGCTATCCATGGAAAAGACCCTCAGTACGAGGACTGGAACACCTGGAGGGTATGTGGGCTTGCATATCCAGAGAAACGCCCGGAAATGGAAAGCAAAATTTGCCTTCTTCATTATTTTGATTTGACTAGCCTTGGGCCCTGGACCACGGTATGTCTCCAGCACTGGAAAATGTTCCAACACTATTGGAGTACACGAGGCATTGCTTTGAATGAAGAAGGATCCACGTATTCTGCTCGGATCTGGAACCTTTCGAATATGACCCTAGGCCAGTGTCTGACCTGAGGTCCCAAGGATAGTCAGAGAACAGTCAGCAGAGGTGCCACACATACCCTAAAATCTGATAAGCAAGAAGAGAGCACTAATCAGAGAAGAGGGAAAATGCCCCAACCGGCTTCATCCGCTATCTAGCTATGCTTCTGGCCAAGGCCTAGTTCACAGTGAGGGTCTCTGCACACAGCTGAATCTCCAGAACGAGGGGTAGGGACATATAATGTCTGGCTTGGAATAAGTCCTCCCACGTCCCCTCAGCTAACTCTAAGGGTGAGAGCACCAGGCAACTCTCCCTGAGTGTCTGCCCCAGGCATTCACCTCCCTAACAGGCTCTAGGCTTGAATCCTTTTCCTGGTATGGAAGTCACAACTTTGAAAGAAGAAATCAGAAAATGCCCCAATATATGTACTATTTTTAAAAATCATCTCTAATCAAATGTTAAAGTATTATAATAACCTCCCAGCTGATCTCACTACCTCTGTACACTCCAGTCTCTCTCATTCCTTCAATCCATTCCATGTGTAGTGGCCAAAATTATCTTTTTAAGGAGTACTCAAATCAACTACTCCTCTTCTTCAAAACCTTCCATAATTTCTGACTGCTAAGTGAGGCTTATTCTGACCACCTTCTTTAATACACTCCCCATTTCTAAAGAACAGACCCTGCTCAAAACGTTCCTCTTACCGTAGCACCCCGTATCTTCCTACTTAAAATATACTTTCCTTATTTATTAGGTTTACTGCTTAGAGTATTCTTTTCCACCAGAATGGGTATTTTTGTTTTGATCGCAGAAGTACGGTGAGCACCTAGAACACTATTTGGCACCTAGCTAGGTACTCCATTGTTGGATGGGTCTATTAATGAAGGAATACATTTATTTCATTGTTTAAAATAAAATGAACTAACCAAAGCTTTGGAATAATCCCTGATTTCTTAAGCAACGTGTGCATGCCATACCTCCATAAGGATGAGTCCTATAACTGGGACTTGGAGGGGAATACAGCTGCAGCTGGGCTGTGAAGATCCAAACCACTCGAAAAATATATTCAGTGAAGGGATGCAAGGGCTCTACCACATAGGAGAGCTTGGAAACAGCCTAAATCAACAAGAGATCAAAATCAGCATTTATGGAATAGCCACCGTATATTGTAACTCAAGAGCACAGATTCGTCTGTAGATGATGGATGGCCTTCTGGATATGGAGTGACCCAAGGTCTGCCAGACCAGTTGAAATGGAGGCCTGGAGCTCAGAGCTGAGCCATCCCGACATCAGTCTGCATAATTCACACCAAAATTCTTTCCTTCTTCAAAACTGCAAAATTATGGATTCAATTATATGGCATTTACCTCAAGGCTTTACTTTACTTTTCCATGTTAATATACTTGGTGTCTTTGGACTATTTTTCTCTGAACATGATTTCCTAAAAGGGAGCATCCTGGATGACCTCCCTGCCCTCCACCCTAGTTGGAATCATTTTCAATGGGGTGGGCAGATAAAGACCAATGATATAAGTAGTTGGTTATGTGATGCTGTGCTGAAGGAATAATATATATGTCCAATAATAAATTTTCCTTAAAAATAAAAGGTGTAGCATAAAAAGTAGCAGAGATTAAAGTTCATCTAATCCAACCACTCATTTTACGTTTGAATCTTGTCTAGAATGTCTTTTCACCTATAATTATATGTAGTAATTTGGCACTTTTAATAATTTGAAGAAAAAGTCTCCGTTTAGGCACATGGGCAGCAGTTCATACCTCAGTGTAAGCCCAGCTTCCAGGCAGTTGTGCATATTTCCACTGAATGATGTATTTTACTCCAGAGATGTTGGCCGATTTCCATCGTAATGTCACACTGTGGCTTCCAATGGAAGAAGCAAATGGTGCAGTGGGGAGGTCTGTATTTTCTGGGGAGAAAACAAGATTTCATTCACCATGTCCCCTGTCTGTCAAAGCAGGAGAGAGTGTCCCTGCTTCATCTAGTGCCCTTAGCACCCTCTTGCCACAATTATTCACCTGAACAATAACTGATGCACATATTCAAGTGATTTATTTTTTTAAATCAGCCAGTCTGTCTGGCAGCTTTTTTCTCCCATAGAATGCACTTATCTTTTTTTTTTTTTTTTTTTTGGCAGTACGCAGGCCTCTCACTGTTGTGGCCTCTCCCGTTGCGGAGCACAGGCTCCGGACGTGCAGGCTCAGCGGCCATGGCTCACAGGCCCAGCCACTCCGTGGCATGTGGGATCTTCCCAGACCGGGGCACGAACCTGTGTCCCCTGCATCAGCAGGTGGACTCTCAACCACTGCGCCACCAGGGAAGCCCCGAACGCACTTATCTTTGACGATAGATTTTTTACAAGCAAGCAACATGGAGTGTTCTGAGACTGTCCAGTTTTCTCTTGTGATACCACTTCTATATAGGCTAGAAGGGTGGGTACCAAGGGTGTGTCTGGGGCAACAGAACCATCCACTACCCCAGGACATGTATCTCAAGATATGTTTTAATTTTACACTATATGTCTACAGTTGTTGCCCATTTTGTCAACACATTATTTTTATACGTGCAAGTAGTTGTCTGTACTCCAAAGGATTCTATATTCTGCTGTTTTTTATTGTGAAATATTTCATGACTTTTAAACAGTAGCAACATTACAATTGGTACACACAGTTATTGGTGCTACTTCCCAGGCCCTGTGTGAGGGGTTAGAATTCTGAATGGTATGTACCCCTGGGATGAAATTATTTTACTTTACTTTTTCTATTTTCCAAAATCGTGACTAATTTAATGCATTAGCTTGCTTTTTCCCCAGAATTTTTTATTGTGGTAAAATACACATGGCATAAAATTTACTATCTTAACCATTTTTAAGTGTACAGTTCCGTGGTATTAAGTACATTTGTATTCTCGTACAACCATCACGACCGTCCATCTCCAGAACTCTTTTCATCTTGCAAAACTGAAACTAACCATTAAATAATAACTCCCCATTCCCCCTCTCCCTCCCCCTTCCCTAGGCAACCACCATTCTACTTTCTGTCTCTATAATTTTAAGTACTCTAAATACCTCATGTAAGTGGAATCAAACAGTATTTGTCTTATTGTGACTGGCTTGTTTCACTTAGCATAATGTCCTCAAAATTTATTCCTGCTGTGGCATATGTCAGAATTTCCTTCCTTTTTAAGTCTGAATAATATCCCATTGTATGTGTATATTGCATTTTGCTAATCCATTCATCTGTCAGTGGACATTTGGGCTGCTTCCATGTTTTAGCTATTGTGAATTCAATATTTGAGTATAATAGGGGTGTATAAATATCTTTTTGAGACCCTGCTTTCAATTCTTTTGAGTATATACCCCCAAAGTGGAATTGCCAGATCATGCAGTAATTCTGTCTTTAATTTTTTGGTTTTTTCCACAGGAGTTACACCATTTTACATCCCCATCAACAGTGCACAGCATTCCAATTTCTCCACATCCTCGTCAACACTTATACTTTTCTGGGATTTTTTGCTTTTTTTTTTTCCTTAAAGTGGTATTTCATTGTAGGTTTGACTTGCATTTCTCTAATGATTAGTAATGTTGAGCATCTTTTCATGTGCTTTTTGGCCATTTGTATATCTTCTTTGTAGAAATGTCTAAGCCTTTGCCCATTTTTTAATTGGATTGTTTGGGGGTTTTGTTGGTGAGTTTTAGGAGTTTTCTATATATTCTTGATATTAATCCCTTATCAGATATGTGATTTGCAAATACTTTCTCCTATTCTATTGGTTGCTTTTTTTACTCTGTTGATAGTGCGCTTAAATTTTTTTAATTTTCATGAAGTTCAATTTGTCAATTTTTTCTTTTGTTACCTGTGCCTTTCGTGTCATATCCAAATAATCATTGCCAAATCCAATGTTGTGAAGCTTTTGCCCTATGTTTTCTTCTAAGATTTTTATAGTGTCAGGTCTTACATTTAAATCATGGCTCCATTTTGAGTTATTTATTTATTTTGGGGGGCTGCATTGGGTCTTTGTTGATGCACATGGGCTTTGTTTAGTTGTGGCGAGCAGGGGCTACTCTTCGTTGTGGTGTGTGGGCTTCTCATTGCGGTGGCTTCTCTTGTTGTGGAGCACAGGCTCTAGGCGCACGGGTTTCAGTAGTTGTGGCACACGGGCTCAGTAGTTGTGGCTCGGGGGCTCTAGAGCACAGGCTCAGTAGTTGTGGCGCATGGGCTTGGTTGCTCTGCAGCATGTGGGATCTTCCTGGACCAGAGCTTGAACCCGTGTCCCCTGCATCGGCAGGTGGATTCTTAACCACAGCACCACCAGGGAAGTCCCCATTTTGAGTTAATTTTTGTATATGATGTTTTATAAGGATCCAACTTAATTCTTTTGTATGTTGATATTCAGTTTTCTCAGGACTATTTGCTGAAAAGACTGCCTTCTCCCCCATTGAATGGTCTTGGCACCCTTGTCAAAAATCATTTAACCATATATGTAAGGATTTATTTCTGAACTCTCTATTCTAGTCCACTGATCTATATGTCTGTCTTTATGCCAGTACCACAGTATTTTGATTACTGTAGGTTTGTAGTAAGTTTGAAATCAGGAAGTATGAATCCTCCAGCTTTGTTCTTCTTTTCAGCATTTGGGGTGCTTTGAGATTCCATATAAATTGTAGGATGGGTCTTTCCATCTCATGCAAAAGATCTGCAAAAACATCTTTGGAATTCTGATACAGATTGCATTAAATCTGTAGATTGTTTTGGTAATATTGACATCTTGACAATATACCAGGTCTTTCAACCAATGAATAAGGATGTCTTTCCATTTATTTGTCTTCTTTAATTTGTTTCAGAAATGTTTTGTAGTTTTCACTTTACAAGTCATTCACCTCCTTGGTTAAGTTAATTTCTAAGTGTTTTTATTCTTTTTGATGCTATTGTAAATGAAATTGTTTTCTTAATTTCCTTTTCAGATGGTTCATTATTAGTGTATAGAAATGCAATTGATTTTCAAGTGTTAATTTTGTATCCTGCTATTTTGCCAAATTTGTTTATTAGTTCTAACATGGTATTTTGTGGTATCTTTAGGGTTTTCTGCATATAAGATCATAATATCTGCAAACAAAGAGAAGTTTTACTTCCTCCTTTCAAATTTGGATGGCTTTTATTGGATCCATCAAATTTGGATGCCTTTTTCTTGCCTGATTGCTCTGGCTAGGATATCCAGTACTACATAGAAGTGGCCAAAGCAGGCATCTTTGCCTGAACTTAGAGGATAAGTTTTCTTTTATAGAAAAAGAATCACTACTCTGGTTCAGAAAAGATGGTAAATTTTTTTAAGGAGCTTAAAATGATTAAATACAAACTCCCATGACCTCTTTCCAGTTAAAGGAAATGTTGACACAATTCTAATCACTATAGATACTGAATCTGAACTAATTAAAGTCCATACTACAAAAATACTCTGTGACCCAGAAAAAATAAAGCCACTGTCATCTGAGAGTTTAGCCCACAGAGTGGCTTCACACAACCCTTCTCTGCTTATTCTTCCATTTAGGGTTCATTTTTGGATACTATAACTATACAGGCAAAGCACAGTTCCATTTTTCCCTTTTTATAGTGTGAGATGCTTAACAGCAGGGATTGGAATAGCTGTGGGATACTTGAAGAGGAGTCCAGTGATGGAGTGGTCAGCAGAGCAAGGAAGAAGAACCAGGAGACATCAGAAAAGATGTAAGTTAAGAACTGGGCAGAAGGGGCCAGAGTTATATAAGTACAAGTAAATGGAAATTTCATAGCTAAATACAGACATATGTTTCAAAGCCATGGTGATGCATATGGAAAAATAGAGATAAGGTAGGTTTATTCTAAAATATCAAGACAAGAGTGAACCAAATGAGAAAGAGGAAGCTAGGGACTTCCCTGGTGGCACGGCGGTTAAGAATCCACCTGCCAATACAGGGGACATGGGTTTCAGCCCTGGTCCAGGAAGATCCCACATGCTGCGGAGCAACTAAGCCCTTGCACCACAACTACTGAGCCTGTGCTCTAGAGCCCGTGAGCCACAATTACTGAGCCCGCGTGCCACAGCTACTGAAGCCTGTGCACCTGGAGTCCGTACTCTGCAACAAGAGAAGCCACCACAATGAGAAACCTGTGCACCGCAACGAAGAGTAGCCCCCGCAACTAAAGAAAGCCCACACGCAGCAACACCCAATGCAGCCAAAAATAGATAAATAAATGAATAAATTTATAAAAATAAAATTTAAAAAAAAGGAAGAGAAGCTAAACTGAGCTATATACTACTTTCAATATATAGCAGAGTGGCTAAGAATAGGCTCTGGAATGAGATAACTGGGTTAAAATTCAAGTTACATCCTTCTCTGGCTATGCAGCGCCAAGTACGTATTTACATTCGTGCCTTATTTTTCTCATCTGTAAAATGAGGAGGATAATAGTGTTTATACCTCTGAGGACAAAAAGAGCTAAAACCTATAAATTACTTAGAACTGTGCCTGACTCATAAATGCCTAATAACTAATAGCTATTTTTATTTCAATATATTATTAGCTGTTATCATCCCCACCATGAGGAAAAGGGGAGGATGGAGGGTATCTAAAATAAAATAATGTAGCAGATCCGCAGATAAATGGACCAGTACCAGATGTGTTAAAGACAAACAGGGTCTTAAGTACATGGGTGAAAAGACTCATCAGAACAAACTAAACATAAGGTCTGTAAGCACAAATGCCATATATGTAAACTTGGTACATCTCAGTTAGTGGTACATAGACATTGATAGCCAAATGAAAAATATAAAATAAAGCACTGATTACATTTGTACTCTAACAGAATTGTATAATTAAGTTGGTAGTATAATTTTAGAATATGAGAAAAGGATATAAATCAAAGTTTCCCAAACTCTCTCAGTTCTGGCATCTTTAATATATTAGTAATTTTGGGGCCTCCCTGGTGGCGCAGTGGTTGAGAGTCCTCCTGCCGATGCTGGGGACACGGGTTCATGCCCCGGTCCAGGAAGATCCCACATGCCGCGGAGCGGCTGGGCCCGTGAGCCATGGCCGGTGAGCCTGCGCGTCTGGAGCCTGTGCTCCGCAACGGGAGAGGCCACAGCAGTGAGAGGCCCGCGTACCACAAATATATATATATTAGTAATTTTTTCATGACCCACTAGAACAAAAGAATCACCTAAACAGTTCCATTTATTAAGTATTATAACTTGAGTATGCGTGTCCTATCAACTTAGTAGATGATTGGGGAAAAAACACATAAATTGAAAGACAAAATAATATGTTTATTTCATTCCTAAATAAAAATAATTGCATACTACTTGGATCTGTGTGCCTACTGGGCACTGCACAACTTCTCAAATATTCTAATCAGACTGGACACCTCCATCCTTATTTCCTGTTCCTCGTTGTATTCCTCATGGTATTTGCTTTTTAACACAGCAACACCAAAAACGCAGGATTGTAAAGATATGATAGCATAGAAAAGAATGTAGTGCAATCCATTGTTTATACCATCACTTACCTCTGGCTAGTAGTTCCTGTGATGTCCAACAGACATCGACTACCCTTGTGTTTCCCTCAATGTTTAAAATGCCCCCACACCTCCCTGTGAGGTAGATGTGATGCCCTGGGGAACCTCAGTGCACAGTTTGGAAACCACAGAATATAAATTTTATCCACAACTAACTCCCACTACACAGAAGGTAAAAAATGTAATACCACTACCCCTCCACAGAAATGTCAAGGAGGGTCTTTTGTGGGACATTAAAGGGCAGAAGCAAATCAGGATAGGAAGGCAAGATCCACCTTCCAATTTCCATCAGCCACTGAGAGCAAGGAGCAAGCCACTGAAACAAGGACTACAACTTATGGAAGAACCAATCATCTCTTGTTCTGGAAGGAGCTGTCTATCTCCCAGTGGGAGGAAACACTGGGGAATTCTGGAAAAGTTAACTGCTAACATATAGGCTATAATTTATCAAAGCGTTGGTCCTTCAGAAACCACTAGAGAATTAACACACTTGGGCAAAGTCACTTAGAGACACCCAACCTGCTCTGAAATAAGTCAGAGGGAGCTGGAAACCCAAGTTCCCTACTTACTCAAAATTTAACACTGAGAAGGATAACTTCTATACATTGTGCAAATTTCCCAATGTCTTGTAGGGAGCCATAACTATAGTAGGTACTTGATTGAATAACTGTTAGCTGAGTAATGAAATGTGCATTAAATAAAATACTTTGACACTTTCAGTTCATTAAAACAGTGGCATTTCCTGACATCAAGTTGCTCAGGATTCACATTGGTCTTTCTCGTTAAGACAGAAGTAATTGCATCCACTGAACTGCGGGCAAAATCTCAAGTTCTAAACATGTCATGTGCTGTTTCCTCTATTTTGCTCTGAAAGAAGAGTTTTGCTGAGTCTCTGTCAAAATGGCTTCCACATTTGAAGTTATCAAAAAATATATATATTCAATAATACATATATTCAATAATATATATATATAGAGATCATACTGAGATGTAGAAGTCTAGATATTTTAAGAGGTGGCTCATTACCCCTACATTAGCACAGGTCCCTGGAGTAGTGTAAATTATTTTCAATAACAGTTGGTTGCGTCTGCTTACCTAGCACTTCCTCTTCATATGCACCTTCCCCGCTGCTGCAGCCGACCTCACAGGATTCTCGCTATGGAAGACAGGTAGCATGCCAGTCAGCACAGCCTTTGTACTGCTTTTCTGATAAGCTTCAAGTAAATTTTGAAATATGAATGCCTGATATATAAGCATACATGTATATCAAGAATTTCAGCTGTAATAAGTATTAAGTTCCCATTTGCTAGTGGGATTAGAACAACACTTCTCAATCTTTTCTGACCGTGTCCCAAATTCCAAAATACATTTAACAAAACAACTTAGTACACACATACATGTTGGGAAAAAAAGATTCTTGAAATAGTATATTTTCCCCTGTTTTAACAGTTTTATTGAAACATATTTTACATAACCATAAAATTCGCCCATTTAAAGCACATAGTTCAGTGGTTTTTAGTATATTCAAAGATTTGTACAATCATCACTACAATCTAATTTTAGAATATTTTCATCCCAAAAAGGAATCCTGACCTGTGATGCAATCATATATGTTCTATTCTATGTCATTTTATTGTGATTGTTTATTCAGTAAATTGATTTCATGACCCTCTAATGGGTGACACCCCACAATGTGACAAAATACTGAGCTCAACAATGCAATTATATGTTTGCCATCTTAGTCAAAGGTTTAGTGAGTTAATAACCTAAAGCTCTAGCCTAAAGTTATGCCTATTTATTTTATATATCCATGTCTTCCTTGAAAGATTAAAAATGGACTATAAACTTTATAGTAACTAAACGTTTCAATGGTTGTCTTAATGCCAACGTTAAATTTTAAGGTCTACAAAAACCTAATGATGATTAACATGTTTATCTCATTAACAGAAAACATAGAAAACATTTTGGTGACTGAGAGATAAATTTCCTGCAACTTTTAGCAGGTGCATTAACAATAGTTAATGGGTGGGGGGAACTTGGAGAAAAGGCACACATCGTAAAACTACAACACAATCATGATCAATCTTCCTGCTCTCACTCAGTTTACAATACCTAGGACAACATGCTGTTGTTTCTCATGATAATAGTGGAAACCATGACACAATGCATTTACTCTGAACATCCAGGTAGAGAAGGGCTGTAATTTGCAAATACTTAGCTGTCCCACGTTTGATCTGTGCACTCAGAGGAAGTGGAGCCTGATAAGCCTAGTTTTGCTTAGTTAAGGATTAATTTAAATACTTCAGTTTGGGCTCAGGGTTATTTAACTTAAGGGTTTAGTATACTTTTCACATCTTCTTTGCAGGTTTCAGTAAAATACATTCAACACATTCATTAACTGCAGAGAATAAATATACCAATTGGGAGCAAAATTATCATTAACATAGGATTTTCTTTTCAAGAAAGAAAACTGAGGAAGAAGAAAGGAGATGGAATAATGTTTATTTGGAAATGTAGCTAGTCCTGACCTAAGAGTTTAAATGTTTCATTTTGTTTACTTTGGTGAAGCTTGTATTTTTTTCCAGATTTTTTGAGATAAATGATTACCACCAAAGCATTAGCTAACACCTTCATCCCATCATATAATTACCATTTCTTTTTTGTGATAAGATCAGCTCTTTAGCAGCATTCAAGTACATAACACAGTGTTATTAGCTGTAATCACTGTGCTGTACATTAGATCCCCAGAACCTGTTAATCTTATAACTAGAAGTTTGTACTCCAAGGAGTTTAAATGTTTTCTCAAGTGGAGGCAAAAGCTGTTGATTAGGATTTCCTTCTCTCTCTCTCTCTCTCTCTCTCTGTGCCTTCCTCCCTCTCTCTCTCTCTAATCTAACATTAGACTTCAAATGAAATTATCCACTGTTTCTCAAGCTCAAGTTGCCTGGAGAGAAGCTAAAGGAATTCGGATTTAAGAAATTCACAGAATCTGAGCTCACAGCCCCTGGATGGGGCGTTTATACAGCATATTCCAGGCTACTGAGCTGCCATTCCCACTGCAGAAGCCAAGTTCATACTTCCCAGGGGCTGCATCAGTTTGCTGTCTCTGTTCTCACAGCAGTAAGACCATTTTTATCATCATCCCTCTGGCTCCATGCTTGTGTTTCCCAGACTGGCACACCTGCTGTCGGTGCCTTTTCTTATTCCTGTAGCACAAGGAGGACATGCCCCACCATCCTCCTGGGATGCCTCTACTGCAGAGTCTCTACACCAATTGTGGCTTCATCTCCTAAAAAATCATTCATTCACTCATCAAAAAATATTTATTGATACCTTTTATATGCCAAGCACTGTTTTAGGTTTTAAGGGTATGGCAATGAATAAGACAGGCAAGCTCCCTGACTTCATGGAATTTACATTCTCTTAGAAGGGAAGAGACAATAATGGAGTAACAAACTTAAAAGATAAAATATGCTCAGATATGAAAAGTGCTATGAGGAAAATAAAACAAGTCAAAGGCAGACGGCATGACCAGACAGGAAGGGGACTAACTTTAGTGAGGGGACTCAGGAAGAACCATGCAGAGGTGACCCCCAAGGCAAGACCTGAGTGATTAGAAGGAGCTGGCCTTGCAAAAGTCTCGGCAAGGGCAAACACCCTGAGGCAGGCATGTGCCACATATACTCAGAGAAGAGGGGAAGGCCAGTGTGGCCAGTACAGAGCACAAGGAAGAGGGGGCAAGATGAGGCAGGGGCGTCAGCAAACACTGGCAGTCTGTATTTTTTCTCAGATGGCAATGAGAAGCCACAAAAAGGTTTTTAGAACCTTTTAGATTAGGATAATCTAATTTGTGTTCTTCAGGGATAAGCCACCTTACTTGCTAACATCATTTTCCAAGTTATATTTTGCTAAGCTACCAGTTGTAAAACTATTCCCTCCAAGGAACATGTGGGCAGATTCCAAGCTTCCTGGGTTGAAGCTTTGATGGTTGAGGAGTTTGATTTCCTAAAGGTGTGAGCAGCTGAGTTTAAAATAGCTCTCTCGGGACTTCCCTAGTGGTCCAGTGGCTAAGACTATGTGCTCCCAATGCAGGAGGACCGCGTTCGATCCCTGGTCAGAGAACTAGATCCCACATGTTGCAACTAAGACCCGGTGCAACCCAATTAATTAATTAATTAGTTAAATATCTCTATGTTTATCTCTACCTCCACCTCTATTGAGCATGTATTACTGTTCAGTTCTACATTATTTAACATATAAAATAGCAAAATATAATAGAAAAGAATAGAATAATTATATATTACAATAGAGAGAAAAGGTGTACATTACATAAGCACAGACAACTGGGCAGCATACTGATGAACAGGGAACTACCACACTGGAAACCCAGTCCTGGGCTGCTTCAACGCTTGAGACACTTTAACTCTCTCTGGCTTCTAAACACAATCCTCCAGGGACTGTTTTTTTGGCTGCTTTTATTGTGGTCACATAAGAGAGTTCTCAGGCAGTCTTTTTTTTTTTTTAATCTCAATCAGGAAAGAACGTTCATTATCTATTTACATACGGGGCAAATTTTCTTCTCTGTTTTATCTCTTCTTACCCAACTCGATCACCATCCACTCCCAAGGAAAAATCACTCAGGTACAGGGTTGCCACAGACTATTGAGAAAATATTCCAATTTACTTTTTTGTTTTTACTTTATTTTCCACTCAAAGGAAATTTTTCTATTTTACTAATGAATGACAATCTCTGTTTCTTCCTCAGGCAAGATAGGATAGTTCTGTTCTCTGGTTTCAAGGACATTTTAAATAGAATACAGCATAGACGTTAAAGTGAGAAATAATGCCGTTTCATCATAAATACTTATTGTCAAATAAACTAAAATGAATTCTGAAGGGTATGGAATCCAGGACAGGGAAGTTTAGTTGAAGGAGATTGAGTAGGAAAAGATCAAAATCCCAAGGTCTTTCTGAAGGAAGAAGAAAGTCAAGAGCAGGAGAGGGAGCTCCTAGGGTGAGGGAGACTGGGGGCAGGGATGGCAGGGAGGCGTTGATAAGAAGAGACCTGGGCACCAGAGTCTGCACAAGGTCCCTTATTGTCATAGCAAGAAGTAAATTAATTAGTTAAAATTAAAAATTTAAAAAGCTGTGTTTCAAATTGTTGTTGAAAGAGTTCACTGAATAAGGAAGAAAATTGTAACTAAAGGGATCTCTCCTTTTTTTTTTTAACATCTTTATTGGAGTGTAATTGCTTTACAATGGTGTGTTAGTTTCTGCTTTATAACAAAGTGAATCAGCTATACATATACCTATGTTCCCATATCTCTTCCCTCTTGCATCTCCCTCCCACCCTCCCTATCCCTTTGTCACAAAGCACTGAGCTGATCTCCCTGTGTAAAGGGATCTCTTCTAATGCACTGTATTAATGATAGCGCATAGGCTTTATGGGGAAGAAATGAAATCAACAGAGATGAGGGTAGTCCTCCAAGTGCCTTTTCCTCTCTTCCTGCCACCCTCTCTCACCCAGGCTTCAGGAATCAGAACCTTTCAAACCAGATTAGAGTAATATACATGTATATATGTGAATGTGTGTGTGTGCATACACACATCTATGTACATTCATATATGCATTTTATGTATGCACATAGATATATAAAGCACAGCAAATACTTATGTCAAAATGGAATTATACAGTCATTTTTATAGCCAGAGTAGAGCACTCCCAGGAAGAACATTTGTGTGCATTAAGAATGACTCACTTTTCTTCATTCTTATTTTAACAGCTTTTTAAGGACAAGAGAGAAAGACATGGGGTTTAATGACATGTTTTCTGTAAGCGACTGACACTCACCTCACAAACAGCAGCATAGGTATCATTCTGCATAGAAAGAAAAGGAAAGTAAAATTATTGAAAAGCTCTAAAGTTTTAATTTTAATGACACTTAGCTAGGCATTTCTTCCAAATTAATTTCTTGCTCCACCACTGACAAAATAATCAATAAAAATATATCAGAAGCAAGGGAGCCCACAGATGGGCCTTCCTTCCAGGAAGGCTGCTGTACAAACAGCTATAAAAATTATGCTGTTTGCATCATTGGAGAAACAGGGTTGCATGATGTCTACTAAAAAATCCCAGTCAGTTAAGAGGTAATCTGTCATGGACCAGGTTAGAGAATGAAGGGGTGTTGGCCGGTGCCCAGGGAGACAGAACCTGAAATGAAAACCACCAACAGCTCTGGCTAGGAAAGGCCGGCGGGTTCCTCTGCCCAGACAGGCTGCTTCAGCGTCCACTCTGCTTCCTGGACTGTTACTGGCAACAAATGGTACTTCCCATTCACTCACTCAGCAAGTGCGATCTGAGCACCTGCTACGAGCCCCTCACTGTGTTCAGTGCAAGGGACACAGTGTGAACAAGACAGAGAGGATCCTGCCTTGATGGGCTTACATGTCGGCAAAAGATACTAAACACATAACTAGACAAATAATGATTTAAATTGACATTTGGACAAAGTGCTACCAAGGAGAAGGAAAAGTGTTTTTAGAGTGTGTAATAATTCCTAAGCGCAGACAGCATCTGCTCCATCTTTTGGTAAATTCCATTCTATGAAGCACACAGTCACAAGCATGAGAGTAGGCATTAAGTGACTCCCATAGCGGAGATCTGTGAAGACACACTATATAAGAAAAGCTATAAGGACTGTACATAAGGAGATTTTAATGACGGATTTAAATCTCAATGCTATAATTTGAGTCATTAATAGAAAATGATATTACCTAAAGTTATCATGATCCTAACTGATTTAATCTCTGACTTGAACAACCTGAACAAAGCGACCCATTTTTTCTTTTTTTTAATATATTTATTTATTTATTTATTTATTTTTGGCTGCATTGGGTCTTCATTGCTGTGTGTGGGCTTTTCTCTAGTTGCGGCGAGCGAGGGCTGCTCTTTGTTGTGGTGTGCGGGCTTCTCATTGCAGTGGCTTCTCTTATTGCGCAGCACAGGTTCTAGGCACACAGGCTTCAGTAGTTGTGGTATGTGGGCTCAGTAGTTGTGGCTTGCGGGCTCTAGAGCGCAGGCTCAGTAGTTTCGGCGCACGGGCTTAGTAGCTTCACGGTATGTGGTATCTTCCTGGACCAGGGCTCGAACCCATGTCCCCTGCATTGGCAGGCAGATGCTTAACCACTGCACCACCAGGCAAGTCCGCGACCCATTTTTAAATTACAGAATTCTTAGCCATGAGATTGGAGTAATTATAGTGTAACAGGCACTATCCCTAGCAGGGAGATTCAATTATTATCCTCATTTATCCATAAGGAAAGCAAAGTACCAAGGGTGAAGTACCTTAACAAAGTCACACACTAATTGGCAAAGCCAGGATAAATGAAAAATAAAGTACTGGGGATGTATTTCCTATACAAAGTGGAGTAAACCCAGGTGTTTGTGCCCTCTGGATGAGATTGCTACCATGTTCCCTGAAGAGAAACTGAACATGACCTAGGACCCTGTTATCCAAAGTGTGGTCTGGAAACAACAAGCATTGCATCCCCTGGGAGCTTGTTACAAGTGCAAAATTTCAGGTCCTGCCCAAAACCTACTGAATCAGAGTCTGCATTTTAGCAAGATCCCTGATATTTGCATATTAAAATTTGAGAAGTGCAGGACTAGGAAATTGAACAAATACCTAACATTCTACTGAAAGGCCTTTATAATTTGGAGCAACTGGTCATCTCCGGGTTCCATGGTTTGCATTAACTTCCCTCCATCTCCAGTTGCATTAATAATGTTGATCTCATTTTTTCTATTACTATGTATTACTCATACTTTTGCTTTAGAGTCAAGCAAACTAATCGAAAGCCAATGGAAGCTGAAATGGGAATCCTCTTGGAAAACGTTTCTCTTAAGGGAAACGGTAGTATCAAAACAGAAACATAATTAATACTTACACACTTTAAAGTACAGTTTTCCTGATCTGCAGAGGTCCAAAAATGACATCCTTGGATGCACTACAAGAGACAATACGAGACAATGATGACTGAAGAAGGATGATTTTTTCTTGTCGCCTGAAAGTGCAAATAGTGACATGAAGTTTTTCTGAAATAGAAATCTACCAAGGAATCTGTGGCCTCACAAGGATCAGGACCTTTGGAATTCTAAGCAGAGCTGTCATATTTACAGGCAGACAGGGCTTGGTGTGGCTCAGGGCTGCTGAGTGGAGTCCAGCCTGAGGCGGGCAGGCCTGGATCCCAGAGAGCACCAGACCTTCAGTGAACGCACTGTCCATTGGGTGCTTGGCAGCAGGGTAAGTCCAGGACAGCATGGCATCAAGCATATTATAGAGGTCAATGGGGTGTCCTCACACAACAAGCAAAAAGCAAAGCTGGGGACTCAAACAGAGGGCAGCCCATCACAACCTAAGTAGGTGGACAGTTTGGGAAGTCAGCTGCCCACTAGCTGGCTTGCACCCCTTAGCTGCTCGAAAACCTGCTTGCAGAGCTGCCCTGGCCTCCTACTGAACAGATTCAGCCAGTTCCTCCTTCCCTTACCTGGTTTGTCTGTGCCTGTGACTGTGTTGACCTTTCCGTCCACAGGCCAAGATGACACCTAGATCCCACCTTTTTCTCAGTTCCTTCTACTTTGCCATCTCTTTTTTCCTCTCCTTACTCCTTCTGTGTTTGTGTCCTATGCTCAACTTTTTCTCTTCTCACTCTTCAAGTTCTCCAAGTGAACTCATCCCCCACCTCAGCTTCAACCTTCCAAGGTGTCAATAACCCCCACATGTGAACCTCAGCTGAGACTCCTTCCGGAGCTCCAGACACAGATTTCCAATTGCTCATTAGATATCTCTATTTAAGTCCCTACAATACCTCAAATTCAGCAAATGAAACATCAGATTCCTCACTTTCTACCCTCTAATTTTCTCTCTCTCCCGTGTTTCCCATTAATATGCTTCAATCTTCTGAGCTGCCCGAGCCAGGAACCAGGGTGGCTTCTCTTTCTGCCATCCCCTTGCCCCATGGACTATCCATCATCAAGTCCTATTGACTCACTCCTTCGTTACCTGGACTCTATCTGGGTTCACCACTCACTCACTGCCCTTGCTTTTCTGTGCCTGCCACCGCTTGCCAACAGCCTCATGAGGGACCTCTCTTGTTTCCACACTTGGAGTGATCTTTTTAAAACAAAACCTAATCATATCCTTCTCTTACCTAAAACCTTGTGTGTCACTGAAACCAAATTATCAACATGGTACTCACAGCTCTCCACCACGTGGGCCTGCCTAGCTTGCCAACCTCTCCTACCTGCCATCTCTGCACACACGCCCTGCCCTCCGAGCAAGCTGAAATCCTCCTCTTCTCCTGCACCAGTCAAGCTCTCTGAAACGGTTGTGTCTTGGCACAAAGGGCTCCCTCTGACCGGTGTACCTCTCCCCTCTAGTCCATCTTTCTAGTTTTAGCCATGCAGGCAAGCAAGTGCTTTTCCTCTTGTGTATTCTCTTTGCTCCTCCCACACACTGCTGATCTAACTCTCGCATGGCTGTCTGGCCGTGGTTTTATCCATGTCTGTCTCTCCTACAAGGTTGAGAGTCCTTTAAAACAGAGACCCTATTTTACTCATTCTTAAGTCTCTACTACCCAGCACAGTGTCTGGATTAGTCTTACACTTGGAGTCCCTAAACGCTTGTTGAGTAAATGGATACAGGTGCAGAATAGTGATAAAACCGTAAATGTAATTATTAGAAGAATCAGTGGAGACTATCTAATCCAACCCTCTCAGAATACACATACTTTAGTATTAACTACATCTCAGAAATTTTAAGGAATTTGCCCAAAGCCACATAGCAATGTAGAATCAAAATCATGGTCATGGCTTAGTCCTGTGCTCTTTCCACGTCAACACACTGTTCCTGAACTCATGTTTGACTTCTCTGTGATTCAGACTTCTCGCTGTTTTCCATCCAGCTTCCTTCATCAGGCACAAATAAACGAGCTTTTACTTAGGAATTATTCTATGGTAATCAAACCTGACCATTGTCCCTTTTTTATCAATGCAAACAGTATAAAGTCCCAGGAGGTGGGAGCGATTACTCACCGGTGCACTCAGATTGTATGGTGTGCTGACATCAAGCTGTCTGCCCTGAAATGAAGAAGGAAGGAGTGAACACCCCTATCAATCTTGTGTTCAGTATAACTACGACACCTTTTTTTTAAAGCTTCCTGGAGTAGTGTTGCCTCCTCAGTGTTTTCTAACTGTAAAGTAAGGAGCCAACTGTTTTAAAGTTGTTAAATCAGTCATGAAACCAGACAAATGCCAGTGCAAATTAACAGGCATACCTTGGAGATACCGCAAGTTCAGTTCCAGACCACCGAAGCAAATGGAATCACACAAGTTTTTTGGTTTCCCAGTGCATATAAAAGTTATGTTTGCACTACAGTAGTCTATTAAGTGTACAATGGCGCTGTGTTTAAAAAAAATAATGTGCATACCTTAATTTAAAATACTTTATTCCTAAAAAATGCTAACCATCATCAGACAACACAGGGTTGCCACAAATATTCAATTTGCAAAAAACTGCAATATATGCAGAGTACAGTAAAACGAAGTATGCCTGTCTAAGATGTAATGCTTAAGGACTCTGCAAAAATGATAAAGGTGGGAGTGGGGGTGTAGCCAAAAGGAGTAGTTAAGAACACTGGAGAGGTTCTACATAGTATTAAATAAGCCTGTGAATTAGTCAATTTATCAAGGACTGCTGGATTAGAGATGAATTATGTTTGCATTTTTCTTTCTTATTTTAAGAGACTGAAACAAGCATTGACTGCATTTAATTAACATTATATAACAGACTATACAAAAAATATTCATATTCCAACCTAACTCTGTATACATTTGCATTCATTACACACAAGGTAAAAATGTGGGTATTTCCCTAGGCAAGATTTTTCAAGGTGTATCTCTTTCTTGTGTTTCCGTATTTATTATTTTGGATTTTTTTGGATAATGGGAAAAACTGTTTTCCTCCATCCAAGAAATTGCTTCCAATATAGAAATCATTAGTGAGCTTGGATATGAAATTCACAAATGGGAAAATGAAGTCATTAGCTAAACAGACTATTTGATCATGAGATTAATAACCTGAAGCCCAGAAACAACTTGATTTTGTTCCTTATAACGTCTCATGTACTAATATGAACAGTATGTCTTAATCTCATGGCTATGCAGTATTTGGGGTTTATATAGCCAGGCACTCTCCAACTCTTTAGCAAAGAGATTTTCAGAAGTTCTGGTAACAAAGGAGTTAATGGAATGGCATTACTATTAAAAGATTTATGCTAACCAGGTGTTTGAGTTGGTTGAAAAGTCAACCATTTAACATATAACCATTCTGTTGTAAATACTGTACCACCAGAAGACAGATGAAATCGTTTTGTATAAAACTACGGTTTAAAAAAAAATAAGGGTAATGAGAAAAACATTGTGTTCAAATTTTCTTAAGTTGCCAACCATGTGACCCGGAGAATGCCACAATGTCCTGATACCAGCAATTCACTTAAATTGTCTCATGCAGAGACGAAGGTGGTACTGGGGGCTTTAAAACATAAATATAGGATATGCTTACCCGAAACAGATTGATGACTATGCTAATCACGTATACAATTATATGTGTCATGTGCAAAAACTCATTCAAAGGACTCCAAGGTTATGGTGGCCTATACCATCATACTTAGAGACTTTCAGTTTGTCTGAATAATGGCTTTAAGACTGTTAACCCTGTCGCCTTCACACTGTTTCGCTGGAAATCCTTCCTGTTTGGGAAAACTGTGGTTTTTCAGGCTTACAGTCTGGAGCTTGCTTTATACAAACTAACCACTAAAATGGGGGTGGGGGGCTTTTCGTGATATAAGCGTTATAGGAACTAACCTCTGGGTTAAATACTACAATCATTCACAGGTGGGATTAACGCGGGTTTCGTAACTTTCCATGAAGGGATTTACATATGCCTAAAAGAAGCCACTGCTGAAACAGGTTGTTTTTTCCTTTGGGGCGGGGGCGGGGTGTTAGGGGGTTGGGTGTGCAATTTTCATTAAGCAGGGAAGTAACCGTATCTGTTCATGGTTACAGAGCTGTTGTGCTTTTTGTTTAGTAGGTCAACATACTGTTGTCACCTTAATTTGCATCTGGGCCTATCACGCAAGGGCCATTGCCTCACAGAAGGTTTTAATCAAAGCAGCCACACCAACAAAAGACATCCTGGTCGGAATTATTCTCGAAACCTCATTCTGAACTGTTGCTTTTTCAGAGATGCGGCAAATTTCACGATAATCCACTTAGCAAAGTGTTCACATATAATGTGGCAATTTTTACAAAAAAAATAATCTTCTGTCACCAGGTCCTTTAAAATGTCAAATATCCATAGTTAAATAAAGAGCAGTGCTACCTTTTCAATCAGTCTGCCATGAAAACTTAAAGCATAGAGTCTAAAACAGTGCTGCTCTTTAAGACTTCTCTACTCATACCCCTATAACCTGGATGCTAATCGTCCCAAAAAATTTTAAAGATTTTCTTTCCATCCTTTTGAGCTTCCCATAAACATAAGGACCATAAGTATTGTTTAGTATTAAGCTTTTGAGTATCCGTATCCATCTTCCTGCTCTACTCTTGGATCTCACAAATGAAACGACTTGTAGGTGACTACTAGAGCCTGCTACTGTAAAATGAAACAGAAAACCACCCATTGTCATCAAGAGTTACTAGATTCCCCTCTGGCTTTCTCATGAATCACCAAGTTAAATGTACAGTCACAACCCATAAGTTTCTAGATTGTTCACAAATGCCCAAAAGGTCAAGCGTGGTGCATGTTTAACAGCATTTCAGTTGAAGACCATCCTCTTCATTCACACAGTCATGGCATCATCTTTTTTTGCCAATAGTTCATTGAAGTCAGGGTGTTTTTTTTTTTTCTTAAAACAAACCAAAACTAAAGTCTCATTTCTCTCATAGATAGATATGAGATTGATGTTAATTTTTAAAATCTCAATTTGAAGACATATTCTAGGCTTTACACAGAGGCAGTGTGTATGTACACATGTGTGCAAGCAGCTGCCATGTGTCAAAATGGGGATCAGGCCTTCTAGCCCTGCCTCATGGCACATGGCATCTTCCTTTTTTAAAAGCAGCCTTATTAAGAACAGAGGAAAAATACAAATTCAGAACTTTGCATAGAGTAAAACAACAGATTACTCTGTTTATTTCTCAATTTATTTTCAGAAATTTTAAGAACTTTTTTGTGCTGGAGGAAAATACATGGAAACTAAGGTGGGAAAAGTCTATAAATTGTCCATCCTCTCCCTGGTCATTTTTGAGTGGAGACCTTCATGAGCGGAAGGACTTAGAAAGGATGACAAAGCTGAGTCTATGATAGTCAGATATGCACCCGAATAGCCTTACATGGATATGATCTAATTGTCAACCTGCCTCACTCATTGACTTAGAATTATAGGCAGAGGAAAAGTAAGTGAATATTTTTAGTAACTCTAGTTGGTACTGACCAGAACCTCCCCTTAAAAGTTGCTGAATTCAAACCATTGAATTGGAGAGGTGATTAATTCAGCAAGAAGCACGCCATCTGTCCTGGGCTGACCCAGCACTACAAGCAAGATACGTTCCAAGAGACAATCAAAAATCTATGGGGGCTTGGGAGGTGGCTTAAGCATCTGTTGTGGCCTTCCAAACAGTCTGTGCTTATCAGAGGGAAGAGAAAAGGCGGCCACTACTGAGTTCGTGGAGCCCTGTCTCCCCCTTCCACGTAAGCACCATCCATTTTGCTCTCCACTCTCTCCAGCATCTAGAACGGTGCCAGAGGGATAATGAGTGTTCAATAACTATAAGCTGAAGGAATAAATCCATGAATTCAACATGGCCTACTACTCAGGAATGATCCAGAAGTCGTGTCTCTTGGAAACATCATCAGGTGACCTAGCGTCATGGGGGTTTACTTGAGAAGTAATCAGACACAGGAACCAAAGGACAAATGTTGACGTTTTTCCTCTCATTTGATGTGTAAATAAAGATTCCTCCAATCTCCATTCCCTACCACTTGTATTTGTAGGGAAAGGAGAAGAAGGCTTAATATTTTTTTTTTGTTTTTAGATAATAAATACATAGAGAGTAAGAACTGTATCTTTTAGATTAATTGTGCAACCACATACTTCACAGTTCTTTGTTTTCATAATTTTATTCAAAATGAAGCCTTTGATTCCCCTTTGTGTGACTGAAACACAACCATACACAACCAAGTGTAAGATGGTGAATTTGCAATTGAATTTTTTCTACCCCTTCAAAAAAATCAGGGTTAGCTCATAAAAGCAAAAGGGTGGATGCTGGGTAGTTTTTAAACAATAAAGCAACAGATGTTTCTTGATGACCATAAAGTCACACTGTAACAGTATTAAGTCCTTCTGTTGGCAGCTCTCAAAATTAAATTTAACAGGCTGAATGGCGTGCCCATAAATGGGCTTGGGCAAGGTAGCTTCCTGAGTTGGGTCTAGGGGGTTCTGATGAAGCAGACTTGTCAACCCTCTTTCCTGATCTCCACTCCCTTTCCATCCCCTTCCTCCTTATTATCACAGCTAACATTAGTGAGTGATTCCCACGTCCCAGCCACTCTTCTTGGTGTTTTACACTGTCTTATTTAACGTCCCAACAACCCTATTCAACAGGTACTATTGCTAATTCCATTGTGCAGCTGATACCCAGGGAAGTTTTGTAAATTGTCCAAGAGTTAGGATTTGAATACGGCACGGAGCCTCCAGAGCCTGTGCTCTCAACCAAAGCATGGATGCTGCCTGTAGTCTGCACCAAATTCCTCACGTTGGACTTAGGATCCTCGTCGTTTAACTGAGTTCCACCTGCTCCAATTACCTGCTTGAAAGACACAATCCCAGTCCCGGATCTTAAAAACTCAACCCAACACCTACTTCTTGGCACAAGCTTTTCTATCTTGCCCGCCTCAGCCGGAACTAATTTCATTCTTTACTTCCTACCCTAATAATAAAACAGAGCAGAATGATCTGTATTTTAATCCCACATATGATATTTGCTCCTGATGTGATATTTTGAAAGTTACCTATGCTGTTTAAACTTAGTATTCTCATCTGAAACATAAGTAGGATAATATTAATAAAGTTCTGTGAGGATTCAATTAAATCATATATTCATTATTATAGTACAGTGCCAGGTGCTTAGAAATCTAATATTAATATGTGCAAATTTGCTATAAACAGCCTTTTGCAGACATATCGTTAGTTATGCAATAATCTCTTCAGATAAATTTCTTGATGTTCAGTGTTAAAAGTATATTTTCTCTTTTAATTTTGACATTTATTAACCCACTGTTTTCTAGAAATCTGTCAACTTACATCGTAACCAATAGCCCGTGAAAGTCCCGTCTTATACAAACTTGGCCAACTGTAAAATGTTTTATCTCTGCCAATCTGATAGAAGAAAGTTGATAATTCATTTTTTCTGTGCAACTCTATGGTTGCTGTGAGGTTGAACATTTTTCACATGTTTTTTCACCATTCATAGTTCTTCTTTTCTAAAGTAAGTCTTCATGTTCTAAACTTAATTTAAATACTCCTATATATATATATGAGTTGGTAAAATTGTGTTTATCATACGTAAAGCTTTTTTCCATTCTTTGGCTTTATTTTTATTGTCTTCCGTTTATTGTCATATAGTTAGTTTCTAAGCAGTTGAATTTATTAATTATTTCTTTTAGTGATCCTGGATTTTTGAAGCTGGCTTCTTAAGGCATTCCCACTCCAAGATTGTAGAAATATTCATCCCTAATTTATTCTAATATTTTTGTAGGATGAGGTCTTGTTTTGTTTTGGTTTTGCTGTTTGTCTGTTTGTATTTAAATCATATCTTTTTTAAAATGCCTCCTGGAATTTATTTGAATCTGGTAGTGATGTAGGAGTTGGATTTTTTTTTAATCCTTCTTTTAAACTTTTTTTTTTAAAGAAAGAAGTACTGAACTTTTTACTTTTTTTTTAAAGCAGCTTTAGGTGTACAGCAGAATTGAGATTATTCAGGTACAGAGATTTCCCATAAACTCCCTTTCCCCACACATGCATAGCTTCCCCCATTATCAACACCACTCACCAGAATAGTACATTTTTTAGTAAGGGCGAACCTACATTTGCATAACCATAATCACCCGAAGTCCACATTTTACCTTACCTTCACTCTTGGTGTTTGGACAAAAGTATAATGAGATATATCCCTCATTATGATATCAATACCATACAGAGTATTTTCACTGCTCTAACAGTCCTCTGTGTTCTACCTGTTCATCTCCCCCTAGCCCAACGCCATCCCTCTCAACCCCTGATCTTTCCAGTATCTCCATAGTTTTGCCTTTTCCGGAATGTCATACAGTTGGAATCATACAGTATGCAGCCTTTTCAGATTGGCTTCTTTCACTTAGTAATGTGCATTTAAGTTTCCCCCATGTCTTTCATGGCTTGATAGCTCGTTTCTTTTTAGCTTAGAATAATATTCCATTTCCTGGATTGCCGCAGTTTACTTATTCTTTCGCCTGCTGAAGGAAGGAGTTATTTTTCATTCTAAATGGCTGGCCCCACTTTGGTTTGAAGGATCATCTTTATCATATTCCACACTCCCTTATGTACATGGTATTGTTTCTGGAGTGTATTCTCTTTTACTGGCTTGTCTATTCCTATACCAGTACAAATTGTGCTAATTTCTGGATATCTTATGGAATTTTGGGGTTATGGTTTTGTTCCATTATCTTGTTATACAGTTACATATTGATATACAAGAAAGGTATTGATGTTAGTACATTTTTTAAAACAGGACAACCTTCTGAATCCTATAGTTTCTAATAGTCTGTTTTTGAATTGAGTTGATACTTGTAAAAGAGCACTTCTGAACACTAGTCCCTCAGCTGTTCGGATTTGTTACTCAAAAAAAGAGTTTCGTTGCCAAAGAAGATCAGAAAATTCTGATTAAACAAAGCCATTAATATGCGGTTGTGTCCTGTGGATCTACAAAAAGAGAGTATGGCAAAAAGCATTTCCATACATTATTTGACCATGAATCTCTTTTCTTTTTTATGAAGGATCTCACAATACTAGTGTTCTGAAGAACATTATTTTTTGTTCTCTGCAGCACATGGCATATGTGATTTTAAAATATCAGGTCAGTTAATACACTCAACTAATACATACAGATTCCTCCATTAATGTAAAACCCATGCTCAAGCATAGAACACTGATTTGTGCATTTTGGGACAGCAATCCTAACATTCCTTTGTACAAGACTCTTTTGTTTCTTTTTAAAAGACAAAGATGCCTCAATATCAAGAACCACCCAGTGAGAATAATATAATATACATCCAATTAGAGTCTCAGAAGGCAAGAAAAGGACATAGTAAAGACAACCTGTTGAGAAATGATGACTAATAATTTTCCAGAAATGTTGAAATACATGAATTAGCAGTTATAGGAAGTATGTTGTATACTCAGCATGATAAAGCAAAAAAAATTTAATTTTTTTAAAAAAAAAAGGACCACCCAGTGAAATCGAAGATGACCTTCATAGCAAAAATCCAGGCTAAAAAGGATAGCACAGAAAAAAAAGTCAAACAGTGAAATAAACTCAAGCACTTTTCCATATCTTTCCTCTGACCCATGGCTCCGTTCACTGTTCTTGCACTGAGCTTTTGTCCCCCCAGCCCCATGTGGGAGGCCCAGATGGAGGACATGATTACTGTCAGATTGGCAGACTGGGTCTTCTGCCACCGCCACATCAGCTGTGCCTTTCTCTGTAGGTGGTGAGCGGAAGGCAACTCGGCAAAGGACAGACTGTCTACTCCTCCTGCCAAGCCCTGAAATCAAGGAGCCCACACACAAAATAAGACAGAACTAAGCTTAGCTAAAAAATAAAACAAATAGAATAATAGAAACAACCAACATCAGTTTTGATAGTAGGGAAATTAATAAACAAATTACATTCATACGATGGAGTATTCTAAATATATTAAGAATCCTGTTTCCATCAAAACTTCAGGGTATAGGGGAAAACCCACCATGTAATGCTCAGTGAAAAAGCTGGGTACACAACTGTGTGAAAAATTATATACATATTTGAGGGAAAACACTGAAAGAAAATACAATCATAGGTTAATAGCGGTGGAATTATAGGATTTTTTCTTTTATTCTTCTCTAGCTCTTCTCTATCTTATAAATATTTTACAATGAATATGTACTGTTATAATCAGAGAAAATTTTTTAATAAAGAAAACATTTAATAGTCCCATTTTTCCATGTTTAAATTTAGATTACAACTGTAAAAACCTAAAGCACACAATTGTACATTCGTAGCAGTGAAGCCTTCAGCAAAGATTTATATGAAATACCAAACTTTTAAAAAAAAGTGCTACTAACCATAGTAAGCCTAAGTAGTGTTTTAAGCTATAGTTTAAATTAAACCAAGAGTGTAACACAAATATGTTTCTTTTTTATTCTACCATAGACTTCTATCTCCAATACCTTAGGATAATAGTGAATATTGTATTTAGTACTTTTACTATTTTTAAAAGTATGACTATAAGTATTGTCACATGTAAGCTATCATGCTATTTCCTTTGTCTTTAGATAAGAAGAGTGCATCTTTCCCTGGCTAGAATGTATTTGGTTTTTAAAGTTGATTCAGTGAATGTTTTAAGCACAACTAAGTCAAAATAACTGAAAAGACATGAAACACTATATATAGGAGGAATGACACCCAGAAATGAGAAGAAAATCATAAATGTCCAGCAAAACTCACCAAAAGAATTACAAATGCACAGATAGAAAGGAATTTACCAACAATTCTGTCTTTTAATAATTATTATTATATATAAATATATAATACATAAAATAATATATAAATATATAATAACTAATAGTAAGATTAAATGTTCACCTACATCTGCTTCCCTTATCATCCACTTCCCGATACAGTCATCCATCCACAATATAAATAGTACTGCTGCCTGCAATTAGAAGGCATTGCCCTGTGGCCGAACCTATTGCATGCTTCAAGACAAATATAAATGATTTTGTAATAAATGAGTGTAACTGATATTTTTTAAGGTGTGCAAAATTGATTTTATTTAAGCCTCCTTTACCCGAAACCCATACACCCCCGGCAAAAAAAAAAAAGATCTATGAACAGATAACTTAAAGAAATAAAGTAGCTCTGCCCTACCTTCTGTAATGACTAATGTTCCTAACTTACTTTGGAAAAAGAATCTTTCTTGCCTTGCTACCAACTTCTCATGAGAAAACTTCTCATAAAGATAAAATAATTCAAGCATTTGTAACAAGCTGAATTCTACATGTTCTAATTTCTACAAAGACAAATATTAGACCAGGAAAACTTACCAGGTTAGTTACACATGACTTTAGGCAGCTGTTTAAAATTGTACACTGTAACACAGGAGTCCATATGCAGCCAAGAGTCACAAAGTTGACAAGTTTCAGAGCAAGCCAGTAAATGTTCTTCATCACTTCACCAATGGCGGATTCTTAGATGAACTTTCTTCTCATTTTCTCCATTTAGCTATCTGAATTCTTTGGGTTTCATCACTTCAGTTGAAAGAGTGGCCAGTGGATTCTTTGGGTTTGTTTTGATGTGTTGGAATATCTTTGCCTTTTAAAATAGTGTTTAGACCTTTGAATCCTAGATAGCTTGTATCATTCCCATAACAGCTATTTCATAACATAGCTTCCTTTTACTCCCATAAAGAAAGTCACCCACTGCGTAAAGGTTAGGTCTTAGGAGAGCACTTCACATGGAAAGTCAACAAAGTAGAGAACGCAAATTGCATTTCAGCAAAAGCATGTGACAACGTGCAGTCTGAGACGGGATCAGACTCGGTGGATCCTCCACCACTTCACTTCTTTGAGGTTTGTTCAGCTACGCAGGAAATTGGGTTTTGACCGTCTATGCTTTAGCAAACAGTAATACTATTCTAATAATGAATTCTCAAAAAATCAAAGCGCCCAAATCAAATGATGCAGCAGAGAGAGAAAACAGAACGCTTCAAAACCAAATACACATTTCAAAATGAAAAAGCAAACAAAGCTGCAATTAATAGACAAATACTCTGAGGGTTAGCTAAAGACAAGGAAGTTTGTTAGAGCGCTCTCAGAACTTCACTACATATTAACTAAAACACAGCCTTATCAGGTCTATTGAGACAGAACTGAAACCAGCCACCACAGAAACCTAAGATATGTCCCGGTGTAGCTGCCTGAAAAGGAAATATTGTACAAATTTCAATCAACCCAGCATCAAGATAAAGTTTACGCCTGAAACAAAGAATTTGAAATTTGCAATGTACAGAAGTGAGTCATTCTGGGTAGGTACTTTTTAGATTGCTGAGGGTTAACTCTTTAAGGCTAGATATTTTCGTGTTGGTGTTCTTTCTTATGACAACCTGAAGTACCAAATCAACTTCCTTGTCTTCTTAAATAAATTATATTAATGTAACTTAAGCTTTTCTTAATGGCATGAAGTTATTGTGAGCAACATCCGCATGAGGGTTTGCTTTGAGCTGAACATCTTTTAGTAAATGCTAACCAAATCGGTGAACAACATAAACAAGAACGGTACTGACTCCAGAACTGGCCCCTAAAACCTGTTCTCTTGAAAAAATTCCCCACTGTCTGCCTGCTCTTTGTTCATTTTCTGCATTTTAAAGAACGTAGATTAAAGAATATGCAACTATCCAACTTCTTGGTCAAAGGATATGGCCATCTTTCTACAAAAGCATTTTTAAATCACAGAATAAACTATCTTGCCTAAGGGATTTTCTCATCCCAACAAAATGTATCTTCTTCACTGTGCCACAAGTGCCTTTGTCTTATTAGCACAAATAATATTTGTAACTTTTACTTCAGTAACAAAGTGGACCACTAAGTACTTCCTTGAAAACCTAAATACATTCTTTACTCTCACTTGATCTAACTCTTTGGTGGGATGTGAAAAAGAAGTATCCTTACCATATCAAGACTTGTGCTTATTCTGGTTTGGGGAATCTAACCGGTACATAGATTTGCACTTGTGAAAAATGGAGTATGTTCAAAGATATTTGTTGTAGAATTAATTATATTAGCAGAAGACTTGAAACAACCTAAAAGTTCAATAGTATAATACTGGATCAACCAATTCACACATCTTCTCCAGGTGATTTCTCCAAATAGACTTATTTGGACTCCTTCACAACATAATAGTCTCCAGGCAATTGGATGGCTTACATGGTGGCTTAGAGCTTTGGTAAAAGTGTGCCAGTGTTAAGCTGTATTGACTTCCATGATTCAGCTTTAGAAATCATGCAGCTACTTTTGCTCCATTTTACTAATTACCAGAGAGGCACAAAACTGCCTAGATTCAAGAAGAGGGGAATTAGACCCTACCTTTTGACATGGGAATAGCAAAGTCCTAGAAGAACATATAAGAGGAAGAGATCATTGCACCACCTTTGGAAAATAAAATCTGCCACCGTATAGGGAATCATTGTTGGGATGGTTCTGAAATGCAGAAATTTAAGTTACCACAGTTTAGTTAAATAATAATACAGTTCAAACTTCAGTGAGCCCAATATGTTAACTGTAACTATTGTGCATTAAATACAAACTTCTCTGCTATCTCTGCAGTCCACAAATCAGGTGTATATAACAGATGCACATTAAGATCAGATACCAATTATGTCACTTCTTTCAAAGTCTGTCAGTGATTGGCCACTCACTGCACGTCTGCTATTCAGTTCTTACACAGACAGCAAAGCATGTTGTTGTGTTGCCTCCTTGTCTTCCAGTGGTAAATCCACATGACATTTTACAAAATGACGTTCAGAAAAATGGATAATTGAAAAAAGGGAATTGGCCAACAAAGATAAAAATGCAGCAAAGAAACAAAAGTGATAAAACTGGAAGTGATATTTGAATCAAATGTAAATGGAGGATTTGACACCAAAAACAAGGCAACAAAAGCAAAAACAAACAAGGCGAACTACATCAAACTAAGAAGTTTCTGCATAGCTAAGGAACCCATCAACAAAATGAAAAAGCAACCTACAGAATGAGAAAATATTTGCAAATCATGTATCTGACAAGGGGTTAATATTTATTTGTAATGTCTGAGTTTTGTACCATGTGTACATATTACAGTTTCAAAAAATAAATTTTTAAATAATAACTTTTTAAATATTCTGCATGAAACTTTAAAAGTATAAGACTTAACAACCTCCAAATTCATCTCAAGTTAAAATAGGATACTCTAAATACATGGCAAGAGTTCACATCAAACAAGTTCCTCCAAAATGTCTTTGAACAAAATTTTAGTGCATGCATTAAAAATTTTATACTAACAAATAAGACTTAAACTCCTAAAAAATCCCTTAGAATAAATCAACTTTCCCATGGGATCAATTTGCAATTAAGAGATCACATTCTGAAACAATTGCCTTGTTCATAGATTGAATCAGTGAGGTGGCACTGTGAAAGAAGAAATTGTTAAAACATTCCTTTATTCTAATCCTGCTTCATTAGAATAAGCTATACAGATGGTTAGCAACAGAATAGATTTGATGTGATCAAATACATCGGAGTTTTGAAATTATATTTATTGAAAATATACAATGTATGTCCTCAAACTCAGTTGTACTCTATCAGCACCACATAACTCCAGGGAAATAAAATTTTACAGTCATCAAAAGGAGCCCCAAAGAAGGACCTTTTACACTATTAGGCTTGAGAAGGGCCATGTTGTCAGGGGAACCACTGACTAAAACCACCGGTCCCACCGGTCTGGCCAGGCCCTATAGTAACCATTTGCATGAATTATCTTACAATAGGAAGTCCTGGTAAGGAATGTGGAACTAACAAGCCACCACCAACCGGAAGAATTCGGGAAAGGTCAAAAGGAGAGAGGAGATACCAGTCCATATGTCCTACCAACCTCCCAGAATCCTCCTCGCTGGATTCCATCTTGGCTGAGCGATGTGCACGCCACCATGAGGGACCCTGAGTCAGACTGACTGGCCAGAGAAAACCCAGAAACTAACCCAATTACCATAAAAGCCGAGACTGCGAGCCACGTGGCAGAGCAGTTCTCCTGGGTTCCCTTACCCTGCTGATCCCCACCTGGGCTCCCCTTCCCAATGAAGCCTCTTGCTTTGTCAACATGTGTGTCTCCTCAGACAATTCATTTCCGAGTGTTAGACAAGAGCCCACTCTCGGGCCCTGGAAGGGGTCCGCCTTCCTGCAACAAGACTGGTCTCACTTTGTAGAATAAAACGAGAAAAAGAAAATGGATGCAAAGGAAGAAAACTTTCTGTTTCTTGTCTGCAAGACATTCATTACAATAAGAGTGCGTTACTTTCATCACAGTCTTTAGAGGTTTCTTCATGTGCATTTCACAGCATCTTCCCTGTCTGCTCCCCTGACCCCCTGCACCCATGACCCCCAGCTTCTCACAGGTGAACTGACTCACCAGTACCCCCAGGTTGGGCTCTCAATCCTACCATTGGCCAGAATTTAAGACACACTCATTCATAGATGAAGTAGGCACCAAGTCAGTTTTGCTGGATTTCTCACTTTAACTTTGTGATTCACTTCCATTTATTGAGTTTCTGCCAGCGTCTGGGGTTCCATAAACTTCTGGTAGCAACTCCGAATTTGTATCTTCACAAATAATCTGTTTCTTGATACCTGGTTCCCATGAATGGGCTGCTGGCTGAAATTTCTCCAGTTAGAGCCAGTGGCCTCCAAGGCAAATACCTGTGTTCCACTGAGCACTCCTTCCAGCCACCCAGGGCCTTCTTATCTCCTGACAAAAGCATTGATTTTTATTTGTCAGCTCTCCCAAGTATTTGCACTTTTTGAGCCTTTTCAATCTAATTGAGACTAAAAGGCATTGTGTTTTCATGGAAGATACTTCCAGAGATTGCAACTAGATACTGGATGACCACTTCACCATTTTACCTAAAGCTAGCCCTCAAGTGAAAACTGCTTTTGTAATAAAGTTGAGAGGTTTTCAAATACAAAATCAGGCCCTCTTCTCCCAGCCTCCAAATCAGAGGACCCAGAATCTATAACAGGGTTTTCACATTCCTCTCCCTCAAGAGTGGCCCCAACCTTTGTTCTTAATGAAGCTTCTCCAACCCCTGAGGAGCTGGGGCCCAGAAACCCCACCGTACCACGTGGCACCACCAGTGACCTCGCAGACTGCCATACACACCACCAGCACCCCATCTTGGGCCAGAACTGCTGCTGTTTCAAACCCTACTCCAGGCTTGAAATATATGCACAGAGCCAAGAAAGCAACTGCCGAAGGACAGACGGTGGGCAGAGGACAGGAAAGCACAGATGCATCTCGTTGAGGCAGAAAACCTCAATGGGCAATGGGAGCAGGTGAGGGAGGCAGTGACTCTGACCCATGAGAACCAAGCCGGGGACTTTTATCTTGTAATAAAGGACTTTAAGAAATGTGTGATTATAAT